TGTAGTAATAATGTAATAATACTGCCCTGTAATAATAATACTGCCCTGTAATAATAGTGTAATAATACTGCCCTGTAATAATACTGCCCTGTAATAATACTGCCCTGTAATAATAATACTGCCCTGTAGTAATAATGTAATAATACTGCCCTGTAATAATAATACTGCCCTGTAATAATAATACTGCCCTGTAATAATAATACTGCCCTGTAGTAATAATGTAATAATACTGCCCTGTAATAATAATACTGCCCTGTAATAATAATACTGCCCTGTAATAATAATACTGCCCTGTAGTAATAATGTAATAATACTGCCCTGTAATAATAATACTGCCCTGTAGTAATAATGTAATAATACTGCCCTGTAGTAATAATGTAATAATACTGCCCTGTAGTAATAATACTGCCCTGTAGTAATAATACCGCCCTGTAGTAATAATACCGCCCTGTAGTAATAATACCGCCCTGTAGTAATAATACCGCCCTGTAGTAATAATACCGCCCTGTAATAATAATACCGCCCTGTAATAATAATACTGCCCTGTAGTAATAATACTGCCCTGTAGTAATAATACCGCCCTGTAATAATAATACCGCCCTGTAATAATAATACCGCCCTGTAGTAATAATACCGCCCTGTAGTAATAATACCGCCCTGTAGTAATAATACCGCCCTGTAGTAATAATACTGCCCTGTAATAATAGTACTGCCCTGTAGTAATAATACTGACCTGTAATAATAATACTGCCCTGTAGTAATAGTACTGCCCTGGAGTAATAGTACTGCCCTGGAGTAATAGTACTGCCCTGGAGTAATAGTACTGCCCTGGAGTAATAGTACTGCCCTGGAGTAATAATGTATTCATACTGACCTGGAGTAATAGTACTGACCTGGAGTAATAGTACTGACCTGGAGTAATAGTACTGCCCTGGAGTAATAATGTATTCATACTGCCCTGTAGTAATAATGTATTCATACTGCCCTGTAGTAATAATACTGTCCTGTAGTAATGATGTATTCATACTGCCCTGTAGTAATAATACTGCCATAATGTATTAATACTGCCCTGTAGTTATAATGTATTCATACTGCACGGTAGTAATAATGTATTAATACTGCCCTGTAGTAATAATACTGCCCTGTAGTAATAATACTGCCCTGTAGTAATAATGTATTAATACTGCCCTGTAGTAATAATACTGCCAGTAGTATTCATGTATTGGTACTGCCCTGTAGTATTTATGTTCCACAGTTTTCAAGCCTTACAAAGTATCTTGTTATGCCTCCTCATATAATACTCATACCACACCTTACTCCTAATAATACAAGGTGTGACTGGGACTGTATTGTGTATAGGACTGTTGGGAGGATTTGTTACATGTTTACTTGCCTGTCTCCTGGGGTTATTCATTAAACTACGGTTACCAGCGAGTAAAACCAATGGCAAAATCAAAGCAAAAATAGCTGATTTGGACAAATTCTCCAGCTTGACTTTTTTGTCATCAGTTTACTTATTTGGATTTAATTTGCTAAAATTCAATGATTGGTGAATAATCCTGCCTGATGAAGTAGGGCCAGAACACTTGTTATATAACCCCACTGTATTCTTTCCCATCTAAATCCACCATCCAATTTTCAGCTCTTGACATCTTAAGCTACCTGGAGCCTTGTCACCTTTATTCTTGGGTGCATGAGCAATACTACTAAACTGAGGTCTGTTAGATCCAGCTGAGCCCCTGTAGATCTTTCCATGCATGCACAATGAGATACTAAATGCGATCTGTCACGTCAGAATATGCTTGTTCCTATCAGCCACTGCTATTGATAGCTGAGGGAAGTTGAAGATGCAATAGATTAAAGCTGTGCCCTTTTTTCCCTCCTTCATTATACAAACAAAAACTACTTATTATATTAACGTCCATATTTTTTCTTTTCTTTTTATTTCTTTGTAATTTTAATGCAATTCCAACTCTTCCTATCTGACTATAAATATATTTTTCTGTGTTTTTTTTATTTTTATTTCTCCCTGACAGTGCTGTTAAATTAAAAATTTACAACAAATTTGCTTTCTGGTGACTGCCCAATAAACTAATTTTTTTTTTTTTACAAACCACTATTAAAATGTTTTTTTTTTTAAACTGGATGTAGTTCTTGAATTTTCTTTTTTTCAAGGCATGCTTATGATTACCATATTTAGATTCTGTCATTGTCTGAAGGTGTTCTTCCAGTCTGTTTCAGAATTTATGTGTCATCTGAAAAATTGTCAAGGGATATGGAAGTAGTTCATAAAATTACTCCTCTCTCTCATTTAATATTGCAAAATAAACAGAATTCTTTTCAATGTATTTGAGAAGTTAAAACAATCCCACTGTCTAATGGGATCTTTTACTGTTGTTGGATATGTGTAACTGTGAAGATGTTGACAAACATAACATATGTAGTAACACTAACAAACATTGTCTAAACTCTAGAGTAATTCAAAGTATATTGAAAGATACTAGTCTGTATAATTCCTATCATCATGCTATCCTGTTCATTTTCTTTCATGTATGGTCATTTCACTGGTGGTTTCATAAGCTAGGGCAGGAGAGGATTGGCAATAGCTTCCGGGGCCACTGGCATACAAGGGTTGTGGGCAACAGCTGCACAGCATCATTTGTCTGCTGGTTAATAAACCGTCAGGATGAGTTGGGATGTCTGTTAGCATGGAAATGCTGTTATGAGGCAACAGGGAGGAATTGTGCTGAACATTGGCTAGCCCAGCTCTATGTGGTGTTGTGCTTGCATTGGTGAACTGCTAACACCTTGCTTTCCAGACTTGCCTGGGCCTCTGGGACATTGCAGTATATGGTGCCTACTAGGCTGCCAGACCGGTAGTATGTATAGTGTCCGTATAAATGTTTGCCAGTTACAATGAGGTAAGAAGTGATGATTGCATCTTAAAAACCCACCTTCACAAAACATCTGAGGGTTTCTTTACTAAATGGGGAACTGAAACTGAATTTGCAAAATTTAGCCCATTGTTGAATACAGCAATACTGGATCCCCAAGGGGAATAGACATGCAGACCCTAGTAGGTGAGTAAAAGTTCAAGTATTATTAATCTGATTAATACAATCGTCAGTACACCATAGTGGCAATAGCGAGTGGGCAGGTGGGTTTCGTACCTACAAGACACTTCCTTTGCAACTGTGATCTCTGACGAAGTGCCTTGTAAACCATGTAAGCTTCTCTTTACTCACATCTGCCCACTGGTTATTGCCACTATGCTAAGCTGACAATGTTATCAGAATAATAAAGCTTGAATGTTTACTCACGTGTCTGGATGTCCATGCCCTTTGGGGTTGCAGTGGTGTTTGTATTCATCATTGTTAGTCTGTGCAGGTTTTTGGTTTTCTAAAATTTAGTCTAGCCCTATTTGTGAGAGAGAGAGAGAGAGATATATATATATATATATATATATATATATATATATGTATGTGATAGAACTTGGCACTCACCCTTTACTGTAAATATCAGATGAATATTGCCTGGGTGCAAACCTTTAGGGGTTGAAACGTCGATTTGTTTGTAGATTTTTTTGCACATGTAAATTTGCATGTAAAATAAAAAGAAGCACTTTTGAAGACCTGTGAGTGCACCTTATTTATATATATATATATATATATATATATATATATATCTATCTTTCAGGGAGAAATCCTATACTTTTAGAAAAATAACAATTGTCCTGTTTTACAGATTAATCCAGTTATCTTGTGTGATGCACAGCAGAGCTGATGGGAATTGTAAAGGTCGATAATGTCAAAAACATCTTATAGAAGGAAGGTAACTTCTGCAAAGGTAAGCGGAATGCAATGTGAATGTTACATTGTGTTTTCCTAAAGGTAATAATATAACTATTTTGTTCTTTTATAATTGTAATAGATGATTGAACTAATTATTAAATTGAATGATCACTCAGCAGGGTTATCCTTAGTAGTTTTGATTCCCTGAGCAACAAACCTTTTCAAGACCTTTTAACATACTCTCGCATATGGCATGGCTCCTCCATTTGTCCACTTAAGTGACAAGAGAAAATGGCAAAAAACTAAACAAAAAAAATTGGGGGGTCCGAAATGTTCCCAAATTTTGCAACATTGTATAGACCGGCTGTTTCTACTTCTGTCTTTACAACTAATCTAACACTATATCTCACTGATTCTGGGACCCAGACAGTCATCATGTTCTTCAACACAACCATATACCTCAGTGGATATAATTTTAGAAGAACACTTTAAGCACCATAACCACTACCTCCCATTAGAGTGTTATAGTGCTAGCAGGCTTCCGATGTTTTGTGTTCGTCCTTTGTCTTTGTCTGCAAAGGCTCTATCCAGCAATACTTCGGTCAGTTCCTTTCTTCTTCCACAAACCTCATGCAGTCACTTTATTGTTGAATAAAGACAAGTCTAAGTACAGGGAAGATCAACGTATATTTAATTAAAAAGGATATTTGTTTATAGAGGGAAAAAAATGGGAAAGATAAAACATAACAGCCAGTAACAATAACAGGTGTAATTAATTACACACAAAACAACTCCACAACCGAATACAGATTTTTTTTTTTTTCTTTTTTTAGAATTCTTTATTTATGGTTAATTTTGTTTAATACAATGTGGTATACAGGATATGGGATACAGAAAAGAGATTGTGGCTGGGTAAAGAAAGGTATAGCACAGTTATACATTTATACAGTCCCATCCTTACCTTTCATTTTTGGTCTTTGCGGTTACAATCACACAGTTACCCATTACATATGCATGGATGACACAAGCTGGGGTCAGATAGGTTGTTCAGCAATGGTCTCTATCACTCCTCCGTGTTGCGTAACTCTGGTATATGGGGAGGGGTGTATATGTTCGCTTAGGTTTACCCCAGTATAGGCCCTGGGGGGCTGTTATGATACCTTATGGGTGTCGATGTTGCGGTCTACGTCAGTATGCCTGTTTTCCTATCTCTCCGCTCTGCCCACCATCCCTGTTGGCAATTCTTCTTTGTGGCTATACCATCGTTTGCTAGTTCCATGACGTTACACAGATTTTGTTTTTTTAAATTCTTTATTTGTATTACACATAACGAGGATGTCAGATGACACCTAACAAGAACTTAAAAAAAAAAATAAAAAAATTCACATGTCAAAACCTTCATCAATGAACTTGGTCTCTAAAATGTGTTTTTAAAAATGTAAACAAGAAACAATAAAAGAAAGAGAGAAAGGAGGGGAACAAAAAAATTATATCAGCTTTCCCGATCTCATAGACCAACTCCGGATCAATTTGAGATATATTCCTTCCATAGTTCCCAAACGTTAAAAAAGGTAGGTGTTGTGTAACTTTAACTGTGAGCTCATCCATGATATAGTTATCATACGTCTTGCAAAGATGGTCTTTCCATTTAGCCAAGCTGCTGCTAGGATAATTCTTTTTAGTAGTTTTTGTGAATGTTTTGGCTTACGCTTAATTTCCTAATTCCTTTCCAATAGATGTGTAGTTTGGGACAATCTTATTAAATATGTAAGTAGGTTAATACACAGATTTTAGAACATAACATTTACATAGGATAATCCCCTTTTTTGCCCACTTAGTCTTGATGATCTCTAAAAATGAGATTCCCTTGTCAAAGTTGTCATTCGTCTCAAATTAGTTTAGGATTTGATAGATTCTTATTTTTATTTGTTTTGATTATTGATGTATGCAGTCTACATGCAGCATACTTATTCCTCTGATTCAACTTTGATGATAAAAATGTGCTGGATAGCTTATTTAACCTGACAAATGCATATAGTTACAATTTGTTTAATGTGTTACAATATGATCTGTTTTTGTATTGTTACACTGATTTGTCTAATTAGTCAATGTTTTAATTGAATGTTACCAATTCAATACATTTATCTCTCCAGGCAAGTCCCATGCAGACTTGTAATTATTTATTTGTATATTCCACATTATTGTATAAAACTTTATTTTTTAGTTTTTTTTTTTTTTTTGAGGGGAGGTAGGGGTTGTTTTTTGTTTTTTTTCTTCCTCATTTGGTTTCTTTTTTTATGATTATAATTGTTTTCCATTAAGTTATTTTTTTTTTTTTTATCGGCAGTCTAATTGGTAGCAGTATTTTCCTTCCTTGATTTGTTCGCCGGGGTAATTCTCCCCCAATTATTTGACTGTTGGTTTGAGTCTTAAATATCCTGGCAGATATCGGCATATTATGCCTAAGATTAAGGGATAGTTTGCACAACACATTAGGCAACTGCCTTGGAGATGTGCTTTTTAATGATTTATTCAGGGTTTTTTAGACTAAAGGTTTTCTTTAACGGCTTTAAACTTATACTCACTCTGCCTGAAGTGGCTGGCTATCCACCTTTGTGCTTAGTTTGGCTTAACCCTTTAGCTGATCTCCTGGTGAAGGACCAGGCTGTAAGTGGGTCAGGAACCCTCCGTTTGCGTCAAACTGTTTTAAGGAGAACCGGGAAGATGCCAAGTCTACTAGCACCGTAACTACTATAGCAGGCTGTAGTAATTGTGATGCATTATCTAGATAATACATTGAAATAAACCAGAACAATTATTAAATATTATAAAGTTACTTATCTTTTAAAGTTCCCACAGGCTGACTGTCTAATGGATCTTTTCAGACACACCACTTTTTTTTTTTTTTTTCTTTCCTATTGTGTTTAATTGTCACGTGTTTATGGTTTTAGATCACTGATTGGGTTGAACCATCATTTGACGATTTCTTTGGGAACACAAGCACCGTCTCTTCTTCAGGAGCCATTAAAAGAAATGCGAAGAACAATAATGAGTCTTTATTAGATAACAAAGCTCATGGCAAGAAAAGAACAAATCCTTCTTCCGCAGCTTCTAGCTGTGATCAACTTAAGCCGAGCTCAGACCAATCACAGAATGAGCCATGGATTGATAAATACAAACCTGATACCCAGGTAAGAACACTTAAAGCTGTGTTATCTCTTACATTTCCATTTTCTGCTAATTTCTATGGCAGTTGTTCTTGCTCGCTACATCACAGAGATCCCTATGTATATGGCATTAATTCTGTGACCCATTCTTCCATTGCAATATAATAGCATATAATAATAACCCCTTAATTGTACCAATGTCAAATGGCATTGCACTAGAGAAGACATTACTGCTGCAATAAATGTATTTTTGTGGAGAATTGTGTGGGGTCTCTCTCTTCTATGATCTTTCTGTTCCAATTATATGAACTACTGAAATAGGATGGAGACCAGTTTTAGGTCAAAACTTAATGGATTAATACCCACTTTACTGTAGATGTGTTCATACATAGATCCAAATGTTCTGATATTTAAAGGGGTATTCAAGATACACTACTAACCAGTATGAATTATCAGTAGTATTGGCAAAAGCTTTTAAGTATTGCTTAGCATGCTAGTTAATGTGTTGAAGTAGGAGGAAAAAATAAGTTTTACCTACATTTAGTCTACTCTCCTGCCTCTCTGACATTAATAAATCTAAATTAAAATGTAGTTGTTACATTTGTGGTTTCTAAGGTATCGGATTAAAAAAAAAATAAAAAAAATATATATATATTATGCAAAGTTTGGGCTTAAAAGGTTACTCCAACCACCATTGCCATGTCTGCTTTTTTTCAAGTGGTCATGGTGGTAGGAGTCTGTTCGTGCAGTATTCTAGCTTGAAAGAAATAGTGCACATCCAGAGATATTTTAAATTGTGTGCTAAGGTAAGTTGCACCCTCAGCACACATGACTTTGGCAGCCCAGAATCCTGTTCCTGGTTGCTTAATGTCAATTCTGTGCACAAAAAACATATGTCATCAGGGCACACTACAGCTACCAACAAACGTAACTACTTCTCCCTTGCAGGCTGGGCCTACAAATGAGAAGCTCCTTGTCTCCTCTTCCTCCCACCCACTCTTAGTAAACCCTTCCTTTTACCTCTGATATTTAATTTAAAAAAAAAGTTTATTCACTCGCCCTCCCTTTCCCCTTCCCTTTGCGGGCTCAGTATGCGCACATGTGCTCTGAGCTGCTAGGCTTCAGAGATGGGGATGTGCTGGGAGCTTCACCTGGGGCTGGATTAAGGCGAGTTAAACTTTGTTTAAAACTCTTGTTAAATGTTTATTTTGGTGGCAACCAACAAAATAATACCAATAAGACATTATTTTATTTTACACTAAAAAGGGCTGGAGAAACCTTTGAGGACTCACGTCCAAACATTACTGAATAATTGTGTAATAAAATAAACAAATCTGTTCAGGTTTATAGTTGAAATAAACTGTAACTTTGCTTTCAGGCAGACCTTGCTGTGCATAAGAAGAAAGTTGAAGAAGTTGAATCCTGGTTGAACGTTCACATTGATCAGAAACCTCCAAAGCAGGTCTGGTTGTCCTTTATTAGCTTTCTGGTTTTTTTTCAGATTAGCATTTGGGTAAAAGGCACTGTGGTACTTCATTGAAGAAGAAGAAAAAACTTTCACATTCAGTTGTTTATTCATCAAAATGGAAACTAAGGACAATTGCCAAAATAATTGGTCTATTCTATTTGTTTTCATCTCCCTAAAAGCATTTTTCTTCCCTCACAATTTTAATTGTCTCCTGTGCTATTTAATATCATAATTTCTTTCTCCTACATAATGGAATTATTCCATCATGGTTGTCTTGTTCTTAAGGATCACTGGCAGTTTAATTCCCTCATGCTGATTTTCCAGCACTATCTGCTTCCTTGGGGTGGCATTGGTATCCTATAAGTGACCCCATGCTGAACAATGAGCTACATGCAGCCCTTTAGATAGTCATGGATGAACTGCCACATTCAGACACGGACCATGGGCAGGCTATGTCATTATTGAGTGAGATCTGGTTCTTCCTGCATGCTTTCTGCCAGCTAATCACAAACCACAGATGATGGTTGTGCTGGATCGCACCGGGTGCCCAGTGCCGATCACTATGCATGATCAGACTGACAACTCTTGAAATCGTACCGCAAAAAAATATGGCCATCAGGTGATGTAACTGAGCACAATTTGCTTTTAGTTGCATCAGATTTACTAAATAAATAATAAAAAAAAAAGGTTAAATTTGTGTTTGTTTATTTTGATTATATTTTACCAGACAGGATAGATTGAGATTTTCAAGTATGTCCTGGGGAATGTATGTTTTAATAAAGTTTAATCTAAAGTCAAGGTAACCTGTTTTGTTTCCAATGCCAAGTCATAAGCAAGTGAATTAATAAGGGGAGCTAAGACTTGAAATTTTAAAATTGTTTCCCTGTGGTCTGCCTTCTCCAGTGATCCAAGGCCAAAAAAATGTGTATATAAAGTTATTTCACTTTATGTGTGTTTTGGGATTTTTTTTTAACCTCCTGCAAACAAAGAAGTCTGGAGCAGTTGTATCCATACGCTTGGAATTGTGTGACATTGCCTGTGTTATTTGGAGGCAAGGAAGAAGCAAGTGCATCTTTTCATTTATACATACGCTGCAAATTTTGTCAAAACAATGTATAGACTTAATGTTCACTATTTGTAGATTGCAGGCTCACTTTTAGTTACTCCTGTTGTTGTTAATCCTTCTGAACTATGACTAGATTAAACAAATTGGAAATGCAGGATAAATATTAATGTTAGTCATCATTCCTCTTTTGTTTTTATTTTCCTTCCTTACAGGGAGGTTCACTTCTGCTACTTACTGGACCTTCAGGCTGTGGAAAGACTGCAACGATTCAGGTTTTATCCAAGGAAATGGGAATTGAAATCCAGGAATGGATCAATCCAGTAATGCAAGAGTTCAGACGTGATGAGCCGCCAGAGGTGTTTGATCGAGGTAAATAGGCCATTTGATAAACCCCCATTGGGATCATGCTGATTGTGTTTGAAAACAATGTCCAATTCCACATTTGTAGTGCTCCTGAACACTAAACTGTGTACCAGACCTTGACCGCTGATGCTTTATTAAGTGAGTGCTTTGTAAGTTAATGTCGACAATTGGAATTGGATCCAAGAAGCCAGTATAAAGAAATTGAAGAGATTGAAATCTCACTAGCATAATGTGTTAACACAAGAGGGTCATTTCTTAATTTTTTTAATGTAACTGGGTGAGGAGTGAGTTGAACAAAATAATCTAGAGTGGGGATTTTGTAAAAAATAATTGTCTCCCACCTTATGAGGCTTGCTCTCTTCTCCTCTCCTATAAACCCTTGCTGTTTTTTTTTTTTTTTTTCTCATTAACAGTCTTGGTGCTGGCTAGGTAGTCCTAAATCTTGTGTATCTCCATTGGTAGAGCTGTGTGATGTGATTGTTTACTCTGTGTCTTCTCTAGAATTTGGATTCCAGCCATTCACCAGTCAGTCTCAATCCACTCTTTTTCAAGATTTTCTTTTAAGAGCAAACAAATACAACAAACTGCAGATGGTTGGAGAATCCTCCGGGAGAGATAAGAAGATCATCATTGTTGATGTATGTTTTTGTTTTGTGTTTTTTTTTTTTTTTTCTTACTGTAAACAAATAATACAGCTGTATATAATATCTAGTTAAAGGCACATTGTAGTCACCAGAACAACTACAGCTAATGTAGTTGTTCTGGTGTCTATAGTGTGTCCCTGCAGGCTTTTTGTTGTAAACACTGCCTTTTCAAAGAAACAGTGTTTACATTACAGTCTAGGGACACTTCCAGTGGCCAATCCTCACTCACAGTGTGAAGCACTGCCGTTCAGCTTTTCCTTGCTGAACTTTCGCCATAGAGATGCACTGATTCAATGCATCTCTATAAGGAGATGCTGATTGGCCAAAGTGGAGTTTGGTTCATCATTGACAATCTGCCAATCCAATGCTTTCCTATGGTACACATTTTCATGTAAGTCTTTTACTGGTTCACATTTGTGAACTGTTTAGCACATTAGAACATTGTCGGTTTGTAACATAGTTGTATTCTTGCTTTATGTGGTGACCTGGAGCTCTACGGTTATTAAGCAGTATTTGAATATCAACTTGGTAATATTTGTAGTTCTTTAGCTCCACATTGGCTCTATGCCATTATGATTTTCAGGTTGATGGTGAGGAACATCATGGCCAATTTTGCCATGGTTAGAATGGATCCTCCCTAGTGTTTTATAGGTCTGGCTTACTAATGGTTTTTCTAGGCTAGCCTTTGCCATCTGAGGCCAAATTTTGTGTGCACCAGCTAATTTAATGTTGCCCACAGCCACAAATTCCAGAATAGAGAGTTATGTTCAAGGCATGCTATCTATGTCCTAGAATGCTGGTGGCCTGGTCCATGTCACAACTGTGACTGTGTGCCGGTACTTCAGTAATGAGGCTACTAGTGCACACAGTGCAAGTCGGCTTCCACTGAGATCTCACCCACTCTGCAGGTGCTGGGGGAAAGCATAAACAATTTTTGTTTAGTTGTATTTATGTGTGTGCATATATACACACATACATATAGGAAATGTGTAGTTGTGTGTGTATCTGTATACATGAATAAGGATTTTTGTGAATGAGTGCACGTCTGGCAATAAGGATCTGTGCTCCATACTGGAGATGACAGCTTGGCTATTGGCCCTTTAGGTAAATTGATTTTTATACCACTGGAGTACAGCATAGTTACATAGCTGAAAAGAGACTTGTGTCCATCAAGTTCAGCCTTCCTCACATATGTTTTTGCTGTTGAACCAAAAGAAGGCAAAAAACCCAGTCTGAAGCGCTTCCAATTTTGTCACAAACTAGGAAAAAATTCCTTCTTGACCCCAAAATAGCAGTCAGCAACTCATTAATGATTCCATCTCTAACCAACTACATGGCTGAGACACACGGTGTGATGTTCTATCACCATCATGTTTTCAAATCTGTAGTTCTGTGGTTGTTTATTTACTTTTCTCCTATGGAGACAAGAAATATGCAGCATTGCTAAGCAAACTTGAAAAGTTAGACATATTCACATCAGCTCTGTATTTATATATGCACCAAGTGTACTGTTCATGTTATTTTTCTTTTGTGCTATAATTTGAAAAGCCTGTTTTTTTTTTTTGTTTGTTTTTTTTTCAAGGACATGCCCAACCAGTTTTACCGAGATCCCACAAGCTTACATGACATTCTTCGGTAAGTTATGCAAGTTTGGAGAATTTGCTAAATAATAACTGATAATTCATGATATTTTCCAAACTGTAATACCTTGTGTTTTAGGAGGTTTGTAAGAACTGGACGATGCCCGCTGGTGTTTATAATCTCTGACAGCCTGAGTGGAGAAAGTCACCAGAGACGATTATTCCCAAAAGAGATTCAGGAGGAACTGCATGTTTGTAATATTAGGTGAGTAGAGGGTGGGTTATTTATTTATTTATTTTGAAGTATGATTAAGCTGCTGCACCTTTTTATAGTTATTCTGCTAGTTGCCCAAATTTCAGTGGTGATTGCGGACCACTCGGCATGGCTCTGGTCAGAGTTAATATGGCAAACAATAGATTGGAAAAATTGAGTTTCCAAAACCGGTCTCCTGGACCTAGTAGTAGTCTAGAATTTGAGCATATGCCTGTCGATGTTTCCTTGAAAATGACTGAATTACTGATTAACCTATTTATGCTACAGCATTGGTCAAATGTTTTTTTTTTTTTTTTCTGCACAGCAACCCTACCTTTCAGAGCCTGCCTTTTGAGGTGCAGCTAATATTCTGATAGGGAAATTCAGCAAGAGGATCATGTTTAGATTAGCCTTTAAATGTTTAAGTTACCCTTTTAAAGTTCTTACTTTTGTATATAATGATACTTTTTTTTTTTTTCTTCCTACAAGTAATGGGTATTAAGGGTATCATTTTTCCCCATAATTTTTTTTGATGCCTGTAGGACATTTATAATAAGCAGAGATGGACAGTTATAAAGAAACCTTGACAATCGATATTTATGAATTCTGAAACAAGTTTTCTCTTAATCACCCTGACCATTATTATTGTATATGTTTCCAGTTTCAATCCAGTAGCACCAACAAGCATGATGAAAGCACTGACTCGAATTGCTACAACAGAGGCCAGTGGGGTACGTCTTATTAACAGTACATAGTCTTTAATAGATTCCTCTTACCTAGGAAGCAATAATTTTACATATGGACAGTTTGGAGTATTAAAGGTACACTCTGATCCACATATCTGCTTAGGTTAATTTCTTTGGTAATACTCACATTGTCATGTCTTCTTTGTACTAATGATTTTCTGTTAAATTTAAAGGAACACTATAGCGTTAGGAATACAAATATGTATTCCTTACGCTAAACGGTGACAAGGGCCCGTTCCGCGGCGAATAAATGGTTAATTAACCTTACCTTAAATCAGCGCTGGACTCTCTCGGCGCTGGTGACATCGCCTTCTCCATCGACGTCCGCTCCTGAGTGGAGCCGAATGCGCATACGCGGCCAGAGGCGCGCGCATTCAAACCCGCCCATAGGAAAGCATTACTCAGTGCTTTCCTATGTGGATCTTTTTTGACGCCGGAGGTCCGTGTGGATGTGCAGCGTCAAATAAGTGCGATTTACTCGGTTTAAATCAGGGAAACAGCCACTAGAGGCTGGCTTGACCCTGCAGTGTAAATTGCTATGTTTCAGCTGCAGGGTTAAAACCAAGGGGACCTGGCACCCAGACCACTTCATTGAGCTAAAGTGGTCTGGGTACCTATAGTGGTCCTTTAAGTTGAAGAAATTGTTCAAATTCTTCTATTTTAGAACCTCTGCCCTTAGGTATGACTCTGTTTCAGGAAGTCGTTTCCTAATTTGGCCTGTACCCCAGAGTATGTACTGTGCTGAGCAACACTCTGTTCAGTTGTTGCCAATAAGCTGCAAGCCATGCAGTCTGGAGTGTTAATAATCATCACATGGTGTTAATAGTAGCATAATACTACGATAGTCATTCTGTCCTAGGGGGCCAGGCTGCAGGCACCTGGGGTCCTAAATTCTCTCTTTACAGTCACAATAAACAGTTACATGAGATGAATTGTTTATGGTACCTACACTGTCAGTTTTAATAAATGAGTAGTTAAAAAACAACAAAAAGTCCAGAATGCCTTTATGTATGACATCACAGGTATTAAAAACATAACTTAATTTCTTCCTTCATGAGAAAGTTGTTTTGCAAGATTTTATAATGTTTGTTTAAATTCAAGCTATATGAATGTCTTGTTTTTACAGGGTGGAGGTAAATTTGCCATTCCTGATAAAGCAGCGTTGGAACTCCTCTGTACTGGGTGCTCGGGGGATATCAGAAGTGCCATTAACAGTCTTCAATTCTCAGTTCTGAGAGGTAAATGGAACACATGTGGCCAAATATAACGTGTTTGCTCAATCCCTAGTCAGATCTACCAGTTAAAAACCTTAGTTCACATTTCCATAGTTCTGCTTTCATGTTATAGATGAACTATTATGTTGTATTTTAACAGAAACACAATAGAAAAAATATAATGAAAAAGCTTTGTCACCTAGATTACAATTTACATAAATATTCTGCTTATGTTTGGGTTTTGGGTTATAACTTTATTTTTCTTTACATTTATACTTTTCAACTTTATCTGTAACCTAAAATGTATATTTCTTCTCCTCCTCGTATTTTACCTGTTATCAGAATTAAATGTATTTGTTTCTTTTTGCACATTTGCATTGTAGAACATTTTTTTATGCTTCAGTCAATGAACCCTGTCACTAAGTTGCATGTTTTTTTTTCTCCAAATCAAATTTATGTTGCAGTTATTGTAGACTATGATGCCAGATATTTCTGTACAATAAACAAACGTCAAATTATATATCTCATAATAATTAAAAAATGTACCCAAAATAAATGTTATAGTAGTGGTCTGCACACATCTGATGTTTTGTTTTCATGTTGCAAATGACAGCATATTGTGATAATTGTACCCACAAATATCAATCATGCACACAAAAAGTACTCTCTCCATTACTTTACACACCATAGTCCAGAATATACCTAATTAACTTTTTTTTTCTAGTACATTTAAAAGAAACCTTTTTCTTATAGGAAAACAATTGGCTCTTTTTGTAAATTATGGGCATATGGTATGATGCTTTGATCAGATCTAAAACAATGCCAGGAGCAGACTACTCATCCACCCGTACAGTATTGATCTCACACATACTGTAGGTACATGATGTGTCTATATCAAGAATCTCTTAGTGACACAAATAAGGTAGCAAGCACTTAATTTGAGTGCAATGTTTGTCACCCATAATCCATCCTAATGGATTGCCATGTTAGAAATAAATAAATAACTAAACAAACAGCCACAATGCTGCTGATGATTTATTGAATTTTATTAGTTAATACAAATGTTGGCTCAGCCACATAACCGTATTGTCTATTGTGTTGCTGCTTTATAGTCTGTTTAATTTGATATCCTGAAGGCTTCCAGCATGATGTGTTGAAGCACTTACAGCAGAGGCTGTGGTGAGACCTGTTTAACCTATCTGAGAGAGTAGCATGCCTTTTTTCTTGGTTTTCTTTAGAGAACATGAGTAGAATTAATGCCAACATGGTTCAACATTCCTTTATGACTAACCATAGGAAACCCTGTGCTTGTGCGACAATGAAATGAAGACATATTCAACGTGTTGTTGCTTTTTTTGTTTTTTTCTCTTCTTCTTTTGTAAATCATTTACACAAGAAAGCCAGAGACATTAACCAATCTGGTTTTTTTTTTTTTAATGGCAAATGTATGTGTCTGAATGTTTATATCAAATTGCTTTGTTCTTCCACAACTTTTATCAGTAGCACAGCACAGACATGTGTTTTTTTGTTTGGGCTGCAGATTGTTCTTTACCAAATGATTTCTGGGGTAAAAAGAAAGGAAGAACAACGAAAACAGAGAAAACATCTCGAGGGAAGCCCAAAAAGAAACCCGAAACAGGAGAACATACAGAGGGTATTCAGGCAATTGGTGGGAAAGATGCTTCTCTGTTTCTGTTCAGAGCCTTGGGGAAAATACTTTATTGTAAACGTAAGTTGGTATTGTATTGGTTTTCTTCATAATGTATTCCATAGTCTGTCTGATTGTGTTCATTGACTGCACAGAAAGGTGTTGCAGTTGAGATTTTGGCCTGGTAGCTCTGTGCCCCATATATATCTTCTGGTATCTTGTGATCTGACAGATGTAGAAGGACCTCTCTACCTATGGTGCAGATAATCTCTACTTCCATTTGCCTGTCTGCTCGTAATGTTTAAGACAGAGTGCACCATAATATGATCTCCTATATCTACCAACACTATATGCTCCTTTGGCACATGTTCTGTTCTCCCTGTTACTGAGCGTTTAATTTGGACATTTCTCACCAACTCCACTCTGGTGGTATGGGAAGTTATTTTTATATACTTTCAAATAAATATTCCTCGTGTTAAACGGAGTTATTTATCTATACCTTGATCAATGCAGTGTTACATTTTCAGTCATATTTAATATTAATATTGTTAATCGTGTTTTTAGGAGAAGCCCTTCCTGCTGACTCAGAATATCCTAAATTACCTGCACACTTATCTGAACATAACAGAGATCTGCTACTCGTTCTCCCAGAGGTAGGGCTTATTCTCATTTGACTGTTCTCTTACTTTCGAGCCATGTTTGCTTTGCCTCCCACCTCCCCCCATTAAAACAGATCAGTGGTCTAGAAATTCCTCCTCTCTACCCATGAAAGAAGGAAATTGGCAGACCTAGCCTAAGTGGGACTGCCCCTAAAGAGGGTAGAGTACTGAAGAAATGGCTGCAGAGCCAACCATAGCTCTTTCACACTGAGATTCCTGCTTTGCCACCAACGCTTGTGAAGGTCATAGGCAGGTGTGGCAAGAACCCAGAATGTGTATTTGGGAGGTTTTGTGTAATTCTTTTCATAGTTTAATGCTTCAAAGGATAAATGTGTTGCTACCTCTCTCAATGAGATCCATTAACTTCTTTGACTTCTGTTAAAGCTAGGTTTTCTAACTCTATAACTAGTTTGTTTCTATTGTATGTTTAGGCTGTTGTAGAAAAGTCCCACATGCATAGTGAGCTTTTCAATTTATATCTCCATCAAAACTACATGGATTTCTTCTCCGAAATTGATGATGTGGTGCGAGCAAGCGAATATATGAGTGCTGCAGATGTCCTTTCTGGAGACTGGAATGTAAGTCTTGGCTAGACAAGTAAATTAACAAAGAAAAGCAAGATACTATAGTGCCAAATCATTACTGTATTGTGCAATTTGTCAGGAAGTGACGTTTGAATTATAACCATGAAATACTATAAAAAATCAAAAAAGAGAGCGCATATATAAATAGGATAAACAACCTAAGTGATAGTCAATATATGGTCTAATTAAAATAATATAGATGGTACTCAAAGTACTATAATAATATTAGCAGCTAAAACAATAAGAAATTTCCCAATTTCAATGTACAAATGTTAATATAAGTTTCAGCGCTTAATAGATAATCCCCTTAAAAATAACAAGGGTGCATTTATATGCAAATGTTGCATGTAATAATATGCAAAGTCTTAAAAGAATGTCCAGATTATATAAATCGGCTACAAAGTCCTGCAAAGAAACAAAGTCCAGATATTGTTGCAATATGTAGGGATTCAGAGATATGTAGAGATACCTTGGAGAAAGAGAGACAAAGAAAGATATAGTGTGACTCTGTATCAAAATTTATAGCCCAAAATACAAAAGAAAGGGTAACCCCCCCCAAACTAAAAACTCTTACACTGTATAAAATATAGTACTCATCGTTGTCGATCATGCAGGAAAAAGTTTTTCTTTCAAATCTACTCGTAATGTAGAATCAAGGCTGGTGGTCTGGTTCCTCACGAGAGACGGCAGCTGCCTGGTGTACACAGGAACGCTGGTCGTGTTGGTATCAGTGGGGAAACACTAACGATTAGTCCAGCTTCTATTGAAAGTTCAGGTGGTCTGCTGCATATGAGTAATAGTAGCACCCTATCAACGCGTTTCGCCCTTCTTCCGAGGGCTTTTTCAAGATAGGTGCTCTGAGGGTGGCTCGGCAGTTTTATACTTTGCCGGGCAAACAAATTCAAATCTCTTAAGGGTATATACCCTTATTTTTAAACACATATATTAAAACATGCAATAACTCATACAAATGGGAGCAGAATGCTTCCTAGCAATATATATTAACATATAAAATATAATGTTCTTTAAATATAGTAAAAAAACTATTAGAACTACCAATAAAATACATGAATATATAAAAACAAAGAACAAAAAAACCTTAACAATTGCAATGATTGTTGCTGGCATATTAGTGTGTTTAACCCCTAAATTTAGATGTTTTATATCAATCTAAAGAGTGGCCATCGGTTTTTCTTTACCATTCATTTAAAATCAAATCTGACATGTATATTCCCGGCTTAATGATTTTTTCACATGTCACTGCACAGTATTGCATTGTCACAAATTTTCTCATAGGGACAGAAACTTTATAACAGATGGCATTCCTAAAGTAGTTATATTTCTGAAAGAGGAAAGTATACTAATATTTGCATTAGATGACATTACCGTAGTAAACCTCAAAAAATACATTGTGATATTTTTCATGATTGTGTATATTTCTTTATGGACTCACTATAATGTCTCCCTTTTTTTTTTTTCTTCCTGAAGATGAAAAAGGGAAAAAAAATTATAATTATGGTTAAAAATACTAAGTAGGATATGTTTCTTGAAAGTAAACACTACTATAGAGAACTTTTATTGAAGAATTCCTAATTTTTTGGGAATATGTACTCCCACTATTGTCCACATATTGGAAAGATATGGCTTAATTTCTTGATCATAATTATATGATATAGACTAATCTTAGTTCTAATCATAGTGTTGTAGTAGATAATTTACTGCAAACCAATTAGTTTGAATGACTATCTGTTCCTGTCCAAATTAAAGATAATAAAGTTGCGTGCACGCAGAAGTAAATTCACACTGAGACACAAAGTTCAGGGTAATGAAAGAACTTCGGAGAAGTTTAATGGCTTCTGACAGAAAATGGGTGCGCAGACCCTTTTAAAGGCATTATTACATCATTGAAGAAAATCAAGATATAGACAAATAGACATTGTTAATTGGCTTAGGTGCTAAGATGTTAGTAAAATGCCCTCCCCATTCTTAGGTCACTATCCACGTAATTTTTAACTCCTCCAGGTTTTAGCGCCATTTTGCTAACATGAGGAGCTCACTCGACGGGAGGGGCCTTTTGGCAGCTATCCATTTAGAGCGTAGCTGGCACTTGTTAGTTTCTCAAGGTTAGGTTTCAAGGCTTTTAGTAAATACACATTTTATCAAAGCTATTTCTTGCTGACATGCAAATTCTATGTTCTATAGACAAGGCTTTCTTGTAAAACTATGGGGGCCTCTTAGAGGTATAGCAAGAGGATTTAAAGGGGCCTTACAGATTTATAGAGGCCTAATAATTCTACAACAGTGTTATTATAATATATTGGCCAATTCTAGTTCTGCATTGAGACCCAAAGGGATCAAGGTCTTTAAATTATAAATCCAGAACATTTCCCGGTATGTCAGGGTTTTACTTAATTCACCTCCTCTCCATGGTATTGTTACCTTTTCGATACCACAATATAGGAGAAGTGTTTGGGTCTCCATTGTGGTGTGTTCTAAAATGGTTGGAGAGGGAGTGTTTCTCAAAACCCCTTTTGATGTTATAAACATGTTCTTAGTCTAATTTTGAGTGTTCTTTTGGTTTGTCCCACGTATTGGAGGCCACAAGGGCACTCCAACAAATAGATGACCTGTTTAGTGTTACATGTGATACAGTCCTTGATATCAAATATTTATTTTGTAACTGAGGACTGGAAAGTGGTGTGATTTTTCCCTTTGGAACTTAATTTGCATATATTGCAGTTTCCACATTTGTAAAACCCTTTTTGGCCAGTTAAAAAATGGTGAGGTCCTGTTGGCTTATTACAACTATGTACCAGCCTATTTTGCAGTGTTGGAGCCCCCCTAAAGATTACCATCGGTTGTATAGGTAAGAGCGCAGCCAAAACAGGGTCTTGCCGACATGAAATACTATAAACCTTATTTTTACCATGTAAAAAAATTTTTTAGAGGCTGTTTGTACAATTTTTATAAAATGTGCATGCTGCCAGAATCATTTTATTTTCTATTTTTTTGTGTGTATTATTGCACATTCATTGTATGTCATGTGGCGCTAGCTTAGCTCGCATAATGTATAATCATTTTTTATTTATTTTCTTTTTCCATAGAGCAGGTCCACAATGAATGTTTACAGCTCGTCGGTTGCCAGCAGAGGAATCATACATTCTAACAGGGCTCGGGCCTTCGCCAATTGTCAATCCGGAATTGGCTTTAGGCCACTACACAAACCACAGTGGCTCTCGGTTTCCAAAAAGGTAAACATTTTATTTTCTTCCAGATGTTATTCCTTTTGTGTAACTGGATCACCCACTGCACTTTATAATTGCACTAATTGTGTGATCTTTGTTCAGTGCTGCGCAACATCTATCTGTCTATCTTTACAATGAAACTCTAGTATATTTTATATGGGTTCATGTGCAATAGAAATTTCTATGGAGACACTGAGCATTTATTATTAGTATAATACAAAGATTTTCTATTGAGTGTGTTTATCTTCATCTTTGTTTTCAAGCTTTTTTTCCCCTTTGTCTGATTTTTTTTAGTATCAGGAAAATTGCCTTGCTGCCAGAGAACTCTTCTCAAGCTTCTGTTCCTCGCCGTTATGCCTCCAGACCCAGGTCTTACCATATTTAGCGATGCTCACAAATCCATTAAGAAATCAAGGTAATGCACATGTGTCAGAGAACTAACCTCCGCTTAACTACGATAAAGAAAGTTATTTAAATACCTTTTTAAAATAACAATTTATATAGTTTAAAATTTTACACAAGTGTATGTTTTTATAAAAGCGACTGTACTCTTTTTAAATTGTTTCTCCCTGTCTTTCAGCTCAAATCTCATTTATTCAAGATGTTGGTCGACTTCCCCTAAAGAAACATTTTGTAAGGTAATTTGTTTGGATATTCTATGGGGTTTATTCACTAAGTAGGTAATGTTAAATTATACATTTGTAATGGTGAGTGACTGACAACTGAATTGCAACATTTATTCCTAATTGCATGAGATCACTCTTTCATATCAGTGAATTCCAAGGAACCTTATGTCCATGGTACCAATTTCATACAATAAGTTCTCACTGTGATGGCCTGACAGCAACTTCAGGCCCTCTGCATCAGTGGTTGCTGTCCGAAAAGTGATTAACCGTCAGATTATTGAGTATAAACTGCATGTGCCTTTTTACGTTCTACTCTGATCATAGAAAACTGTAAAAAAAAAATAATGCTTTAACAATGTGTGTTGCATTGCACCCAGGACCAGGAGTGTCCCTTTTATTAAAAAAAAATGTAAGGAAAGAACAATACAAAATGCATGTAAAACTCTGTAGTATAAGATTAATCCGGTAGCATTTAGAAAAGAAAGAAACGAAAAAAATTAGGTGATGTTACTGGTGTGAACAAAGTTCTCATGTTTCCAAGTTAAAGCAGGGCATCTCTACTAGTGCTACATGTCCAACGGGATGTACTGACATATATTCTCTTCTAGAATGAAGCTTGAAGCTCTTACTGATAAGGACACAGGGGTCCCAGATGCTGAGAGCGGCGAAGAAGACGATCATACTGACTTACACACTGGGAAAGAAAGGAATGAACTTTCCAGGTCAATCTCTATTAATGAACAACATGCATCTCTGCCATCTAGTCAGGGAGGAGAAAGTGAACTGTCATGCAGCCAGCCCCAGCCTGTTGCAGCCCAAGTTGTTATGGAGGATGACGAACTCAAGATAGAGGAATACGAGAGTGACTGAGATCTATCAAATACAAGATTCCTGCTGTGTTCTAACAGAGCATAAATCTGTTTCACAATGCCTACAATGTAACACGCCCAAAACCAGTGTGTAAGGATGTCCGATTTTATGCTCAAGTTGTACATTGTTGTTTATTATTTGGATACAGAACCTGGACTTATCAAGACCCAGTTTGTATAGTCAAACCGTATCTGCATTTTTTGGTTTTTAATATTTTTTTTATTTTATTTTTTTCCTTTGAGAAATTTCCATTTGGATGAGAACTGCTGTGTCCAAGCTGCATAACTGCACACTTGTTGTTAGTACAAGCTGGGTCAAATAAGATGTGAATTCTGATTTATGTGAATTTCTCCACTGAACTATTTAAGTATGTAAATTAAAACACCTTATTTTTTTTTGTTCCTACCTTGTTCCTAGTTGTTTTCAGTTCTAGTGGTGGACGTGTATATATAATAAGTAGAGTCCAAATTTTAATGCATTTGAATTGTTAAAGATATTGTTTACTTGAATACCAAATGTTCCGTACTGGCTGTTTCATAGCAGGGCATGGGGTATATAAAAATGTAATGTGTAAATAGGACACATCCTCCATCTGTTCCAGTATGGTAGCATGAGATTAATGTTCTGACAACCTCCAACTTACACTAAGCTCCTATGAAATGACAGCACTTGAAATCACAGAGGTTCTGTTTATGATGCTGTCAGAACACAAACCCACTATACAGCTGGAATGCTTTAGGAGACGAGAGCACTAGCCCCAGATACAAGATTTCTATGACAGCCATGCACAGGGAGCAGTTGATGGGGCCCCAAGCACAAAGCAAGACATGGAGGGACTGAAGTCCATGCCCTGACGCTTTAAAGAGATACTATTGGCACCAAAACAATTTTGGCTTAATAAGCAGTTTTTTGTGTGTATATATCATGCCCCTGCAGTCCCGCTGCTCAATTCTGTCCTTTTTAGGAGTTAAATCCCTTTTTATTTCTTACCATGCTGCCCTAGCCATTCCTGCCCTGGCTGTGCTCACACAGCCTGCTTGAAAAAAATGGTTTACTTTTCAATCAGATCTTAACATTTTCATCACACATAAGAGGCTTCTGCCAGGTCTAGAAGGCTAGTAACAGAGCAGGAGAATTTCTAAATTAAACAGGATGTGCAGTAAAGGAAGTTTAAACATTAGATCTCTCTTTATAGGAAGTGTTTAGGAAGGCTGTGCGGATCACATGCAAGGGAGGTGTGACTAGGGATACATAAACAAAGTGATTTAACTCTTAAATGGCAGAGAATTGAGCTGTGAGACTGCATGAGCATTATATATATACCTATACACCAAAACTGCTTCATTAAGCTAAAGGTGCTTTGGTGATTATAATATCCCTAAAAGGTTCAAGGCAGAGACTAGCCACCATGTCCACAGAACTTGCCTCCCTCACAGACTGTTATAAGGCCTTGGAAAACAGGGTTTATGCCTTCCATGATGCATAGACATATTTACAAGATCAGACTGATATTTTGTCTCCCTTTAAACAATTGTAAGATGTCGTGAAGGACTTTGGCAATACGTCCAAGACCAGTAATTTACGCGTTCAATTTCTCATGGAATTGGTTATGTTGCATGACGAGGCCCTTGTAATGGATATAGTCTGCCGTAAGCCGGCATTCTCATAAAGCACCACGATATAACCAAATAAGCGATCCTAGCCACAGTTTATGAGCAACCTGTTTACTCTGATTTAGGCCCTCCTCTTTTTCAAAAATTTAAAGCTCTTAAAGGACCACTAAAATCACCTAGATCACTTAGTATCCATATACGTACAATGTTCTTTTTTTATTGGGTTTTCAAAATAATAAAGCAGATAAACAGTAATTAAATGCATATTAACAGCAGCCAAAATAATCTCGGAACAAGAGCATAGTACAGAAATGTAACAACAAAATTAAAAATATTGAGAAACTTGAATTTTTTTAAATCCAAAGGGAGGTGAACAGAAGGTAACCTATAGTTCTGAAAAAACTATTGTTATTTCTGGGACTATAAATTAAATTTAAGGCATTTACACATTTACTTAAAGCTAGAAAAGTTCAATTTACAGTTACTTTATGCTGTAATTTGGTCTATTTTAGAAAGATAAAAAGTGCTATGTGTACTGGCAGACATCCTCGTTCTCTCTAGCGAGAAGCCTGCCGATGGCTTACTGCCTTCATTGCAAAGGGCCTACTCCGATCATCTTCCAAAAAGAAGATGCTTATTCCTTTGGCATTTCTGAGCCTTCTCTGCGCTCCTGTGGGGTGTCACTGTGGGTGTTGGGGCGGGATTAGAAGGGGAGAGCTTGCAAATGCTGTAGACAAGAGATATACAGCTTTTGCAAACTGTTTTGGACACCTGGCATTATGCACAGTTAAAAGGAAACTGATAGACATTGACATTAATTAATTTAATTGGATATAAAAAAAAAGTAAGTAAAAAAAAAGATAATTTCATGGTTCCTGTAGCTGGTCTCCGTAAGAGGTTCCATCAGTCAGAAGCCTATCATTCTTGTCTGAGTTCCTCTTATCCCATAAACTCCTGTCTAGCCACCACTCCCATTAATCACATATGATGAGTTAAACTGTTTAGTAAAGTGATAGCAACCATGCAGCAGCAGCTATAAATTTACAAATGGTCCATTTCAATGTTCTGTGATCGAGGCTGTGTGCAGTTTTAAGAAACTCTCAACAGGCAGAGTAGAAACAGGATATTCTGTGCACCATAACCTGTGTAATTCTGCTAAGTTGTTCACGTATCGTTTGGGTCAGGGCTTTAACGGAAGTCCACAAATAACCACATTCCATGAAAGCGTAGAGATGCCCTAACATTTTTTGAAAGTGGATTCAAAATGCAAGCGCGCCTCTTTTTTAGGGGAAAACTTGGGCCAGTGAAGCGTGGAGTGTTACTTACTTGGTCCTCGTACTGGTCAAGAGACTTTCAAGAAAATTTCAGAGAAAAGAACCTGCTCACCTCTGGAGCAAGATCTTAAAAGGGAAATGGAGGCGTCACGTCACTTCCGGCTCTAATTTGTCCACCTCGGTTCGTTGTCCCCACTCACGTACGATTTGGGGTTGCAGCCATGATCAAATAATACATAATGGTAGTCAAAGTCCTCTGGCCCTATTTACTGTGTCCTATCATGGTTTCTGTTCCTATATTAACCTTTAGAGCGGTCCTTGATACAGTGTGACGTTTCTGGTATTGACATTGGCAAGGGTTACAGTTCCTATGTAAGCCTTTTCTGACTTGTTCACCTGTTTGATATACTGTATAGCTGACTCCGGCAAGTTCTCGTTTTCACCTAGACTTGTATTTCACCATGTTTACTCTCTATATTAAGTTGTCTTATAATAAGTTCATTTTCAGTCCAGTTTATCACTGTTAACCTAGACTCTGTGTGTTGTGTTTATACCTCGTGACATACAGATCTCCTGACTTACTACCCTGTATCTGTTGCTGGGAAGTAGTGGGAACCATCCTACATATTTGGTGGTCTTGTTCAGTTCCATATTGGAAACAAATTAATTCAAAGTTAAAGGAGATTGTTGATACAAATTTCCCATTTAAACCACCGAGGATGCATCTTACAAAAACTCTAATGACCCTATATAAAAAAAATATATTTTATAAATGTCAAACTCTAAATCCTTTATACCTGTGATGTGGAGAAAGACAGATGCCCATTATCCAGCAGTGGTTTGGGAAGGTGGAGGAGCTCCATTATATGGAACCTCGGATTGTGAAGCTGACAGGTGTCAGCAGACCTCCACTCCATGGGTTTCTATGCAGACTGAAAAAGTCTGGTGCCAGATGATACGCATCTCGGAGCGTGTGTTTATTATTGATTTTATTTATTTTATATAGTTGTTACTATCGTTAAAGAATTGTTTTTTCATTATTTGTTAATAAATCTTTGATGAAATCAACACCTACTTGTGATTCCTTCCTGGGAACTACACCCTGGGTTCCTAAGGGGGCATGGTCACCCTATATCTGACAATAAATCTACAAACTTGGAGTCAGCCATTTATGAGCTCCTAACTAAAGTGAGCAAGAATTTATTGGAGATATTTGTTTGAAGTGGTTTTTTGTTTGTTTATTTTGGCATTTTCTGACTTTATATTTTTTTGCAACTATTGCATTACAGGGAAATTATCTATGTAATTTTGCATTTAATCTGGCAACCCATTTTTCATCAAAGTGTGGAAATTTACCAAAATAAAATTCACACCTCTGCATTACAAATATCCTCACATTACCTTTTGAAATCTTGTTGTGTCCCTCCTACAATCTTTTTTTATATTCTTTATTTTTGAATCAAGCCACATGAGTATGATCACACTACAGAACTGAAATGAAAACGTTATCACAGAATGTAAATGAAGTGGTACATTCATACTGAAGGGTGTCATTTGCATAGCAGTAGTGACTTGAAGTTTTTATGTTCGTGGAAGATTAGCAGAGACGCTAAAGGACCATTCTAGGCACCCAGACCACTTCAGCTTAATGAAGTGGTCTGGGTGCCAGGTCCAGCTAGGGTTAACCCATTTTTTTTTTTATAAACATAGCAGTTTCAGAGAAACTGCTATGTTTATGAATGGGTTAAGCCTTCCCCCATTCCCTCTAGCGGCTGTCTCACTGACAGCCGCTAGAGGCGCTTGCGTGCTTCTCACTGATTTTCACAGTGAGAGCACGCCAGCGTCCATAGGAAAGCATTGATAATGCTTTCCTATGTGACCGGCTGAATGCGCGCGCAGCTCTTGCCACGCGTGTGCATTCAGCCGACGGGGAGGAGAGCTCTCCGCCCAGCGCTGGAAAAAGGTAAGTTTTTACCCCTTTCCCCCTTCCAGAACCGGGTGGGAGGGGGACCCTGAGAGTATGTTTTCCTGGCACTATAGTGGTCCTTTAACAAAGCACATGTTTTGTGTTTACGGGGTTAATAGATTTTCCTTCCCAGTAATGTTGACGCGGGGTTTTCTCTGATGTTGGAGTTCCTCATACAAAGTGCAAGGATGTCCAGCTTCTACTCCAGGAGTCAAATTCTGTGAAACTCAAGGCAGCTCCTCTAGTGGATGTCTTATAGACAGACACTAGAGGCAGTCTTAGTACTGTACTCTAAACATTGCAGTTTCTCTAAAATAAATTTTTAAAAATGAGCTGAAGTGGTTTTGGTGCCTATAGTGCCATTTAAAACACAGCCTTTTTTTTTTTTTTTTTGGTTGCTATAATCCTTTAATCCAATTGTATTGTAAAATCTTCAGAACAGTGAAGCTACATTTAGGGAAATAATGGAATCTTGAATTTTGGACTCACGGTTTATTCTGATATCCCAGAACCATTGCCTGGCTGTGTATAGATAGCAGTGTACCTCCAGCCAGGTTACCTCCCTGTATTCACCTGCAAGAGAGTCTGGGTCCCACCCCATGTGACAGAGGACAGGCCACGTGTGTCTGGGAGGAGGGGACAGACCTGGAGAGCACTGGGGACTCTGTGCTGTTTCCTCTCATGATCTGACCCAGGCAGGACCTACCTCCCCCTGCCCTGCCGGTAAGTAGCACAAGATTCCTGGCTGTCAATGGCTGGGGATTTCCTACACTGGTTCCTGGTCACAGTCTATTCATCTTAATATTAGTTTCTTCTTAAAAAGTTTTTGGGATTTTTTCTTAATGGACTTTATGTGATGGTCTGCTATGGGGAACACATTGTTACCCGGCTGTGAGCCCTGTGTAGTAGGCAGTGCCTGGTTTCTGCTTTCCCCGGGTGTCTGTACACAATGCTGAGGATTCCAATCACCCCCTGTCCTCCCCCACAGGGTGTGTGTCTTGTATTTCCTCCAGAGTCAACATCGCTGCTACATTGTTTCTCTCACAATTCTGGGTGTGAGATCACGTGACTCTGTGCATTACTGAAAGTAAAATAAATTAAAATAATACATTACTGTGCCATTTCCAGCTCCTGGGAGCCAGGTTTTAGAGAAATTTCTATCCTACTTTTATATCTAACCCATCAGTGCCCACACAGCTTTCTTAGCCCTCTGGTTCTGAAGAGGTTAAATGAATGTGTGTGTATTGCACCAGCTGCTGGGATTGGGGTACATGATGTTTTCCAGGAGATAAAGCTATGTGTGAGGTGTCAGCCTTTGTATTGGGGTGCCAGTTACAGCATGCTTATCATTGTACTGTACAGTTCTTCATGCTGATGGGCAGCATAGGAAAAGTGATGCCCAAGTGCCCTGCATTTTGCAGCATTAATAACCTGCATAGGGAAATCAATGAATGATCAATGCTGTCAATTTAAAATGTATTCTTGGCCATTTCATTTCCTGTCATCTACAACTGGGCAGCATTTTTCCTGCACAACCTGACTGTAAGGAAGAAATGTGATGTGTCCAGGAAAAAAAAAGGATGTTACAAATGTGCAGAGTTTAGAGGGTTGTTATTTGGGACATTCCACATGTAAATGAGTTTAATTAATTAGTCCCAGAGGCAGGTGGAGGCAAAATGCAATCTACTGTAGCCCATGGCAAGCTTTTTGAAGAATGTTTACAAGTAAATCTAGTAAACGTTTCTTTATCTTCCCCCACAATTGTAAAATTGTATTATTCCTATTATAAGTATAATTATTTGTAATACATGAAAAAATAAGAACATTCAGCTGGCTAGTACCAGCTTTTCATAAATTCTAAAATTTTGTTAAATTGGAGATTGTGACAAGATTGGATGCCACAAATGTTTAACAAGACCTGTTCAAATTCTATGTTTGTAATATGAGTGAGGTATAAAGGGAGTGACAAATCGCCAGTTTATGGGGGACACTTAAAGTGGATATTCTCTAAAAACACAAAATTGTAGTGAAATGAAAACCAAACTGCAAATTAGACTAAAATAGTCTACCTCGGTCTTTTCATAGGTTTTAAATTGTTAACTCTTATCAAATAAAATCAGCTATTTTTACCTACACTTTGCAGTTTGCTTATTAGTATATTAGAATTTAATGAATTAAACTACTTAGATTCTTAGAATGTCTGAGTTTTATTGAGTGAGGCTTGAAGGTGCAAAGATTGAGCAGCTCCAGGTGTCCTCATAATGAAGAAGGAATCTCCCTTCTGAAGACCAACAATGCAAAACCAGAACAGATTGTGTTAGTTACATTGTCTGCTTTGAAATTGATTTTGTGTTCAATTTGTCACACACAAACACACACTTTCACTCCCCTGCAAGTGTTTAGAAAGGGGCTTGTTGAATGACCACGTGCATAATTCGAATTACTGTATAGTATCTGTTAAAATTTATTTTCTAAAACAACCCTCAATCACCAATGTGTTAGAATGGTAGGGTAGATACCTATTTTAACTGTGACATTTACCACTGCAGATAGAGAGTTAAATGCTAATGCTCCCTTTTACATCAGCCAGGGAAGTCTAGTATAACCGGGCCAGTCAGTCTACAAATAAACCTGCTTCTTACAGTGACAATTATTACCTTGGCTTCTCTGAACCTCATATACCGCTAATCTGCAGATGTGGAAACTGAAATCACTTAATAGTTACGTAGCTACAAAGAAACATGGTCCGTCAAGTTCAACCTTTCTCACACCTGTTTCTGATGCTGATCCAAAAGAAGGCCAAACAAGAGCGCAACAAACTAGGTAAAAATAACCTCCTTCTTGACTCCAGAATGGCAGTCCGATTTTTTTTTTTTTTTTTTCTTGGATCAAGCAGCTGTTACCCCACTAATTTAAAAATTGTATCGCTGAATAGTATCTTTTAAAAGGAGTATAGCAACTAATTCTGCTGGTCAACCTCTACCTCCGCTTTAAAAAGCCTCCATTTGCCGCTACAAATATAAAGGTAGGGATAGATACCCCATATTACCTAAGCCAAGCAAGTCCAGTATAAGTGGGCCGGTCAGCCTACAGATATATTATAGTGACAACTATTACCTTGGCTTCTGTAAGCCTGCCGTACCACTAATCTGCAGTCAAGCCCCCTCAAGAAACCATGCATTCGCTAAAAGTGAATCAACTGTGCTACCGCATGAATTAAAAATAAATAAATGAAATATATTGGTGAGTGTCTAATAATTACATGATGTAAAATCAGACATTCATATAAGATCCCAAAATCCAAGGGGTGACAGTCAACTTGTCCATGTTGCCACCCTAGGCATGCCATGGCTATGCAGAAGTTGGGTTGACTGTATGCTTGCAGCAGTAGCTGGTAAAAAGTGGATCCATGGTGTAACAACCTGTTCCTTCTCTGCCAGGCACCGCTTCTTCACCTTCTAGTCCAATCCAAATGGATCATAGGGGACTAGAAGCGCATGTACAGTGAGTGCAGATCTCGACCAATCAGATGCTTCTCATATGGAAACATTGAATCCGAAGATTCTTCATGAGCAGCATTTAATGGCATTTGCTAGAGGGTGTAAATGATTTGTATATGGCAAAACCGTTATAGGGTATTCTCTCAGTTCCCGAAGTGTATATTTGGAGAAAATTATTTTTATAAATAATTTTTATTTTTTTACGAGCTTAGCAGTAGGAGCATAAGGAAAATCGGCACTTTTTTTAAATTTTTTTTTTATATTAGTAACATTAGCATAGAATAGTAGCATTAAAGGTAGGATTAAGTTTTGCATGCAAACGGAACATTATTAAGACAAACAGGCTGGGTTCATACGTCTAGAGTGAGTAGGTTCAACTAAATGAATATAGCAATGTTGCAAGATTTTCTAGACATACCGGTATATGTTGGTAGCATAAGACTATCAATTCAAACAGGGTAAGCAAGACACAAAGCACACAACATTTTATGATTTCTCATGTCACTTGAGTGATGTGGGGAGTAGGTGCAGGAGATGCATTAATGATAGACTTGCGCTGCCTTATGCGAAATTGACTTTCGCAAAAGTACAGGTGGCGCCACTGGACATCAACATCATCTGAGGGACAGTGTAGGAAAACGTGGGAAAGCGTTGCTGGCGACTGTCCACGAGGAGGTGGGGCGCAGTGGCCCCTGAGGCAACAAAGCTTAACAGTCAGACAATTCCTCTCATATAGTGGGCACTGCCTGTCTAGTAGTAATGGCACAAGTCCCGCACAGCTGAATCCTGCTGTCCCAAGGTTGCAACACAGTCCATGGCGCCATACCAAGGAGTTTTCACGTTCCCTTGTGGGCAGTAGTGATCTTCTGAGGGTGTGGGTTGCGCTTGGTGAGGCATCCCCTCTTGATCTGCGGCCCGGGAAGGTAGCAGTCCATAGCAGGAATAAGCCTCCATTGCCGCTCTGTCCGTCGGGGTACCAGCCTCTTTGCCGCCATTTTTAGTGCTGCATTTGCACTGTGCCCAGCGGACATATGCGTGTTGTTGGTGTAGGCGAGATCCTGTTGAACTGCTAGTGTGTCTTCTGTTCGCACTGCACGTCGCTTGATCCTGTGCCAAAGTTGTACCAACAGTCTCTCAAGGGCCTGGCAAATCCGTTCCTCCATTGCGTCCCATAGGGTGGATAAATGAGTGGCAGAGGGCTCTCCAGCGGCGGCCATCTTGCCGTGCTGTTTGCAGGTGGATAGCTCCACAGTTTCTGCTGGCTCCAGGGCATATGAGTATGTTGGCACCTCTGTGTGGATCGGGATAACCCCCATTGATCCAAGGGGGGAGGGTAGGAGCTCGGCAGATCTGCTCCATTGCTCGTGGAGCGAGGAGTACGGCCTCCTCTCCCCGGCTCCCATGCCTATAGGCCGCATGTTGTGGTGCTGGCTCCCTGCATCCCGTAGCTTTGCGTAGGGTATCCCCAGAATCGTCGGTTTACTCCCCCACTGCATGGAGTGCATGTTGGGGTGGTTTCAGGCTTCAGGTCTGGGGTTAGCTTCGTTTTTGTGAATGTCACTGTGGGAGCTCTCTCGGCATGCGTCCGTTTGGCTCGGCTGCTAAGTTCCGCCCCCTATTTAGGACATATTGAGATAGTTTGTAGGCAAAATTTCATAGGTAATTCCCTACTTCGTGGAATAATAAATGGCTGCTGGCAGACTCCTGGTGTCTTATCCTTCCCAAAATAGATCTTCATCTTTATGGTTAATTCCACAAATAGCTGTCTAATTTAACAGAACACTCTGATACATAACCACTGCATAACATTGTCAAGCTTATGGTGCACTGAGTCTTTGGGCACTGTCCTCCCTATTTTCTGTGAAACACTTTTCAACTGTATTGGCCAAAAGATAGGGATCTCCCAGCACCCATTGCTTAGCCCCTCAAAAACCATTGAGATTGAGATAATGCAGAAAATTCACATCTGTGCCATTTGTCCAAAGCTTTTCTACCTTAGACTGCAGAGATGGGGGGTGTATTCTCAAAAGAATGCATTGCACCTAAATATTTCTAGCACCATAATCACTACACGTGCTTTGCTGGTTATCCTGCTTAGAGTTGCCCCTTTAACGCACATATTCCAGAAACACAAAAGCAGAGCAAATATATATATTCTCAAAAAAATGACAAATGCTATAACTATATATTGGTCACTGCCTTAAAATAGGGGTTCTGGTGCAAAGACACTGTCCCTAGAAAATCTGCAAAGTAAACACTGCCTTTTCTGAGAATTATAACATTATGTTCTAACTCCTCCTCTCTTGGCTGTCACTCAGACAGCCACTAGAGGCTTTTCCTGGTGTTTGTAGTCTTTACACTCGTACGCTGCGTAAAGATAACAATCCTGCCTCAAAGAGATGCTTTGAGCCAGTGTATCTCTACGAAGAGATGCTTACTGGCACAGTGTGGCGATTGTTGCGTTTATGCACTTGCCCCCTAATACATTCCTATGGTGAATCATTGGATTGGCTGAAATCATCTGTAATGATATTTCAGCCTCGGGAGGAATGACGGCAGCAGAGAGACCTACGTGCTAGGGGGACTAAAGGTAAGTAACTCTCATTTATGGACATGATGGCTTTTAACCTAAATAGTTAGGACAACACTACAATGTTAGGAATACATGTTTTAGAGTGTTCCTTTAAATCTCTATACAAATATATATCTCCTTAAGTGGACACTCAAAGTACCATAACAACATATTCCCTCCCCCCCACTAGTCACAGATGTCACAGGCCATATAGGTTCTACCTGCAGACCTCACAGTGTCCTATTGGTTTTTTACGTGCCCAGCCAAGGCTACTACAGTGTCATTTTGGAAAAAAACATAGAGATGTCACGACGAATTTATCATCAACTGTATTTATTCAGTAGACTAGTGATTACAATGTAAATTCTTAGTAAATAACTCCCTACGTCTCATTTATCAAATAGATCACGTAATGTATATGTTTTTAATCCTGTATAAAAAAATAAGTAATTTCCTGGAATCTGACCAATTCTTTGTGTTTACAGAGAGACGTGTTTGTTACTTTCTTCAATGGCAATGAGTGATTCACTGGCCGCGGAACATTACCTGGAGATGGAGGAGGAAGACTTTATGGCAGGGGGGGATTTGGGAGAGGGTTTTGGAAGAAAGCCAGGAGGTCTCTACGAACCACCTGGGGAACAAGCAGAGCAGACATTTAAACTGAGAAAAGGATCTGATATTCGGGGCCATTACCACGTACTTAAGAAGGGAGATGATGCTGTTACATCAAATTATCAACTTGTCAAAAATCGTGCTCCAGAAGAAAGGGGCGTCTTTAAAAATGGGATAGAAGGCAGCTACAGCAGGTGCAGACAAAATAGCATAGGTAAGATGCCATATTTACTATGATGCTGAAGTTAGCTTATCATTCAGACCGAGTCTTATTCGCAGGCTGACGTTCGCTTCTTATTTGGTCACCTTATTCAGTAATAGAAGTACATTTCTTACTCATCTTGCTTGATTTTAAACAATATTCATATTCAAGCCACATTTCTACACATTTCTGGTATAATAATAAATAGTGAAAACCATACAAAGAATAATACATTTTATTAGTTACACAAATTAAGTTGAGTCAATCAAGGTGACTCTTGTAAAGTAGTAAACTCCACAATGACATCTAAATAACATTTTAAATCCATCTTGTACATGCTGGCATTGATCTGTCTAAATTGGACACCCCTCTTCGTCATACAAGAACATTTAACCTGAGCAACACCACATTTCATATCAAAAACTGTAAACAAAGTGGCACCATCAACTCTGAATAAGTAACCAAGGTTTTCCTATATGCAACCCTTCTTGGCTCACCCAAAATTCCATAGATTTTAATACACTGAGCACTGTCATCCAACAACATTTAGTCTGAGCTACACCAAATTAGGTATCAAAAGTTGGCACAAATGTGGCCTCTTAATTTCTGTAACTAATAACAGTTTTTTTAATTTTTTTATTGTTTTTACTACTTATTATTATATCAGAAATGTGTAGACATATAACTTGAATATGAATGTTGTTTTAATCAAGTTATATTTACACTGCAGAGTTTGATATTTACATACATTTTTAATGAATAAAATTCATGTTTGAATAAGAAGATAGATGAATAAGACTTCAGCCTGCGAGTAAGTAAGTTATTTGCTCTGCATCCATTGCCATAATTTTTGTTGTAGTAAACAAACTCTGCCCATGGGAGGAAGCATAAGGAATGAGATGTGCCTCAACATCAGAGATAGCTGACCAAGGGGGGATGAGAGGGGTGGGTTCATGGCTTTTATACCCTGAGATGCAGTGAAAGGACCATTAAACATCGGGCAGCCACAGGCGTGTTACATGTCATAGGCTGACATTTCAACTTCTGAACAGCCTCATTTAAAGGACATGCAAAGCATTGTGACATGCATTTTACATTTACATAACATTTCTAATATTGTGGAAAATGTAGTCATACTTACTGAAATGTACTTTTCTTGGCTTTTCTCCATGGCAGCATATATCAATGGGTAGCTCTCCCCTCTTAGCCCATAGAACGGAAAATTAGCTGTAAATTACGTACATAATGCTTCTCCTCCCTTTCATGCCTCGTATATGTTCCAAAGTTTCAAACCAAACTAAAAATTAAAACCTATAGGATGGAATGAAAATAAATGAGAGGGAAGCTATGTGCTGCCATGGACAATAAGTAAGGACTGGTAATTTTGGTAAACACTTTCCATATACCTGGTTAACCAAGGCAGGATAGAAACCTAAACAACTGAATGGGAACAAAACAGAAAAAAAGACAAATTCTCATAAATCTGCTGCAAAGTAGAAAATGTACATTATCACGCATGAACCCTTTGACACTTTTCTTGCGGAATTCTACTTCTTCTGAAACCTGAGCATCCAAACAGTAATGGGTTCTGAATGTGTAACATGACGATGCATTACCTGCTCTGTACACGCTGTTTCCTGATACATTTGCCAGAGATGTCCAGGAGGCCGATACTGTCTTGGTGGAAAGAGATTTTATTCCAGAGTCACCCAATGTGTTTACAGTGGTGGCTGGTGACATTTTAAGTTGGTGGGGCGCCAAACTGGACACGTAGGTTTGACTAAACATTTTTAATCCTGAATAGTAATATGTCCATATAGCTCTATTGCCTCCAAAATATGAGGACGATCCAATATATAGGGAATAAACCATTTAGACAGATTCCTATTAATGAGTTAAATCTGTTGGCCAGTGTGAGGCTAGATTCAAATTACAAAGTGTAATACAGAACTTAGCTACACAATGTTTTTTAAAGTATTCATTTTAAAAATGACTTAAAAATTATTTTACAGTAAAATGCAAGATAGAATTTTTCTATCTGAGTTATAAAATATTCTACTGAAGAGATTCCTCAGGAGAAAATTGTATAATGAAAACAATTTACTGGTACTCCTCACTTACGATCCTGTTGTAAAACGATTTGGTTGGTAAGTGAAGTGTTGAGGGATTCCCTGCCCTGGTGCACTTACAATCCCTCTAATCCCCACAACGGCTTGCACTTATCCTGGACGTAAGTGTGAACCGTCGTAAAACAGGTAGGTCGTAAAATGAGGACCACCTGTAATAAAATAAATAAGTAGCCTGTCCAGTGGCCAGGCTATTCAGCAACAGGCACCTGCTGTACGGTGTCTGCCTGAATATTGGGGGTGGGAGAAGGTGCTTGCCTCTATGATATTTTTTTATTCAAACTTTATTTATATTTCTTTTTTACACAGCAAGATGAAAAAACGTAGACAATGACAAAAATTTTAAAAAAAAGAAGGGAAGGGGAGGGGTCCGCTCCCTATAGTATGAGGGAGCGCACCGGCAGGATTGGAGTCTTTGTGCCGCACCGGCCATGCTCGGTCCTAACTAATGGCGGCAGGCACGGCTGTAACATGAGATTTGTAGCTTTGCGAGCTGTTTTAGATTTACCTCCCATGCAAAAAATGCATGCATGTTTTCATACCAAATGGTGCTTTAAAAAATAAATAAAAACATCCTATTTGGGCAGTGCAGTGTCCCTTTAATAAATTGTGTAATGTAATAAAGTGGCAAAGAGCGAATATTGTATTTAGCATGTATCGTCAACAACATCTGGAATGCTAAGGCTGAGTGAGTACCCCTGGCAGAGGCAATAGGAGGTGGTGGTCTTTCCAACAAGGGCGTGTGTCACTTTCATGCTTATATCTTTTAATTGCAGGGATTCAAGGAACTTAGCAGCTAATTTATAAATGCTTTTCTAATTGTAGGGAATAATGCACAAACAAATCTTGTTCTGGTACCGTCTGTTAACTAATCCTGTCCTTGGTGTTAAATTACAGATGCGAGCTCTGAAATATCAAATGAAGATCTGCGGCAGCGCCTTCAAGAATTAACAGAGGTCAGTATTCTATCTCCTGCTTATTATTACATCAGTATTCCCATACATATTCCAATAACTGTCCTGGTGGGTATAAAGACAATATCTGGAATTACTGAATAGAGCATTCTGAGGGCCTTTTATGGTCACAAACATTCAAATTGCAAATATTTCAGAAACGGATGTAATGTGTATGTTTATATGTACGTATGTATGTATGTAAAATTCAAGATCTTTGAACCTTGTTTGTGTATGTTTTTTTTGTAGTTTACTTTAATTTATTTTTATATATGTGGAAGCATTTATTATATCATTATTAATTACTTTTCTTGCTTCATGTTGTTATTATTAAAAGAGTAATATTGGCCCCATAGCTGCTTAATGGCAATGTAGTGTTTATAGAGCTATTAGATTATAGTTCTGTACCCGGGCTGTTTATCATATTGTTTCAAAACAGTTCGCTGAAAATTGGGATGCCCAAGGTAATAGCCCCCATTCACCAGAGTTGCTACAGTTTAAGTTGCACGTCAGTATGTACAATATTAATTTCAAACATACTCTGGCGCCATTCATTGGCTGAGCGCTGTAACTGAAATGACATGTAGTGGTTAAGGTGCCTAAATATTGTCAGTAATTAAGGGTGCGCAAAAGGAAGATTCACTCCGATGTTTCAGATCTACATCTTGCATGATGCTTCCTCATTCTAAAGGCTAGCAGAGCATCACAGGACTTGTAGTTCTACAACATGTGGGGATCTACCTTTTGGACATCCAAGCTTTATTCATTCTTCTTGTCAATTTCCTTCATGACAGGTTGTCTGTCCTTCTGAGCAGTCCCCATCCATTATAGAAAGCCGTTCTGCCACCTTGTGCTGGTTACATCTCTGTAAAGTTCCATCCGGTGCATTAGCAGCTGTAATCTCTTACCATTTCGCAATATCTTAATACACAAAAGCTGCATCCTCATATACATTGTAACTTTTTGTGATTCTGCTTTGCTGAGTAGCACTTTCTTGTATTATTGATTGATTAATGCTTTTAAATGGATATTATGACTAAGCTGCCCTTGGTTAGTTAAATGTCCTTGGATATTTCTGACTTGTTGAATTAATGGACTGTATTGGCCTGTTTGCTGCACTGTGTAGAGTCTACATACTAAACACTGAATTGTGGAGGCTTGAAAATTCACCTTGCAGTCTCCCTGTTTTCATTCTCTTTGAGGTTGAAGTTGCTTGAAGGACCTGTTATACTGTACGTCTGACTGTTCCTGTATATGTTTCTTTGTTTTTATCCCCAAGTCCCTTCTTTCTACACTCTAAGAAGAGGATTGTAGTATTCATGACATGTATTGTTGCAAAACTATCCAAGGAGTTTAACTATTTTGTTATATAACAAACTTCAGAAATCTGAAACCAGACAAATTTAAATGGTTGTCTAGGTAAATTTTGATCCAATTAAAGAAAAGAAAAGCTTGAAAAAAGTTTAAAAGTTGTTCACATTTTCAGCTACCCCTCGGCGCACTTCTTAGGGAGTCTACTTAGATCCCCGACACACCTACTGCCACACCACGATGAGATATCTCATTCTCGAGGGCTGCACCGTTCCTGTGGAACTCACTTCCCTCCTCCGTTAGATGCTCACCCAGTCTCCACTCCTTCAAAAAATCATTAAAAACCCACTTCTTTATAAAAGCGTATCAATTAAACTGTTAATATCTCCCGACTGATTCCTCTTCTGCAACTGTCATTAGTCTAATACTATCCTTACCTTTTTGTGTCATTTTACCCCACTCCCTCTAGCATGTAAGCTCATTGAGCAGGACCCTCAACCCCTCTGTCCCTGTGTGTCCAACTTGTCTGGTTACAATTACATGTTTGTTCGTCCACCCATTGTAAAGCGCTGCGGAATTTGTTGGCGCTATATAAATAATAACATCATAACATAGCATTCTCATCTGTGGTGACAGATCTTATCTCCAGCAGGAGATTATGGGATAAATAGTTTATACCCAAAGAATACCATACTGTATTATTTAAATACCGTACATCTGTTTAATGACAGTAAGCATCCCTTATGATCAATGACTGTATATTTTACCAACTTTTAGCACCTCGATTTCTTTCTGGTTACTGATTTTATTTATTGCCGGCATGTCCCAGGTCACAGGTTGATGCTAATTTCAAATTTAAGCTCATGCTATTAGTATTATGGTCCAGCACCCCAATGTAAAGAAATACACTGATTAATTAGCATTTATATTGCTGACAGCTAATTGCAGTCTCCATAGATTGTTAATAATAAACACCATGTCCATTGTAATTCATTCAGCCTTATTGTATCTATTCCCTGTAATCTAAGGAGGTTGATCTTTTAAGGATTGAGCTAGAGGCTTCTCAGCGACAACTAGATGGGAAAGATGAAGCTCTGAAGATTTTGCAGAGTATGGTGAGTGCTCTTGTGAGATACGTGTTTGACTTTAAAATTGTAAATTAGTCTGATACCTTGTGCTGGAAACATGTAGTACATGTGTAGCCCTTGACGGCTACATTTTATTTTGTGAGATATTAATAATTAAATTCTAATGTTATCATTTCCTGTTTTGTTGTGTTTTTATTTTTTTTTATTTTTGTGGAAGGAGAGGAAAGCTATGAATTTTCTTCATGTTACAATATTTCGGAATCCTATAAAGTGTTCTCAATATTCCCCACTCCTTCCTGAAATGACCTCAGCCCGTACTGCATTGCATGCGCGAAATCCCAACCTTCATGTAATCACAACATGTATACCCTGTCTGCTGCCTTGATTAATGCCTTCGAGAGCTACTTGTTCCTGAGATCTGACAGAAGAAAATGGGATCAAACTAAACATTATGAAGTGTTTCTCATAGGAACACCATAAGGAGTCTTGGAAATCTAGACAAATTATCTTATTATTGAGTACACTCAATTCTATGTCAGTGTTCATTGTTACACAAATGAAATATCCTTAGATTGAATCTTCAGATGTGCTCCATAATGTCAATATACGCACTATGGGCAGATCCCAGGCTATAATAAAGAACTGGAGAAGGTTCCGTTTGTTTTTGTTGGTAAAATGATGCTGATATTTACATCCACACACTGTACATCTGACCTCTAAATAGCATAAGGTGAATAATTTAATGTTTCAGTTTTCTTGCCATTTCAAATTTTTTAACAGAAAATCCAGCTTGCCAAGAGGAAAATATCTATTTACGTTATTTTTTAAAACTGATTTCTGCAATACATTTTCCAGGCGACTGTACCACTTTAATTTCTCAGTTTAAATCGGTCCCTGTCCTTTAATCCATGAAGCAGCTGCGTACGCTGTTAGAATTATAGTTATCATCGCACTAACGATATTGGTATTGTATCTGTGTATCGGTATATGTCTGTTTGTACTCAGTATTTAAGTATTGAATACTGAACCGTTAGAATTTGCTTATTACGATTGTTCTCTTGTGTCTAGGCTATGTATGACAAAGCGACTAGCCACACAAAAGTTATGCTTCAAAAAGCAGAGGAGCAGCGAAGAGCTTTAGAAAAGGTATGATCTAGCAATCTCTCTGTATTATCTCTGTTAGAACTAGTCTTCTCTGCATCTGACCTATTTCAGAATGACCTGTCTTGTGTCCATCTCAGAATTAGCTAGCTCTCGGTTTTCCGCCTACGTCAGAGTTCTCTGGCTGTGCATTCTATTTGTCTCTCTGAACTAATATAACACATAAACCGTGTGAATCTTGCTCTGCTATCATGTAACTTGATGAATGCAGTGCTTTGCAGTCGTGTCATATAATACACTTTTGTAGAAGTTCCTGATTAATATTGTTAATGGTCTGCGTGCTCTGCAGAGAATCATGTTTCAGTCACTTGCCAGATGGCAAAACAAAGATAAAACATAAATGTAATTGAAAATGACGTTTTAAGTGGGTTTTACTTGATTTAATGGCTATTTACTTTTTTTCTTGTTAAATACTTTTTTTCCATCTGTCTGATAGACAATACTGTGGGGCTGTCTGACAGCTGCAAATGTAAGCCACACAGAGCTGCAAGTGGGTTTAAGGTGCCATCAGATTTGCAATACACAAAGTTGTTATGGTCCTTAGAGTAGTGACTGTTAAACGTGGAAACCTAAAAGTGTATTTATAAATAAATCCTTGTAGTAGTTTCACTTCAGTCTGTTCTAATATACATATAGTATCTAATATTTATGTATAGTGTCCTACCATTCCATTGGTGTCCATAGTGATTGCAGCACAAGTGGTCGTTACACATAAATCCTATCCTGTGCTTGAGATGATATGAGAATATAATCATAAGCATCAGATGTGGCAAAGTTCTGCACATGCCATGGTTTCTGTCTCAGTACTGGCCAAACTGGATTTGTTTGACTTATGGTTAATGGATACTGAAAGTAAACATCAATTGTGAGACCATGTGAAACATCTGTTGGTGTACAGTGAGAGGAACTGAAAAGCTTTCAGCTCTGCCCAGCAAATACACGCCATCAATAATAGAATCTACTTTAAACGTGGTCTGTTTACAAACGCTTTGTGTTCTACCCCAGGAAATTAATGTGCTGCAGTGGGAAATTGAGTTTGATCAAGTCAGACTTAAAAACGTAGAAGAGACGTGGAAGGAAAAGTACGACCGGTAAGTATAGAGCTTTGCTCTGGATTACAAACCACATTGATATTGATATGCTGTAGTTTTCAATGTTCGTTTTTCTGCAAAAATAAAAGTTTTACTGCACCATATACAATACTGCATATTCAATAAAAAATTTTTTTTAAAAACTATCAGACATTTACAAAGCAGCAAAAATACCATGTTTTCTTCCAATGGAAGGTGCAAGGTATCCGGAAGACAAAAAGGGTCCAGCACTCCAATCTATTGGGTAAAAGCACACAATAAGACCAATGGTTTCACCCTCACAGGGGTCTTTAAGTGTGTGAATTCATAGTGAACGAGTGACATGAGATGTGAGATATGGTTTGTTATCCACACCAGCCATTTTGTTGAGATGTAATACTTATTATATACAATTTGAATTGCTTGTTTATTTTCCTTTGCTTTTTTTATACGCTCTTAGATTATATTGTGAAAATGTAGCACTTAAAGAATCCCTCGAACTACGGACCAGCGAAATGAAGGCTCTTAAGTCTGAAAATGCAAGTAAGCGTAAAATCTTCGTAATGTGAATTTTTAGAAGAGTATAAAGTCATGGGGCCATGCATTTTCAGCATAAATGTTGCCATTTTTTTGCTAAATAATTTCTGGATATGCTTTTAGATTATTTTTAATTATCTTTCAGGTCACGCTGAAACGTTGTCTAGTCTTTGGCATATTTTAACACACTAATGGTTTTTTTTTTTTATGACTTTTTTCCTAGTTGTTGGTCAGCAATGCCAGGAACTTCTTGCAATGCTCGATGTCAAGGAACAGAAAATGTTCCAAGATAATGTGTCTCTTGATAAAAGCAGCTTCACGGATATAACAGCTCTTGAGGTAAGATTTTAAACTCTTTAAGTTACGTGTGTTCTAGTTATTTGTTTTTTAACATTTTAACCTGACTCAAGATGCTAGAGATCACATATGTTCCCAGCACTCTGTAGTTGTTTTGGTGGCAGAAGGGGCCAGGCACCCCCCAAGTTGCAAGTAGTGGAACCATGTAATGCAGTGGTCGAATTAGGAAGCCATCCTGGCGCTAAGCTTGATTGACGGGGATGGTCCTAAATTTATTCATAAAGGTGCCAATCTCTCTTGATATCACCACTTTTATGAATTGGGACATTATAGGCATGCAGTTAACCCTAAAAAAAGGACTTAAATAAGTGTCCATTTTAAATTTAATTATATAATTTTATATATATCAAAACTAAAACTGACATGCTGTAGAAATTAAATAATAATAATAGCAGAAAATACTTTGCATGAGATTTTATTAAGGAAACATCGGATACAGTACATTTTAAAGTTGAAAATGTAAAGTGCTTTTTATCAGCAATACTATTATATAAAATTGTTAAAAGCTGTCACTCCCCACACCTCGTTTTCCCACCGTGCTTCCTGTACTGCAACTGTGTCGTCTAAAAATAAATAAAACTTCATTGTAAACATTTTTACCACCCTACTTTTCCCATACACGAAATACATCTTTCCCTTACCTCTTGTGTCATTTTACCCAACTTCCCTTAAATTATAAGCTTGTTTGAGGAGGAGTCTCAGCAGCACCCTCTGTTTCTGTACATCTAACGTGTCTTGTTACTTGTAACTAAGTATTTGGTGGTCCTCTTATTGTACAGAATTGCAGAATATGTTAGGTATATATAATACTACATAATGTAACGGAGAACAATACAGATGTACTGCTACTGCACATATAATATAGTCTTGCTAATGAGTATTGTCTCCAAATTTTACTTTTATACAAAACAAAATTGGTGAACTACTGAGCAGTCATAAACAGGTCAATATATTGTGTGAGTGTGTGCGCGCATGTATTGTGTGTGTGTGTGTACAATGAGACAAGATAGGGAAACACATTTGGATAGAAGAAGAAGAGAAATTAAAGAACTGCACCTAGTGGCTTCCTATGCAGACTAAATTCCTTATTGTGATATTTGGCATGCCTGCAGTGTGCTTCATCTCCGAGCATCTGAAAGCCTATTGTATTTGTATTGTTCTGCATGTGGTACATCTTTGATTCTTTGTATCTGGAGAAGCAGATGATGTTACTACAGAACAGGCTCGCATTCTTAGGTCAGACAATCCCATAGGCTATCCCATAAGCTATTTGTTTTGGGCCCAATTCCTTCTGTCCCTCTTTACTTTCTGAGTGTCCCTGTTTTTATACGACCTCGGAATGCGTGGTATGTTTTCATCTCTATCAAACACACAGTAGTAAATCTTTCAAGGATAGGAAGAGCCCCTGGGAACCCCTCCATTTACATCACTATAGGAAACTTACTTCAGTAGTGGGGAAAGTAATGGAAACCATGTTAAAGGATAGCATTGTTGAACATCTAAAAACACATGGATTTCAATATCGGAGACAACATGGGTTTACTTCAGGGAGATCATGCCAAACTAATCTTATTGATTTTTTTGATTGGGTAACTAAAATAATAGATCAGGGTGGTGCAGTAGACATTGCTTACCTAGATTTCAGTAAGGCTTTTGACACTGTTGCACATAGAAGGTTTATCAATAAACTGCAATCTTTAAGTTTGGATTCCAATATTGTTGAATGGGTAAGGCAGTGGCTGAGTGACAGGCAACAGAGGGTTGTAGTTAATGGAATATATTCAAGCTTGGACTTGTCACCAGTGGGGTACCTCAGGGATCTGTACTTGGACCCATTCTCTTTAATATTTTTATTAGTGATATTGCAGAAGGACTTGATGGTAAGGTATGTCTTTTTGCTGATGATACTAAGATATGTAACAGGGTTGATGTTCCAGGAGGGATAAGCGAAATGGCAAATGATTTAGGTAAACTAAAAAAATGGTCAGTTGTGGCAACTGACATTTAATGTGGATAAGTGCAAGATAATGCATCTTGGACGTAAAAACCCAAGGGCAGAGTACAGAATATTTGATAGAGTCCTAACCTCAACATATGAGGAAAGGGATTTAGGAGTAATTATTTATGATGACTTAAAGGTAGGCAGACAATGTAATAGAGCAGCAGGAAATGCTAGCAGAATTATTGGTTGTATAGGGAGAAGTATTAGCAGTAGAAAGAGGGAAGTGCTCATGCCATTGTACAGAACACTGGTGAGACCTCACTTGGAGTATTGTACGCAGTACTGGAGACCGTATCTCCAGAAGGATATTGATACTTTAGAGCAAGCATGTCAAACTCGCGGCCCACAAGGACCATCTTTGCGGCCCGGCGAGCCGCATGTACATGCTGGTGTTATAGCAGAGTAGGCACCTGCTTTCCCCACATTACAGGTGCCCACTCTGCTAAAACTTACCCAGCCAGGGAGGAAGCAGCGAGGGAGCTCAGTGTTCCTGCTCCTCACTGTTTCCTCACGCCGTCTGTAGCGAAGCCGGGTGCTGGAATACGACGTCCTACTCTGGCACTTTCAGTGAGTGTGTGTGTGTGTGTCTTTCAGTGAGTGTGTGTGTGTGTCTGTCTGTCAGTGAATATGTGTGTCAGCGGGAGGATCAGATTTAGCACAGGGTGGTAGAGGGAGGTGCTGTGGTTTTGTAGGTGGTGGAGACTGGGATTTAGTACTGGGGGGTGCTGTGGTTTAGTAGAGGGAGATGCTGTGTGGTTTTTTTTTTTTTTCATCTTGGCAGAAACAGTAAGACAAACGTTTTAGCTTGTCGGCTTGTGCAAAAGTCTAATGTACATAACAAAAATATCCACTTTGTCATACATTAAGTTATTCAATACGAGGTCTTTTTACTCAGCTCAATTCTACTGGCCACCAAGGATGGTTTTATGTTTTTTAGAGAAATTAACTGAAAATGACAAGAACCGATAACCATCGCATTCTTCTAACATTGTACCATTTGTTTTGTCTCACATTCTATAGCTATGGTGCTTGTACAGCCTTTTAGCTCGGCCTATCGTACCCGGCGTACGCGTGGTCCCATGTACAGCATTGGATGATAGTAAAGGAAGATAAGAAAAGGAAAGAAGGGGAAAGATAGACACTTAGAAAGAGATGAGGGGGGGACGTAGGTGTGTGTGGCGGAGGACGGGGGCGTCCGGTCCTTGACACTTGTACCTGTATTATGGTCCTGTTGCCACCGTCTAGGGCGACTGTCTGTCATGCCTCCTAGCCCCATATGGATCTCATCTCGCTCACCTCCCTATCCCATTAGGCTGTTATCCCAGGGTTCCCATGTTCTTTGGAACGCTACTGTGGTACCTTTCACCCTAGCTGTTAGATCATCCATCAGTCTGCTATCCTTGATCTTGGGAATTACTCCTGTGAAATTTGGTCCCTCCGGCGACAGCCACGCTGTTGCTATATCTCTACGTGCGCTTAATGTGATTTTGTGCAATAGTTTCTGCTCCAGCCTGGTCCACCCCACTAGAGGCCTGTTTAGCAGGTATACCCAAGGGGCTGTTTTTTTTTTTTTATAGTGTACTTTTTAAAATAAATCTACGTTTCTATGAAATTGTAAGGTGGTTTTTTTTTGTTTGTTTTTTTGCGGCCCACATAAACTCCTTGTTTATGTGGCCCGTGCCAGACTTTGAGTTTGACATGCTTGCTTTAGAGAGTTCAGAGAAGGGCTACTAAACTGGTTCATGGATTGCAGGATAAAACTTACCAGGAAAGGTTAAAGGATCATGTATAGCTTGGAGGAAAGACGAGACAGGGAGGATATGATAGAAACATTTAAATACATTAAGGGAATCAACACAGTAAATGAGGAGACTATATTTAAAAGAAGAAAAACTACCACAACAAGAGGACAAAAATTAGAGGGGCAAAGGTTTAAAAATAATATCAGGATGTATTACTTTACTTAGAGGCTAGTGGATGCATGGAATAGCCTTCCAGCTGAAGTGGTAGAGGTTAACACAGTAAAGGAGTTTAAGCATGCGTGGGATAGGCATAAGGATATCCTAACTATAAGATAAGGCTAGGGACTAATGAAAGTATTTAGAAAATTGGGCAGACTAGATGGACCAAATGGTTCTTATCTGCCGTCATATTCTATGTTTCTACGTTTCTTCTTTGTTGCCTGTTTGGAATGTTGGGAGCTATGTATCAATAATGCATTCTGCTTTCTGTTTCCCAGCTGGCAGTGCTTGGGGCCTGTACGTGCAGTGCTGGTCGAGAGCCCTGTGCCTGTGCCAAAATGTCAGCGGCAACCCGTAAACAACTTCTTCAGATCAGACAAGAGGTAAACAGTTAGAAAAAAAGAAAATCCTATATTATTGCTGTTAAATAAAATGAAAAGGAGAAATTAGAAAGAAAGATCTCAGCAACTTTGGAGAGTAAATGTTGTTAATCAATGCATTGTAAAGTGGTTTGCATGCATTTTCCATTCCAAACGGTAGTATTTATTCAATTCTAAAAACCAAATATGGGAGAGTTATTAAGATGTACATGTAGCGGAGCGGCAATGATAAATCCCACGATCTCCGCTGGTTCAGAAGGTAATCCACAGTCAAGCCCTGAAAAGCAAGGCAATATCCCAAATCTCCCAGTAACCGGACGAAACACAGTTCTGAGAGTCAACTGAAGGCTTTATTCACAGGCTCCACAAGTTATACAATTCCCCATGCAAGGGGTTTCCTGAGTCCTATCCCAGGGGTATTCCAGGGGTGGACTACGTGGGGAACTTACAGTACAAAGCATTTCTCCCATCAGGCGCTGCTGCACGAGAGGGATCCTCCCACTGGAATGTGCCGTTAAGTGGATTATCCCTCCGTGCAGCAGAACCGGCAATTTACTTTAAAATATACAGTTTTTCGAATATTAGGTCTATTTGCACGAATGGAGTCTGAGCGCATCATTCGTGAGATTACCGCTCAGATCCCAGCTAAAACAACCGAACGCCGCACGAAAAACATATTCATCAAAACATACATTTAAAAGACCGATTGATATATGGAGGATAAAATACCGAACGGCCCGGAACTCCCGAACAGCCTGGAAGTCCAGCGGTGTTCGCGCCGTCGAGTAGCCATTTTTAGTACCACGCGCTCCACGACCAAACGCCGCTGGAGGAACAAAGGATCCAAGATGGCCGACTGCCGCATGGTCGGTAGTCGAACGACGGCCACCTAGGAGAGCCTCTAATTACCGATTGCAACATTGTTGCAATCGGTTAACGAGCGCCACACGTCTCTCAATGTGTGGGCTATACATGTGGGTCTTATTCGGTTCACGAACGGCCCGCAAAGGCGCTGTTAGTGAAACGAAAGGAAATCAGCTATCTGCTTTCGGCAGATAGCCAATGCAAGTAATACAGTGTTATGCAATCACAGTCTATACACACAGAAACATACGCATCCTCAAAACAGCACAGGCAACCCTTAAAGCTATAGTCCTTATATAATGTCCAAGTGGCTAGGTTTGCCACAGTACATTAGGTCCCAGCTCTGCAATTTCCCTCTCAATTGTATTTGTGACAGTGCTGTCACTGTTCCGTGACAATTTGTGGCGTGGAGGAGCACAAGACTAAGAGATCACAAGATAACAGTGTCATGTGTAGGTGATGCACTGGTGTGGCTTCCTTGCAGTGTATATCTCACGGTTAGGGTCTTCTTATTGAAAAGGTATACAAAAGAGAAGTACTTCAAAATCTTTGCCCAGTTATTTATTTATTTGTTATTTCCACAACAATGCTTTCAAGCCCATCGACAAAGTTTGCAAGGGAAGGGCGAGGGGCATCAGTCTGTTCAAGAGGGATTTATGAAATGTCAATAGCATTCATGGTACCTGCAATTCACTTGTATTCATTATGTATGATTTTAAACAGCTCGACATGGAGAAGAAGAGCAAGGAAGAAGCTTATGTGATGGCCGATGCGTTTCGAATTGCCTTTGAACAACAGTTGCAACGACGGAATGACGAACATGTGCCCTTCAGTGACATCGAGAAGCTTTGTAAAAAGGGGAGCAAACGTTTTAACAGCTGGAAACGCCTTAAAGATGAAGGTAATAATGAGCCAATAAAAATCATTAGTTGCTGTGCCATGGTGTTGGTTAGATGTTTAATATGTTGTCATTCTGGGTTTCTGATCTGTTATTACAAACGTAATTTATTACTAACTGGTATTAGTGAAGCTTTGATGATCTGACCATTAGATGTAAAAATGTCTGTGTAAAATGTATAGTTTGACATATTTTGTTATAAAATCCAATGTAGATCAATACAGTTTTATTGTGGTATGCTTTTCTCCTTAACTCAATACTGATTTATTCATTTTTTATTTATTTTTTTTATTCTCTGTAGGATATCTGTTCACAAAAGACACATATAAAGGCCTGGGACAGAAATTAAAGGGGATGTTAAATTCTTCTGCTGACTGTAGAAACTTAGATTCATTGGATGAACCTCAAGAAATCCTGAAAATACTGATCGATTTGGTGAGTTTACTCGCATAACTTGCGTGTATTAAATAAGATAATATCCCCACGCTCAGAACCCATTTATATGAACAGCTAACTCCTATCTCCTTTACTCCAGTAAATATTACTGCAGGGATTACTAGGGTGCATTAGGCAGCAGCTGTAAATGTAAAACTAAACTACTTCCGCTGTACGGCAGTTTTGTGGCAGCTTTGGTGTTCCATGATGCCTTCTCTGCATGCTCGAATATCTAAGAGAAGTGTGATATGCTTTTTGCATTTTTTTCCAGTGGTGCCGTACATGTGTATGTACTGTGCCTACAGACTGGGTTTTTTTTTGTCTTCTTTTGGATCAACAGCAAAAACATATGTGAAGAAGGCTGAACTTGATGGACGGAAGGGAAGTCTCTTCTTTTTTTTTTTTTAATTCTTTATTTTGTCTTGTGCACAGTTTGACAACAAGCGTGCAGTGCCACGACAGCATCTACATGCAATTGCATGACATTTCAATGTGTGGCATTTTATGTTTTGTAACGTGAGGGTAACAGACTATTTAGACAGTCGCATTCTATAATGTAACACGCTAGACTAGATATGCATATATTAAAACTTGTTATGCTTGAGATTGTATGTGCGTAGCTTGTATTTGATGTGGTATATAGGCATTAAGAGTGCAGTAAGTAGTGTGACAGATTATTAATCTAGCAGAGATGTCTTTATACTGTGTGAAGCAAGCTAGTTTTTTGGTTGCGTACCTATATAATGCCTACGAAAAAAGAGAATAAAATATTAGACTATATGCTATACAAAGAGAGTCCGTTTATAAACGTGCTGGTACTAACGATGTTCTATGAGTAGTATATCACCCAGAGTCCGCTAGCTGGCTTGTGCTCTCTAAGCTAACTGCATGGTGGGCTCGAGGCTTCACTGGTACCGGTGGGCCTGTGTTTAACCAATGCCTGATCTTCCATATCGGTGTGACCGGGTATGCATGTCCGCTGATGCAGGGGTTCGGGCAGTGCCTCTCCGTGGTCCTCCGTGGCGTCTTTGAGGTTGCTTCCCCTGCCGGCCAAGCGTACCTCTTCTGGGCTTCCGATGGTGAGTGACCGCCCTGGAGGGTGTTGGGGCGCTGTGTGGTATATCTAGATGCCGGACCGCTTTGATACGCTCTCCTCGGGGTCACCGTTTTGCAGGATGTGGGAGTATCATGCTTTGCTGCGGGGTTGGTAGTCATTGGCAGGGGTAGACAATGTGTGGTGTGGCGATCTACCAGTGTGGCAGCCTGTGTGGGTCCTGCTAGGTCTCCGTCGCAGCTTGCCTGTGTCATGGCTCGTGGGGTGGATAGGTAAGTAGTTGCTTGTGGGGCTGCTGTGCAGAGTAAGCTGGGCATGGGCTCTTCTAGCCCCTTAGACCCATGATTGGGTACCCCGTTGGTTGCTGTGGTCGTTGCAGGAGGGTCATCCCTTCTGCCGATTTCAGCGCACACGGTCATCGCCATCTTGGGTGGCGCGCTCGGGCCCTTGGTTGGGATTTTTGTGTCTTTGGGCTCTGGCTGCACAGCCTCCGGGTGAGGACCGGGATCACCCCTGCTGGTGGGGGAACAGGGCCAGGTCCGCCCGGGTCTCGACCTCCACCTGGGCACCATGAGGCAGGCTAGTGGGGCAGCGTCCGTCCGCCCCTCTCACCGCCGTCTTAGGCCCCAACTCAGTCGTCGGTGGCTTCACCTCCTGGGGACTGAAGCTCGTGGAGCCAGCCTCTCCCTGGATCTGGTGTTCCTGTGGCATCAAAGACCCATGCTGTCGGTCAATTTTTAGGTCGATTTTTTTTTATTTTTTTGGCTGAATTATGGATGGGTTGCAGGAGCTGAACTCGCTTGCGACCGCCCAGCTCGGCGGCCTGGCCCTTCCCCCGACGGAAGTCTCTTTTCAGCCATGTAACTATGTAACATTTCAACTCTACAATAGAGCCTTTCTCAAGCTATGAGAAGGACTCTATAGTAGAGGCAAAATCCTGCCTTCTTTAGATGATCTGTGTGTGCCAGAGCGATAGAAGGCAAAGGTTCAGGCAAGTACTGTCAACACTGAGCATTTGGGCTGTTAGAAACAAGTTTAGACTTTTTGTACAGAAACCTTGCCTACCCTGAGTTATTTGGGTAACAGTAATTGTGGGTATGCTTGTGGTAATCCAGTATGGCTGTGCTTAGTTGACTACATTAGAGTGGCTAGCACATCTGGTGTGTGTGCCTATGTGGGCACTTTTACTTTTTTACCAAGAACTTGAAGGGCAGAATGCAGCCTGTATAGGCATCTACACGGGATCTAGACACAGGAATGGAATACATTCTCCTACAAACGCTCACAGATACAACTACAGACACACTTACAAGCACTCCAAGAACAACTACCAACACACACAAACATAACTACAGACAAACAGAAATATTTACAGATACATATACTCGGGCACTTACAGGTACAGAATCACTCTTCCAAACATTCTCACAAATAATCACTCTCTCAGGCATTCATATTTAGACACACTAACTCTCCCAAGTAGATTCATAGAAACAATCACATTGTCACAGATACCAATATGTACAAACTTTCACTAACACGCAGTCACACACTGCAGGTAAAATACACACATTCAAAGCATATTTTATAGCCGTGATAGCTGCACACATCAAGTAATAAGGCTAAGACCTCCTCCCCTGCTGATCACAAATTCCAGCGACCAGCCCTTCACAATATTGGAGGCTCCCGGCTCTCTTGTCTTTGGTTTGACAAGGAAAGAAAACCTGAACACTATTGATCTTTTAGTATTGGAGACTTAACACGACTTGACCGCTTCTTTAACCCCTTAGGGACACATGACGTGTGTGACACGTCATGATTCCCTTTTATTCCAGAAGTTTGGTCCTTAAGGGGTTAAGCAGGGAGATTCTAAGACTACATGCCCCCATTTTGCAAATGTTTGACTCTCAAAGAAGATTCAAAGATTCCCTAATCCAGCCTTTAGTTCCCCACCACCAGCCCTGCTCACTTGAGGTGACTTACTGCACACCAGTGTGCCAGGACACCAACCTCCAATGTGAATTTAAAGTGAATTTAAGGGCCAAGTAGCCAAACTGACTCCAGCTCAGCTATTTTGACCTTAATTTTGAGCTTTATTTGTCTTCACTGTAGTGAATAACACCGACAATGGTCTTGATGTTCAACTTTGGCAAAATGGGGATGGTGGGTGGTCATTCTGTTTAGTCGATTTGCTGCCTTTATTGATTTTCTTAAAACTGAAATCTTTCATTGGCAGCAGCCAGTTGTAATAGCTATTGAATAAAAACTGTTACTAAGATCAGTTATTGACCATTTATTAAACGCATTCTGTGTTCGTGATTTGATTTCGCAGCTCAACGATAAAGAAGAGGCATTAGCCCATCAGAGGAAAGTGAGCTACATGCTTGCAAGAACTATAGCGGACAAGGATGATTCCAAAGAGAGCCAGTGTAGTCCCAAGTCACCTGACAAAACCCAACATTTAAACACCTCCGATACAAGTAATGTTACAGATCCAACTACCTGCTTAACTAATAAATCTACCTCGTGCAGCTGTTCTAGTGAACAAGAGATCAGCGATTCAAAGATAGACTGTTCTAGATCCATTGAGACCTCTTTTTCATCTATGTTAAAGGATGTGCCTCCTGAAAAGGAATCCTCAGAAGCTGTCTCCAAGACTAATCACGAGTTGGAATGTTGTAAGGTCGAAGGCGCCGAAACACAAAATACATAACGGACAAAGTTTTAAAATATTAAATAGAATCTTATTTTTTTTAACAATTTTTACCCTAATCACACATGGTGATCAGTTCTGGGACTCCAGCTTGTTGATGACCGAGCACGTATATTTTAACATGTGTCTGCCTCATTTGATTGGACAGTGTGTGTGTATCTATAACCATAACAAAAGTAGTATGTTATTAATGGAGAAATAATGTTATCTTAAATAATGAGTACATGTTGACTTTCAAGTAAAAAATATTTATCGTAAAGTTTTTGCTCATCTCTGAATAATGGTTAATTTCCAGTAGCAATTTTAGACCTTTTTTTTAAGAGACATTTTTTTTGTCTTTTTTAAATAAGTAATATTGAAAGGTATACTCTAAGCCCCAAAACCACTTCATCTTGATGATGTGGTTTTGGTGCAAAGACCATGTCCCTTTCTTCACCAATAATGTTTTTGAGGAATCACAATGTTTACATTTGACAGCCACTAGAGCTGCTTCCTCCATAAGAATTTCAATTTCTTTAGGAGGTCTTTCTGTGCAGCCTCAGCGTGCAAAGCACAAAGCTAATGATTCTCTTTGGAATAACATTGGATTCCGTACTTCGTTTTAAGAAGCATGGCATTGTCACATTACAGCCATGCATGCACCATAGGTCTGCAGTGCTTGTCTTGGAGAAGCATAGGACTGGACATAGATCATAACGGTGGGTAAATCTGGTTTCAGTGATGATTGTGTCCGAATTACAGGTACATTAAGCTTCCATAATCGAAATTAAAAAAAAGGAACTACTCCAAGGTAAAATTACGTTTATTTTTGTTTTTAGTGCTCTTTTTAAACAAATGTGCTTTGTTTGATAAAGATCGGAACGATTTATTCACAAAACAGTTTATTGTAATGAAAAATGAATCTAGACAAAAATGATATGGATATGTCTCAAATTCCACTGTATTTGTAGCTTTATTAATCATCTTATTTAATTATCTTTCATTTTGCAATTTGCTTTTCAATTCCCTTCAATTTGCTGTCTAGCAGATACACCTCATGGAGTGATGCTAGTGTCATTGGTCAATGTTTGACCTTGTATCGCTTGTTATTTTGGTGAAATAAAAATCTGATTATTATTTTTACAGAACATGGTAAATTGAATGTGTAGTGAATCTGGCACGCTAATTATTCTGGTCTATTAAACTCTGACTAAAAAGTTTATCACTACAGTGAGACCTTTTGGAAATTTAAAGTGAATAGCTAAACTACAGCCATATTGGGGAAAAAATAGCCAAATTTGAAAATGTTTCCAATATTTCCAGTTCAGGAACTTTGGCTTCATATTTTAAATTCACTTTGAATTCCTGACAATTATTACTTTAGTGAATAACCCAGTATTTTGAAATTCAAAATCAACCATTTTAAACACACTGAACTTCCTATCTCCCTGAATAAGAGTTTGCTGCATAGAAAAGATTCATGCCCCTAAATGTTTTGTGCGGTTATGGTCAGTGGACTTTAATTTTAGTGATTAGTGTTCGTTTTGCAAACCTTACAACTAAGAAAGAAAAATCAGGGGTACTTAGAAAAAGAATACAATTATTAACATCACACATTACACTAAATGAGATAAAATTCTTTATTTCCCTCATGGTATAAGTTAGAATCCTATAAAACTTAACTTTTAATAGTAAGTTAAAGTAAACTACAGGTTTGTGTGGGACCCATTCTGTTGGCAAATTGTGCATTTAAGATACATATATAAGGTGTATTATAAAATGGAAATTCTCATTGTTGGTAACAGCATTTTAATTAATAGTATTTATTTGATATTGTTGATAACAGCATTTTATTGTATTTATTTGATATTTTAAAGGTGCAAATAATTAGAAATTAATTTTTCCCCCAAGATTTCAATATTATTAGCATACTTTTTTAAATAAAATATTACATGTTCTCCTGTTTTTTTATTTTATTTTAATGCATACATTCCACTGCAATCATTCTCTCATCTGCCACCACCTGATGTGCAGACAGTTTGTAAGAAATAAGGAAGAGTCTTCACGACCTCATCTAACTCAGGAGGAGACAGCACTTGCTATCGTCGTATTCCCACTATGTGTGCAGAGAGTGTCATTTCAAAACACAGAGTAAGGGAGTCCACATTACTGAATGTTCTTCTAATGTAGAATAGCATCTTGAGATCAGATTTAGCCTGAATCTTACTACTTTCTAAAGGTTACAAATGGTACCATTATGATTAGGGTTGTCCGTGAACATGTTTGGACTCCATTTTGGCAGCACTCTAATAAAATAGTCATGTCTTTTGTAAGTAAATGGACAATATATCTTTAGACTGTATTCCTATCACTATAGTGTCCCTGTCTATAGTCACAAATAGGTGCCCCCTCTAGTTTTATTGCCTTTCTCCAGTGCTGAGGCTCACTCGTTGCTCTGCTCATTCTGCGATGTAACGGAGGAGGCATGGGCTCTGCGATGGTCCAATCCAGTGCTTGCCATAAAACGGCTGCCACTAAAGGTGGACTTAACTCATTCAATATAAACATTGAAGTTTCTTAAAAATTACTGCAATGTTTTACATTGCAGGGTTGAGAGGACAATGACACTGCACCCAGGCCATTTCATTCAGATGAAGTGGTCTGGGTGACTACAGTGTCCCTTTAATTCTAGTTTTAGATGTCATCACATGTGTAAACAGAATTGAGCTGAGAATATTTCCCCTTTTAACCCCTTAAGGACACATGACATGTATGACATGTCATGATTCCCTTTTATTCCAGAAGTTTGGTCCTTAAGGGGTTAAAGAGTGGCTAATAATAAATTAAAAATATATATGGTATAAAGTTTTTTTTCAGGTGGTCATATCATATGCAATGTTTATGTTTATAGGACATCTGGTCTCCGTACATATTATTCATATAATTTCCGGAACCAACCATCTGCTCAACACGTTTCCCAATGAACTATTTATTAACTGTATTTACACTGTACTACAGACAATTTGAATAAATCTTTGTAATCATAAGCTTATTGGGGTTACTGGGTTCTAGAATGTCCTAGGTGGAAAAAGTTTCCTCAGGTGAGTCCTTCATCCATGCGTCTTATTTAAATGCTCTCCTATTTATGACACAATATTTAATGACAGATCAGAGAGAGGAGATTGGGTGTGTTAGACAACGGTTCAACACCTCACAAAGAAGCCTTTGGTTGGACTATTTTGCAGGTACATTTAAAACTTTTGTATAGGTGGTATCTAAAGGTTACAAACATGGGTTCAAAATACATTTCCAGGTACATCTGAGAGATGTTGGAAAAATTGTGGTGAAGCAGGAACCATGTCACATATCTGGTGGAACTACTCTAAATGAAAAATGTTTTGGTGATTTATTTTAGCGTTGATACAAATGGTTGACCTTAAAATTGTGCATCTTCTTCCTCTATTTGGATTATTTAAGATACCTCCTACAACACTACATAGGCCTGAAATTATTTTCAATTTCCCACTTATTAATTGTGGTTACTTCAACTATCCTGAGGGGTTGGACATCCCCAAATATTCTTACTTAAAAAGAAAATATATTTTTGATTAAGAAACACAAGGGTTATGAATTAGTAATGAGGCAATCGTCTGTAATACATGCTCAACTGGGACAAATCTGGGATTTTTGTGAAAAAAAAATACATTTGGTAAATTTGGTTTATTGCTTCAATACTGAATGGGAGTAAATTGAAAGATATAGAAAAGTTGTGAGAATAACACAGATGACAGATTTAGCAATATTATCAAAATTTGCTTATATTTTGCAATTAAGTATTTAATTCCCCAAAATTCAACACTTTGCAAATAAATGTCATAAACTTTATAAATAATTCATCAAGTAATTTGTTTCAACTGCTGTGAACAGAGACCCAAAATCACCATGTGTGTAATCCTCCTCTGGTGTGCATCATTCCAATGGAAGCCTGGAAACCGTAAGGAGAAAAATAATGGTGCACTGCTATTTATGAAAAGGTAAATATGGATACCAGTGCTAGCTGATTCAATTTTCTAAAATGTCTTTGAAATTCCAATGCACGAAGATATACATGAGACAAAAATAAAGGATAACTTTTGTCAAAATGTGACCGTGAGCAGAATTACTGACATCACAACCTGCCATTTGTGCTATCATCCAATGCATTGTTTATGGAATATCGTGCAGTCGGCTCCATTGACCCGTTTTGCACTCTTGCCATTTGGTAATGTGGTTCCTGGTGATGAAGCCATCAGGAACTGAAGGCATGCTAGTTTGGGAAGGGTGTTTGCATAGAAAGACCCCAATAGTAACAGAAATGCTGTATTTAGTTTCGGTCTGTAATTTGTTTGTATTCGATAAATTGTTCTAAAAATGGCATTAAAAGTGTCAACTTTTGGGGGGCGGAGCCAAGCCAGCAAACCGAACAGACGTGCAGAGCTGTAGCTCCGTACCAACAAGCCTAAAAACAACAGCTAACCGGGTGAAAAATCACCGGAACACCGACTAGCACCCCACCTACGCAATGGGAAAACGGGCCAAAAAGATCAAGGCAGCCCTGGCATCGGGAACCCGTAATATTGGGGAATACATGCAGGGAAGCCTCCCGCACGTGGCGCCCAAGATGGCGGACCTACATGCGGAGACCTCATCGGAGGAGGAAGAAACCTCCATGGACGCCCTAGACGAGATCCCACAAGCTGGAGGCCTGTATACGGAATCCTCGGACGAGGAGAATAACACCCCGGCCACGAAGGGAGACATTAAATCACTCCTCCGCGACATCTGCAAGATGTTCCAGGCGGACCTTGCAATTCTGAGAGAGGACATGCTCTCACTTACAGGGCGCCTCAAGGCCGCAGAGGAAACATCGGCCCACCTCAAAGCCGAGCAAACCACACTTGCCGCAGAGCAGAAACGGCTAACAGCCTCACAAGCAACAATGACACTGAAACTAACTGAATATGAAGACCGCAGCCGCAGCAAGAATATCAAGATTAGGGGTATCCCTATTACGATAGACAAGAATGAACTGCCGCAATACGTGGGGCGCTTGCTCCAGCAAATACTTCCCCACAAACAGGCTAAGAACATCCTGGTGGATAACATATACAGAATCCGCAGGCAGGGCAGACAGCCCCAACAGGCATCCAGTGATATAATTTTACAGCTTGTCACACACCTGAACAAAACGGCGATCATGGCAGCGGTCAGGGATTTGCCGGTCCTGGCCTTCGAGAGGCACAACCTGACATTCTATAATGACCTCTCAAAACCCACCATGCAATGGAGGCAAACAATGCGCCCTATCACCAGCGTGCTGAGACGGAAGAAGATCCCGTACCGCTGGGGCACACCACGCTCCCTTCAGATCACCGCGGAGGGGATAACCCATACAATACACTCACCAGAGGAAGGCCAATTGTTTCTGACCCAGCAGGGCATCACAACACAGAGGGAATTCAGAAGGGGCAGCCCTCGGAGACCACAATGGGATGTGGACAACATCGCCCCATTCGAACCACGGAGAGACCCCACCTGCCTGAGGCAAATCCAGGGGACTAAAGACCCTGCTACACACGCCTGCACCCAGCTTGATCACCACGGGCATAGGCTGAGAGGACTGTTTTCACCTGGTCCGAGACTGTATCCAGGCTAATCACTTATATTTTGTTTTTCAGTTTATTATTGCTGCCTTGATAATAACGTGTTTTTCAATTTTACATTTATTCCAAAAGCATGAGTATTCTGATGTTAAAATGTAATCTATAAACAGTGCAGTGAATCAGACATATAATGCACGCTACTAGTTGATACTCTCTGTTACCAATCGCATAACTCTATTACTTGTTGTCATTGTAAGCAAATCTCACAAGCCCAACCAAGGTGGTCTGCACACAGAACCATAGCCAAGCTGTGTGTTCAGACACCCCACTCAGCTGACAAGCTACATAATCTAAAATGCTCAGATCTGCTCTGGTCTTCACTAACCCACTATAAGCACACACAGAGCATACACCTGACATTACTATCGCTAAACTAAATGTACTGACCTACATGCACTAGCCTACTCATGCCTCTACCAATGTCATAGCATGCTACCTTAATATATTTAATTACTCAGTGTCAAACTACCTGGCAAAACTTCATCAATCCTTATACAATCATAGTCACTGACACATCTTGTTTCAACCTGAACGTTACTTTTACTTTTTTTAAACTGTGCACAGTATTTCTTATGCCATGTTACCAATTGTTAATGTAAGGTTTTATATCGCTACTGTGGCGTAACAGACCTAACTGTTAATTCATGCATGAATAAAATAAAGAATTTTGAAAAAAAAAGTGTCAACTTTTCACAGAAACACCCATACCTCCGTAGTGTTCCTATTTAGTAGGGGCAGTCCCTACATTGGGCCCAAATCCATTTGTCCCTTTTTTCTTTCCTAGTGGCCCCCTTTTCTAGAAGCTTCATATTGTCAATGTGTCTGAGTGTATAACAGAGCTCAGTAATGTGTCCTTAAACTACAATAAATGTGGTAAAAAGGCAGAAAAGTGAAGAAAATCCCTCACTTACAAAATACATGTGGCTCCAACTCCAAAATTAAATAAGCGTGGCTATACTGGCCTTCATCATACTTATAGCAGTTTAATACGTGCAATAACAGGGTTACCTTTTCGGCGCTGGAATCCTACCAGTGATCAAATGATACTTCACACAGGACAAGTTTGTTGATCCGCACTCATAGGAATCCCCAAAAATACATCAGGACGAAATCATAGAAAAAATACACATTTACTGATGTCAAAAATGAAATACCTATTTTCATTTTTTACTTCAATAAATGTGCATTTTTTCCTATGATTTCTTCCTGATGTATTTTTGGGGATTCCTATGAGTGCGGATCAACAAACTTTCCCTACAATAATGTGTTTAGACATCAATCTGTCTAAATAAAGTACATTATTTTTGTTCTAAATTACATTTTAGTCTAGTGAATTATTTGTAAGTCACCTACAATTTCGCAAAACAGCACGACTTGGCCGCTCAGAACCCTAAAATGAAAGTGCCCCTCTTTGTCATTTTGAAATGTTGAGAGGTCAGCCAAATTTAGAGAACTATAAAAAAAATAATAATAAAAAAAAAAAAATGAAACATAATAGCTTCTTGGTTTAAAAAAAAAAAAAAAATGTAATGGAAAGATTAATAAATCCATTCCATTGCAGAATAGAATGGTGCGCATGTCCTGTCAGAGAGCAGAAGAGGCAGTAGACAAACTTTGATTTTTTTTTTTCTCCAAAATATGCTGAAGCCTGTCTGTGATAAATCTGTCCCTGTCTCTGCACCTGATCTGTGCCTTGCCTGTGCCAGGACTGAACTGGATTTCTATATGCAGGTGGTGGAACTGCACTCAGCCTTTCGCTCTGCAATCCTAGGGTGCACTTGGATCAGTCCCAGTACCAAAGAGACCAAATATATAGTATAATTGTAGAAAGTAATCCAGGCACTCTAAATGTTCCAAAAGTTGGGCAATTTTATTGAACCCAAGAACCAAAATGCAACATTTCGACCCCCTAGGGCCTTTTTTTTCAAGCCCTTGACAAAGGCCCATGGGGGTCGAAACGTTGTTTTTTTGGTTATTGGGTTCAATAAAATTGCCTCTCTTTGGGAACATTTGGAGTGTCTGGATTACTTTCTACAATTAGGACTGAACTGGATTGTGATATAAATTGCATTTAAAATAAACTGGAGCATCATATGGAAAAATAAATAAAATAAATAAAATAAATAAAACAGGCTGATACAAAGAATTGTCAATGTTTTTATTTAATGGTGTTATTTCCAGAAATGAGGTGAAATCCCCAAAGACTGACACAGTCTCTCCATCCATAACCTGCTGACAGCAGCCATCAGCAGCCCAGCTTATGGGCAGCACGTGATCAAAACAAGTGACGTCAAACCGCTGCTGGGGGCATGCGCAGTACGTACGATCGCAGCGACGACACCGCCAGTGCGCAGGCGACGTCACGTGATCGGACTAGCTGCGCGTACTCCACCCCCCCGGGATATTTTTTCCTAGCGCTGCGGCCATCGTGGGCGCGCGTGCGCGCTGGGCGCCCTGGACTGTCACGTGACGCGGACGCCTGGCTCTTGTCACGTGACGCAGAGGCGGAGCTAGCCGAGGAAGCAGGAGAGAGGGGGAGCAGAGAGAGGAGGCCGGGGTGACCCATGAGGTGAGGGAGGGGGGGTGCATGGTGTCAGTGTGTGTGTGTGGGAGTAATGTCATAATGCCCATAGCAGCCAGACTGGAGAACTACAACTCCCATGATGCTCTGCTTCAGGCTGTCAAGGCATCATGGGAGTAGTAGTCCTAAAACTGCTGGTGGTTCAACCTTTGGCATCCCTGATCAGGATCAGCCTGGCCCTTTATTAGTATGTCTGCTATAATGTGTATGTACTGTATAAATATACCATGACATTGGGTGGGGAAGGGGTTAATATTGTACATACATATATCTGTATAACTGTAATTATATATATATATATATATATATATATATATAATACATTGTACACACATCTGTATAATTGTATTATGTATACATTGTACATACATATATCTGTATAACTTTAAAAAAAAAATATATATATATATATATATATATATATATTAATCTGTATTATATATACACATTGTACACATATATCTGTATAATTGTATTATAAATATAGGCACACTATGTTAAACTGGTAGGGGTTGTATAATACATGCATAAATATATACATATAGTTATGTGCCCTTTGAGGTTAACCGTTAACTACCTTCTCTTTTGCTTGAAAACGAAATTAACAATAACATGCCTGTGTCTTATACTGTTAACCCTTTTCCTGATATTCCATTATACTAATAACCAAATAACGTCTTATTAATGTGCACTATATTCTCTCATTAACCCTTTATCTGCTGGCGGTTCCAGTCCTAAAATGTATGCACCCACTTTCTTTAAAAATCATAAAATAATACAATCAAATTCTTGATTGTTAATAAATTGTTGGTCTGGCATTTGTGAACTATTACTACAAACTTATAATTTACATTTTAGTGCTGTTAAGATACGTTCATGTGCACACCCTGGGACATGACTTAGAGATGTCATAGAAGTCACAGGCATTGCAGGGGTTAATAGGAAAAGGGCTTAATAGCTAACTTCTAATTTCGTGTGTTAATAGGTGCTCTAACATCAGTTCATTTTCAATGTTGGTGCTGTCAGTGCAGCATGTTAAGAAGTTTGCAACTTTTGTTTTTAGAAACATTTGGTGGAAATAATCAACAGTGGTTGGAATTTAAATTGCTTGATCCTGTCATAGGGAATAAAATACAGTAAAATAAGAAATTATATATTTTCAATGTTTATTTTAATCAAATTTTATTCATGAGAAGTTTTAAAGACTCACATTTGAGTAAAAGCACATCTTGTGCTGGAATATTCAGTAATTGCAGGTATGTGTAGATATGTGCTGTAAGGTTATATGGTCAGATGTTAATGGAAACGAACTGGTCCTATTTGGATGGTTGCGAATAGTTATGATGTATAGAGACCACAGATAATCTTCAGCTGTCCTATTTAAAGCTTACTTTATAGCACTCATGGTGAATTGTGTTAGATTCTTAACTTACACTGATCCTCCACAACATTAAATACACTGACAGGTAACGTGAATAATATTGATTATATCATCACAATAGCACCTGTCTCGGAGTGGAATGTATTAGGCAGCAAGTGAACAGTCAATTCTTGACTCACATGTGTTGGAAGCAGGAAGAAATAGACAAACAAAAAGATCTGAGTGACCTAACACTACAGTGTTCCTTTGCCTCTGCTCCCACACTCCCCCAGCCATGAAGGGGTTAAAAAAACAGCGTCAAGGTCTCTCTGTGCTTAATCAGGCGCCTCCGATTTCATCACTAGGAATCTAGTGCACATGCACGGCGAGCTCCTAGCGCATTAGGTCTTCCCCATGGGAAAGTATTGACTCAGTGCTTTCCTATGTGGTTTTGCAGGACTCTGGATGTCCAGCATCATTTCACAGAGTTAAACGCTGGGAAACATCAGGAAGTGCCTCTAGTGGCTGTATGGAAGTTAGCCACCAGAATGAGTCTTAACCATGCAACAGGGGCACTTCACCCAGACTACTATGAGTTGAAGTGGTCTTGGTGTCTATAGTGTCACTTTAATGCAGTTTGCTGTTTAGCTGCATACCAGTCGGAGTTCACTTTGGGTCCTGGCATTTATGTGGATGTTAATTTGACCTGTACCACCTACCAAAAGATTGTTGCAGACCTTTTAAGGCAATGGCGTTCCCTTATTACAGTGGCCTCTTTCAGCAGGACAATGCACCCTGCCACACAGCAAAATTGTTCAGGAATGGTTTGAGACTCCAAATTTCCCAGATCGCTATCCTATTGAGCATTTTTGGGGTGTGCTAGAACAACAAATCTTATCCAAGGAGGCCCCACCTCACAACTTCAAGGGTTTAAAAGTTTTGGTGCCCTAATCATACCACACGTTTAGAGGTCATATGGAGTCCATGTCTCAACACATCAGAGTGGTTTTGGCTGCACTAAGGGGACCTAACGATATTAGGCAGTTGGTTTTAAAATGGCATTGTCGCTGTCCGGGGACTATGCTGAATTTGCAATATCCTCAGATGGGGACATCGCCGCTGAGGGGTGGGCAGGTAAAAGTAATATTAACTTACCTTACCTTGTGGGTGCAGTCCTCTTCCTCTGGCGGGTCCTCTTCATGCACGAGAGAACAGCACTGAGGTCTATGGAAGAACCTGCCCTCCAATCACAGAGCCAAATCCCTGCAGCCGTCACTGGTCACTAGTGACGGCTGTTGGGATTGATACTTCTAGACGGCAGTAGCACCGCCCAGTGTCTAAAAATGTCAGGTGTTAACAATATACAGAGACAAAGTAGTGCCTAGTCTCTCTCAGTATATCTCTTGGATGGTTTGAAATTTCAGTGAAATTCCAGCACAGTCAAAATGAGTTCTTCATAAAGATTCCATCCTTATGAAACACTAATTTTTCAGGGGGAGGATGACCGTGCCGCTTTTAATGTTGTGGCTGATCAGTGTAAGCATTGATTTCTATTTATTTAATTTTATTGCAGTTTGATGCATGTCAGACTAGTTTTGGTTTTCCATGTTTTGTCTTATTTGTTATTTATATTAGGTTGACTTTGCCAGTGCTTTTATTTATAGTTTACATCTGGACATACATTTACTTTGTTTTGTTTACATATATCAGGCGAAAATGTAATATAAGGACAAAAACACAGCAGCTATTCCTTAAAGGGACACTATAGGCACCCAGACCACGTCATCTTATTCAAAAGGTCTGGGTGCAGTGTCCCAGTCCCACTTAGTCCTGCAATGAGAAACTGCAATAATTACATTGCACGATTAAGTGACTCTCAGTCAACTTTGTATTCCTAGCACTTTAGTATCCCTTTAATTAAATTCACTTTACTGAGGAAATTCATGAAAACTTCTTAAAGGAATATTGTCATCAAAATCCCCTGAGAGAAAATGCCCCTGGTAGAACCAATACACAATTTTGAGAAGCAACAGATGATTGCAAAATAGTACATGTTGGATCAGAGAGCAGACGATCCAACCAAAGGTGCATAAAGAAAGCTACCAGAAAGAAAGAGAGGGAAAAGTAAATGGTATATTCAAAAATGTCAGTATAAATCAATAAATAGAATCATGATATGGTATAACATAGAGATTATATTAACGTAATAAATCATGTTGTTGGCTGCATTCCTTTAAAATTTACACCAACCTACAAATTTAAGTTCCAGTTGGTATATCAGATATTTGTGAATTAAATTTCCATGATGCTCAACCAGTCAAAGATGCACATTAATAAATAAATCACGTGGTGTTTGCTATTGCTATCTGTGATCTGCATCCTGATGTACAGATCTTGTGTTATTACACAAGATACAAAATTTACTCACATCTACCTAAAGTGTTGTGTGTTATGTGTAAACATTGAACAGTGTTGCAGCATGACTCGAATTTCAAATCTATGCTACAAGACAGGACTGACATTATTTAGTCATTCAGACGCCCTGTCCCAGGGAGCCTTACAGGAATTTTTGTTGGCTCTGCTGAGCTAAGTCTAGCTGTGCAGAATTGGATGAGAGCGTCAAAGGAGCTTGGTGCACGGGGCGTCCGGGGGCACTGGAGAATAGTCTGTCAGAATTGTGCAGTTCTGCTAATAGGTAATGGACACTATTCTAAATGATACATGCAAAATTTAAAAAACGGTTTGTAGTGTGGTATACTGTTAAGATGTAATAATGTAAACTGTGTTTGCGTAAACATTCTTTCTCTAGAAAATAGGTCATAGGTGGAGAGCAAAGATGAGTCAGTGGTTACATATTAACAATTGAATTTCGGACACAAAACTTAACACATTGACTCTAGCATTAAATTAGGATTCTAAAACGTTTCTGTGCGTTAATGGTATTTTATATTCGCATGAAGGGTTGGTGTGTTTGCACCTCTTTCTTACTCTCCCTGTCCCTAGCCCATTTCTTGATGATCTCAATAATCCCCTTACTATGCAATGCCCGTGCAGTGCCCTCCCTATATCAGTAGCCCACCTTTTCTCCATGCTACAGGTCCCACACCTTTCCCGTCAATATGTGTCCTAAACCAGTTTACTTACATTGTTAGTGGAGAAGACCTCATCCCTATAATCTAGTATTTTGAGACCGCTATATATCAGTTCTGTAAAGCACAGCTGCCCCTACTGTATTGATACAGGACGCTGGCATTTGATGTCACACATCATTATTGTGCAAGCCACACTTTTTAGAAGAAGCTGATCCATGTATCTGCACAAGTGCCCTCAATCACGCTGTCAGATGCTCTGGTCATGTGATATGTGGCTGCAGATAGAGTACTTGATGGGGTGAGTGGAAATTGTCTTATGTATAGAAAAGGAATAAGTAAAAATAAAAAATGCAATTCTTGCTACAAAATGTTGTCACGGAGAGTATCAGCTGATACTGGTGGGATGTGAGGTGCATAGTATGGACATTTCATACTGATATTAGTCTTGGTATTCCAAGCTTGGCTTATTGTGTTTCTTATATATGTCATCTGATAAGATTATGTATAAAATTGCGGATATCTGTAGCTGCATTGGTGAGATGTCCTTGTACAGCTCAGGAAATGGTTAGGAGAGACTTGTGATTTGTTAAAGTAAAGCTGTCATCATTTTTATTATTGTTGCAAATAAAGGTTTATCTGCATTATTTTGTAATTTTAGTCATCTCCTAGATAGCTTATTATCCTTACTCTGTGGGGACACTCATCTGCAGTCTATTTTGGTTAGAAGCACCATTTATCTGCTAAGACCATACACGATCTGATGCTCTGAAACCATCCCAGCATGTATTTTGAGATGGCTCTATGTTTTTTTTATAAATTCTTTATTTATATATAACATATGTGAGGTTACAGAACAAAGAGAGGGCTTAGAGGGGGTACCATCATACACAACAAAAACCACAGAGATTTGCAATTAGTACATTTGTATATCAATGAGCATAAAGTTTATGGGATCTCGTGGGATGTGCATTCTCGTACCTTCACGTGTATGAGAGATGTTCCTCCTGTTCTGAGTGTGTGTGGCTATGTGTGCATTTGTCTTGTTTGTCTGGGGAGGGAATAGGAGGAATGGGGGGGGAGCGGTGACGATGGTGGGGCGTACGCAGGCAGGAGGGGTACGGGGCTAGTGGGGTGGGAAGTGGTCGATTGGCGTGTGTTTATGCCCACGCTCGTGGTCTCCGTGGGTCGTCTTGCTGCTCCCCGTGCAGTCCCCTCCCTGCCCTGCGTCCCGTGTGGGGAGACAGGACCAGGAATGGGACTCTCGAGAGATGCCTTGTGTTGTCGGCGTTTGACTAGTCATTGCATTGTGAGTGCTATTGGCTGTGGTGGGGGTGTGTTGCCCTATGGGCTCTCTGGAGCACCCGAGCGTGGTTGATGGTGTGTGGGCGGAATGAGGAGGGGGGAGGTGGTCTCGGGGGAGGATGTGGGTCCCGCCGTGTTAGTCTGTGCTGGGCAGACGGTGGTGACTGTGGTGTGCCTCCATTTCTTAGGATGGAGAAAGGGGCCTTGTGGGGATAGATGCCCTCTCTATCCACGCTTGCAGGGCCCCGATGGGGTGCGGGGGGGAGGGTCGGGGTAGGAAGGGAGAGAGAGAGAGGGAATGGGGGGAAAGAGGAGAAAAAAAAAAGGGGAGGGGGGGTGCATTCTGGCTTCCGTCCCATGTTGAGCAGATCCCGTTCAGGGTTCCAGTAGCATTGCGCCTGTGTGGTAGGCCTTCTGTGCGAGGTATCATTGAGGGGGCGCTATCCTCAGTCCGGGGTGTCCGTTCTTAGGCTGGCCTCCAGCAATTTGGTGTGGTTCGCATCCCAGGGATCCCATATACGATGGAATGATTTGTACGTATCATTAATCTGTGCTGTCAACTCGTCTAGGTCACGGGTCTCTTTAATTTTGCTGATGATCGTAGAGATGTGGGGTGTTCTCTGGTCAGCCCATAGTTCTGCTATTGCCCTTCGGGCTGCTAGATTGATTCGGGCGGTTAGTTTGTTTTCACTCCTCGTGAGGGAGTCTAGTGGTTTGCTGAGTAGCATGGTCCACGGTTGCACGGCCACTGGCTTCTCTATGATCGTTTCTATGAGGGTGCTAACCTCTTCCCATAGTGGTTTGATTTTGGGGCATGTCCACCAGCAGTGTAGGTAGCGGCCTGCTTCGCCGCATAGGTTCCAGCACCCGTCGTCTGGTTTCTGGCCCATCTTGTGGAGTCTGTGTGGAGTCAGGTACCAGCGGAGCATTGTTTTGTATGCCTGCTCTTTGTGCGTGACGCATACGGTAAGGGAATTTAGTGTTTCCCATATGGCGGCCCAATCGGTCGGGTCCTCCGGCGCTCCCAGATCTCTTTCCCACGCGGCAATATAGGTTAGGTTAACCTGGGAAATGTGGGTGGTCAATGTCGTGTAGTTGGCGGAGATTTGGCCTGGTTGCAGGGGGGCCGCTAGGCATTGTTTTTCGTATGCTGTCAGCGGTGAGGTACCTGCTTGTTTGATTAGTGGTTGTTGCGCTAGGCCTCGGAGTTGTATATAGCGAAAATGATCAGCTGTGGTCAGAGCCCCCGCGTTTGGGAGTTCGTTGTATTTAAAGATTTCACCTTGCTGGTACTAGTGGCCGAGTCGGGAGATATCTCGGTGGTCGAACGCTAGAAAATGCCTTGCTGTCATTCCGGGAGGGAAGAGTTTGTTACGATAGATCGGGGTCATTGGGGAGAGAAAGGAGGACAGGTCGTATTTAGTATTGAGTTTATCCCAGAGTGCGATGGTATGTGTGATTGCCGGAGAGGTGGGTGGGGGGAGTGGGCGGTGTATCCGTGGTACCCAGATGTATGAGGAGGGCTGATCCCAGCCCAGAATATCATGTTCTAGGTCTACCCAGCGTTTACTGCCGGGGGGGGCATGCCATTGTTGGATATGGGCCAATTGGGCCGCATGGTAGTAATGTTTGAAGTTGGGTAGTCCCAGCCCCCCTCTCAGTCTAGGGACGTACATTGTTGTTCTACGGATCCTGGGTTTCTTGGCTTTCCATATGAATTTGTCTATGGCCGTCTGGAGACGCTTGAAATCCGAGTTTAGTAGCGGGATGGGTAGTGTCTGGAAAAGGTAAAGAAATCTCGGCAGGAGGTTCATTTTGATTTTGCTCTGTTTTTTTTAGCTACCTGCCTGCTCCCATTATTCAGTGTGGTAGGCATGGTGCTAATTTTTATCCTATAGATTTTTATTATATTTATTTCTATTGATTATCCCTATGTTTCCACTCTTTTTTATTCTTCCTTTCTTTCTTCTTTTTATTTATTTTTTATTATTTTTTATTATTTCTTTTCACTTATTTATTTTTCAGCCGGTCATAGCCCGCCCACTTCTGTGTTTCCATGACGACGGCTGCAGCATTGTGCTAGCCGTCGTCTTCCTACTTCCTGATGGCGGCCACTGCCGAGTGCGTGCCGCCGTCATCAGGATGCCCGCCCCGCCATTCGACGTCAGCCGCACCATGTGCGTGCTGACGCCGATTTTCCTCGCCCACTGGCGTCTGGCCGCACCTTCTATGCGTACAGACGCCAGTTGTCAGTCCCCCTATATGACGCCGGCGGCTGCGCAGTGCCGGCCGGCGTCATACTACATATCCCATCACCCACTTCGGTTCTAATGCCGGTCATGTGACCGAGCATCATATAATACATTTTATCAAATAAGGATCGTTTTTAATGTTCAATCACATATCTTGAATATTTATCCCTAAGTCTACACTTATGTACTTCCATTTCATTATTTTAATTTTGTCCTATTATATGCCGGTCATGTGACCGTGCACTACATAATATATTTTATCAAATAAGGATCTTTTTTAATGTTCAACCATATATCTAGAATATTTATTCCTATGTCTATATGTATGTACCTCTTTTTTATTGTTTTAATTGTGTTTTATTATATGTATTTTCAACTTGCAATCTGATTGGCTGTCCTAATTTTGGCGCCATTTTTGAATTGTTTGTACATGCTATTTAAACGATCCACTGCCAGGTATCAGGTTCTTTACCCATATTGATAACGCCGATTGGCGAAACGCGTTTATGGTTTTTTTATATTGTGTATTATTATAATTAAAGTATATTTGGTAACCTTTTATTGTACCACCTATCCTTTTATACACATATATTTATTCTCATTACCTGGCACCATTCGTTGGACTCCAAGCAATCCTAGGTGGGGATTATTCCACCAGCGTGATATATCAGGAGCAGTTGACCTGCTCCTGTCTTGTGAGTATCCACTTTTATTTAATTTTATATTTTATTCCAAGTTTTACGCAGAGAGCACTATTAGTTGTCTCTTTTTATCTGAGTATCTCCCACACCACGGAAGGAGGAGGTACGTGAAGGACAAGCATTCTATATCCCACAAGCGGGGATCTAAACCGCTGTACGCCCGTTACACCAGAGCAGGTTCTAGCTCTTGGAAATGTGAGTTTACATTCAAGTTTTATATTTTAATTTCCGTTTTATCAAGATATATTACACCATTTGGGTTCTGTATTTGTTTTCATCTCTTACATACGAGACGGCCCATAAGGAAGATAGAAAACAAGATTACTGTTCCGGATCAAATACTACGGACATTGCCAGATAAGATCTTCTTCCCCTTTTTTTTTATTCATCCATTTTTATCTGGACTCTTAACACTTTTTAAGTATTTTTTAAGCGCAGCCCTTTCTCTGTATTCTCATTTTGATTGTGGTGATTCGCCCCATCCAAGAGATTCCCAGTTTGTCCCATCGTTGGAGGTCTGCGTATGCTGTTTTGAGGAGTGGCGTGTAGTTGATTCCGTATGTGTCTCCAAGGTCCGAGGATAGCTTGGTGCCTAGGTAGGTAATGAAGGACTTGGTGACGCGAAACGGGAAGGAGTGGTGGAGCAGTTGCAACTGTGGGTCTGATAGAGCTATGGGCATTAAAGTAGATTTGGTTAGATTGATTTTGTATCCTGAGAGGGTAGAGTATTCGCTTATGAGGTGCAGTATTGCATGTAGAGAGGATATGGGATCTGTTAGAGTGAGAAGAACATCATCAGCGTACGCTGCCACTGTGTACGCTTCCTGTCTTATCTGCACTCCCCGAATGCTGGGGTGGAGGCGGATAGCTTGGAGCAGGGGTTCCAGTGCAATTGCAAAGAGGAGGGGGGAAAGGGGACAGCCCTGCCTGGTCCCATTGGCGATGGTGAAGGTTTGGGCATTGACGTGCGGGAGTAGAAGAGTTCCCGTGGGACGATTGTAGACCGCCCGCAAGATGTTCAAGAAGCCTGGCGGAAATTGTAGATGTGTGAGTACTCCGTACATGAATGGCCAGAGAAGGCGATCGAACGCCTTCTCCGCATCCAACGAGAGCACCACTGACGGGATGTTGCGATGTTTGGTGTACCAGATCGTATCGAAGGCTCTTCTGGTGTTATCCGCCGCCTGCCGCGTGGGGATAAATCCGACCTGATCTGGATGAATCAGTGTGGGAAGGTACGGATTAAGGCGGTTGGCCAGTACTTTCGTGAGTATTTTCAAGTCGATGTTTAATAGGGAAATTGGGCGATAGTGCCCTGGGTCTAGGTGTTCTTTCCCAGGTTTGGGTAGAAGGCAGATATCAGCCGCCAGCATGTCCGGGGGGAGTGGGTGGCCTTCCAGCGCTGCGTTGAAGACTTTGCATAATTGTGGTATAAGGATCGTTTGGAATGTCTTATAGTAGATGGCTGTAAAGCCGTCGGGTCCTGGGCTTTTCCTGGGTTTCAGCGTCTTGAGGACCGCGGCGATCTCTTCGAGATGGCTCTATGTTTGCTCATAATTTTAGGATTTGTGAATGTACACTGGCTTTTGATTGTGATTTTGGTTGGATAAACTGAGCTTCCAACCAGAGAAGACCAAAAATAGCTACTCTCCATAAAGCAGGGTAAATCAAGAACTGCACAAGAAGCAACCTCTAGGACAGGGGATGGCAACTTTCGGCACTCCAGATGTTGTGGACTACATCCTCCTAATGCTCTTACACCAATAATGCTGACAAAGCATCATGGGTGGTGTAGTCCAAAACTTCTAGAGTGCCACAAATGTTCTTTTTCCTTAAAGGGACACTATAGTCACCAGAACCAATACAGGTTATTGAATTTGTTCTGGTTAGTAGAATCATTACCTTTTTGCTGTAAATACTGTCTTTTTACCTAGTGATAACTTCACTGGCCACTATAAAACTATTCATTTAAAAAAAAAATATATATATTTTAAGTTTAAAAAAAATAATGCCCCTCCTCCATTTTACACACACACTCTCTGCATTATATATACATACACACACACACTCTGCATTCATTATAAACACACTACACAAACACACTGCATTCACTTTACACACACACTACACAAACACGCTCCGCATTCATTATATAGACACTGCACAGTCACACTCACTGCATTCACTACACACACACTACACAAACACTGCATTCACTAATCAAATATTCTCACTGCATCCATTACACACACACACACATTCTTGAAAACATAACAAATTCTGACTGGCATGTATATTTTGTTAATTTACCTTAATATAAAACAATTGGCAAAAAAAATAAGTAATAAACATGTTCAGTTAACAGTAGATTTGTGTACAGAATATCGGTAAGATAACGGCCTGAAAGTTCAGATTATCGGTATCAGCTCTAAAAAAAAAAAATCTATATCGGTCGATCCCTACAGTTTACTCTGCATATCATTGCACCCTGATTAAAGGACCCCTATAGGGTCAGGAACACAAACATGTATTCCTGACCCTATAGTGTTTAACCCACCATTTAGATGGCTTTCCCCCTATAAACGTTTAAAATTCACCTTATTTACAATGTCGCGCGGGTCTGCCGGCACTGGCTCCGCCCCCTTTTTGACATCACCAAAATGGCTAAAATCAGCAAGGGGGCAGGGCCAAATGCTGTTTTGGCCAATCAGAGGCGTGGGGATGCTGAACGGCAGGGCTGTCTACTGAACAGCCCTGAGCCAGGAAACCCCTCCAGTGGCCATCTAAGGAGTGGCCACTTGGAGTTGTCCATAGGGGCAATGTAAACACTGCCTTTCATCTGAAAAGGCAGTGTTTACATGAAAGTGCCTGAAGGGAGCTATTATACTCACCAGAACAACTACATTAAGCTGTAGTTGTTCTGGTGACTCTAGTGTCCCTTTAAAGTATTCCTAATCCAATGATTCACATAAAGGAGCGTACTGGATGAACACAGTATCTATCATCTGCATACTTTACTTGCTGATGCCAGACGTCAAATAAATTCAGTAATCAATCTATTCCAGTCTGGAGCCCCTATCTGACTGCCAACAGCAGTCGTGCTGACGATTTTAATCTGTTTCCTTTCTCTGTAACTGCACTATTTACAACAGCTAGGCTGCAGGGACAGCATCTGATCCCCAAACTCACTACATTAAAATTAGACTATCCCTCCAACTTGTATGTCAGACAACAAGCCGTTATAGTATTACTCTGGGCTTTAGTGAAAGGAATAACTGACCTTCTCCTGAACACAGTGACATTATTAACATTTTACTTGTCATTGGTTTCATAGTGCATTTTTCCTTTCCTGGTGACCTAGAGGCACTATAGGCTGCAATTCACCCCCATTCTTTAATACATTTTATAGAATCTATTCCAGCTTTATGTAGATATGTGCAAACATAAAGTTTCTAAAAAAAAAATAAAATAAAAAAATACCATCACAGTCCCCGCTGTTTGTGCAAAGCAAGCAGAAATAACAAGTAGACCCGTCAAAGACCAGCAAGACACTTCAACAATCAGGAGACGCTCAATGGGGTTATGTTCTGGTGACTTATATCAACAAGGCAGAATTTTATGGGATATGTTGTTAACCAAAAACAGTTGCACTCATCAAATCTGATGTACACATTTTTTATCTTTACTATATCCTATATTTCTATAAGGATGTCTCAAAGGGGCAGTGTGGGCATCATAACTACCACTGTACGCTTATATTTAAGGAATCCAAGGTGCCCATTATATATGGGTTTTTGTATATGTCTACAAGACAACTTGGAAAAATAGTCTTCTGCAGTTATGATACTTCTAGTATTATGGCCTTTGATCCACTTAACGTGGGTTGTCCCTAGATTCTATATACGCCAAATAACTTAAAATTCTGATTCTATGCTTATTAAGGGTGTGGTGACCCAAAACCATTTGTAAATAGGGATGGCAGGTGCAATAAACATCAATGAAGTACAATTATTACCCTTTAAATCTCGTCAGTGCCATACATTATACCGTGCAATTATCCAAAAAGAATTACATTCTTGAGCAATATAATATTGTATTGATTTTAATATTTTATGCTTTACAAGTGTATCTCTAACATGTTCTGTGTATTCACTCATTGAACTTCGAATCAAAAACTGTCAGAGAAAGCAATCTTTACATTTTTCAGGTAATTTTTATTTTTTATTTTTTTTGGATACAAATATTCCTTGCAAAAAGGTGACAAGACATTATGGCATGATATGTCTATGTAAAATATTGCATACTTAAATAGAATTTTTATTAATTTATCTATTATTATTTGTTATTTATTTGTTTCAAATTGTAGTAGTTTTTGTTCAGGATGTAAATTCCAGATAGAAAAATGTGGAACGAAAAATAAAAAGAGGAAATGAGGATTTGTTTACATAGTCGACTTTGCCCTGTCCCATTCAAATTCTGTTAAGCACCTTCCTCTGCAACAGTCAGGATATTCTCATATCTTTGGCTTTGAGGCCACATTTAAAGAACATGCTGTGTGTTTGTGTTTTGTAGCAAACGGGTATCAAAACATTGTTTTGTAAGATATAGGGGAATAAAATCCATCTTTTGGTCTTGATCAACCCAGTGCCAAATGGCAGTAATTGTTAGCAAACTAATGAGTGGAGTATTGAAGGGGATGGTAAACTTTTTTTACTGGGCATATTTGTGAGCAGAATTGCCCACTTTAAACCTTTTCTGCAGAGATCCATTCTTCCATGTGTGTACTATAATAAAAGTTAATTCTGTAAAGACTTATTTTTTTTCCAGTGTCAGAGGGGTCTCAGTTGTATATTGGGAGAAAGTTGAAAAAAAATCTTGATAGAAAATATTGAAGAAATGTATATTATGTTGTTATTTATATAGCGCCAACAAATTCCGCAGCGCTTTACAGTGGGTGGACGAACAAACATGTAGTTGTAACCAGACAAGTTTGACGCACAGAAGCAGAGGGGTTGAGGGCCCTGCTCAATGAGCTTACATGCTAGAGGGAGTGGGGTAAAGTGACACAAAAGGTAAGGATAGTATTAGACTAATGACCGTTACAAGAGAGGAATCAGTCAGGAGCTATTAACAGTTTAATACGCTTTTATGAAGAAGTGGGTTTTTAATCATTTTTTTGAAGGAGTGGAGACTGGGTGAGCATCTAATGGAGGAGGGAAGTGAGTTCCACTGGAACGGTGCAGCCCTCGAGAAGTCTTGAAGGCGAGCATCAGAGTTGGGAGTACAGACAGAAGATAGACGTAAGTCTTCAGCAGAGCGTAAGGGCCCAGACGGGACGTACTTGTTTTTTAGGGAGGATAGATAGGTGGGAGCAGCAATATGTAGAGATTTGTAAGTAAGAACCAGAATTTTAAATTGAGCCCTATATCTTACAGGAAGCCAATGTAGTGACTGACAGAAGGTTGAGGCGTGGGAGGTGTGGGCGGACAGGAAGATGAGCCTTGCTGCCGCATTCATTATGGACTGTAACGACGCAAGTTGGGAGCACGTAAGACCACTGCAAAGCGGATTACAGTAGTCAAGGCGAGAAAGGACAGTGGAATGGACCAGTAACTTAGTTGCATCTGGCGTCAAGTAGGGTCGGATGCGCGCAATGTTTTTGAGATGGAAGCGACAGAATTTTGTGATAGATGGAACATGTGTGAAGAAGAGGTCGGAGCGAGTCTGCGTGGTGGAGCTGATGGTAGAACCGTTGACTTGGAGGTAGACAGACACAGGAGTAGAAACACTTGAGGGAGGAAATACCAGAATTTGTTTTGGACAAGTTGAGTTTAACCCCTTAAGGACACATGACATGTGACATGTCATGATTCCCTTTTATTCCAGAAGTTTGGTCCTTAAGGGGTTAAGGAAGTGGGCAGCCATCCAGTCAGAAATAGCAGAGCGGCAGTCTGAGACACTAGTCAAGAAGGATGAGGAGAGATCAGGAGAGGACAGATTTGCGTGTCATCCGCATAGAAATTATATTGGAAGCCAAAGGAGCTAATGAGTTTAGCAAGGGAGGCAGCATAGATGGAGAACAGTGGGGGCCAAGGACTGAACCTTGGGGGACACCAACAGAGAGGAGTTGGGGAGAAGAAGCAGAACCAGAGAAAGAAACACTGAAAGAGTGCTGGGAGAGGTAGGAGGAGCACCAGCAGAGGGCAATATCTTGTAGACCGATATTGCAGAGAATGAGAAGAAGCTGTTGATGATCAACAGTGTCAAAAGCCGCAGAAAGGTTAAGGAGAATTAGGATAGAGTACTGACCACAAGATTTTGCAGCGAGTAGATAATTGGATACTTTGGTCAGTGCCGTTTCCACTGAGTGCTTAGCGCGGAATCCAGACTGAAGCGGGTCTAGCAGAGAGTTGGACTTGAGGAAGTCTGTCAATCTCGCATACACAACTCTTTCAAGGATCTTGGATGCAAAAGGCAGTAGCGAGATAGGACGCTAGTTGGACGGGGAGTTAGGGTCAAGGTTGGGCTTCTTTAGAATTGGTATTACAGTTGCATGTTTGAAGGGCGATAGAAATATGCCAGAGGAGAGCGAGAGATTGAGAATTTTAGTGAGAGGTAGAGAAAGAGAAGAATGGATGAGATGCGAGGGACTTTGATCTAGGGAGCAGGTGGTGGGACGGGAGGATTGGAGCAGAAACCTCTTCCGCTGTAACGGGTGTGAATGAATATAGAACAGCAGAGGGAGTGAGGTTAGGGGTAGTATTGTAAGGAGAAGAATAAAGATGAGTTCTCTTCCCTGACTGTAGAGATCTTGTCAGTGAAGTGAGTTGCAAAGTCTGAGGCGGTCAAGTTAGTAGGTAGAGGAGGGACAATAGGGCGAAGAAGATAGTTAAATGTGTGAAATAGTCGTTTGGGTTGGTGGGAGAGTGTCGTTATGAGGGTATTAAAGTAATTTACTTTTGCAGAGGAATAAGCCAAGCTGTATGAGCGCAGCATAAATTTATACTGGAGAAAGTCAGACGCACAGTGAGATTTTCTCCAACAGCGTTCAGCAGCTCTGAAGCATTTTTGGAGGTATCAGGTCAGCTTGGTGTTCCAAGGTTGTTGTTGGTGGCGCTTGCTGCATTTAAATGTGGGAGGTGCCATGATGTCTAGTTGAGAGGAGAGGGTGGAATTGTAGAAGGAGGTTGCAGAGCTAGGACAGGTGAGGTTTGAGATAGGTAAAAGGAGAGTTGGAGATATCAACCATTCTTAACTTTCTTCATCTTTTATCCTCCTAGAAGATCCTTCTTTAAACGTATAAATCAATATATATGGAATTCTGTGAAAATATAGGCCTATTTGTGAATCATTTAATATATTTTACATATGTTTGGTTTTCTGATATCATTTTATATATTTAGCTTTTTATTTTTTGTGGTTTTCTTTAGGTGCAAAAGAAAAAGATTTGTGACTCCATTAGAAGATGGATAATTATTTTAAAGCAGCGGTTGTGGACTTGGATAAGCTTCTAGATGATTTTGAGCAGAACACAGGTAGAGTATATTTGAATTGTAATCTATTTATTGAAATATCAATGATTAAGCATGACAGGAATCTTTTTATAACCATGCAAAACAAAGTACTTTTTTATATAAAACTCGAAATAAATCATTTCAAAATAAAGGGGTGTGGGGGCAACTAGGTGGGAGGAATCTGATGCAGTCCAACATTAAAAAATAAATTACCAATCTACTTTAACCCCTTAAGGTTGGAAGCAGTTGTCCAAGTCTGGAACCAAAACAAAACCTAGAATCTGAGCTATATATCTGTTCGACCATAATTGGCATCTTTCCTATTAAGGGTACCCAAAGAAAATGTGGCTTTCATTTCACATAAAATATTTATATGTGGAAAACTAATTTGAATAAAATCTGAAAAATAAAAAAAGATTGTGAAATAAAATTTTGTTTTCCAAGTACTGCATGGCATTTTAACTGTGATGGTCATAATACTGTTAGATTTTAGTGCAATAAAACACACATTTGCTGTGATGTCCCACGACTACAACGATGCCACCCATGTAAAGGTTTCGTGGTGTTTTGGAAAGTTACAGAGTCGAATATGGGGCTTGCCCATTTCAGATTTTATGCATTGAAATTTGACAGATTTGCTGGGCCTATGTTGTATTTGAGACCTTATGGCAGCCTAGGAATGAAAATTACCCTCTTCATGACATACCATTTGCTAAAGTAGACAACCCAGGGTATTAAAAATGGGGTATGGCCAGTCTTTTATAGTAGCCACTTAATCACAAACCCTGGTAAAAGTAAGTGTTAATATTTTTTTTTTTTTTTTTTTAATTTTTCACACAAAAACAGCCCTTTTATCTATATCATCATCATTATACATTACTTCTCTAAAGCACTCCTATTTGTGTTCTGCAATGTGTCACAAGTACAAAAGTACTTTATACATGGATTCCTTGGAGTATGTGTCTGCTGTATACAACAACTTTGAAACACAACTCAGGAAGAGGAGCAAAGCCACACGTTCAGATGTGTCATTACACTCACCCATCATTAAAGCCCATGTTTACATTTTGTGTCTTGCCCTTTGTTCTCCCCATAGTGTGTGGTGTCTGACTGGGTGTTGTGTATGATGTCTGTTGGTTGAGTGTAATTCATGTGTGTGATCTGTGCTGGCCGTATGTAATGTGTGTTGTGTGGGCTGGCTGTATGTATTGTGTGTGGTGCTCTGCCCCTTCCTCCTGCTGTTTGGCATTTACAGTGGATCTTCTTCTTAGATATGTCAATGAGTTAGAGTGCATGCTGGGAATCCTGCCGGCTAGAGTCTCAAAGGTCTGCACCCGGCCCCCTACTCAATTATCAGCCAGCAAAGGTAACAAAAAAAACCTTGCCCAAGTCATTGGGCAATACAGTCAGAAAATAGTTTTAAGTCGAGGATTATTTAACAAACAATCTCTTAAACATGAGGGTGTGCTGCCCTTTTAGCCAAATTGTTTCCCGCAACATAAAATAATATAAATGGAAAGGTCTACTCCTCTCAGGAGGCTGCCAGTGGTTTCCTTCGGTACTGGCAACTACACCAGCTACTATTCTGGCTTCCAGTGAAATCAAAGCAAGTAATATTGGCACAGAAGAGTTTTTCACCAAAGGTTTGCTGTCACTGACATACTCTCTGGGCTCCATCCATACCCTCCACATGCAGCCTGGTTCTGAGACCCTCCACTGCTCTCTGTGCTGCTTCTGGGTTAAAGGGACACTCCAGATCCCTAAAGTGCTTTATGCGTAAAGAGGTTGTCCTCTTTTTTTTAAAATGAAAAAAAAAAAGTGCAGATTTCAATAGAAACTGGCACTTTTATTAATTAACCTGGTTACACGCACTTGGCTTTTAAGTAGACAACCGTTACTTGTCCTTTTTACTTGCTAGTTTGTTTAGCTCTGTGAAGTTAAACTCAAGAGGCAGCAATTGCCCAGAGCACCTGCCTTGCAAAGACTTCTCATTGAGCTACATTGGGAAGTCTGTTATTGGACAGCCACATAACAACTGTGCAGAGTTTGAAGGGAAGGGCTTATAAAGGTTGTAGACGAGAGCGGCAGGCTTTGTAAGCAGTTTTTAGATACACCGTCAATGAAAAAAATACTTAAATGCATGCATGTTTTCAGTGGGATTCATCTACTAAGCAGTGATTTTAATTTATTTTGTATTTAGGCTGCTAAATATTCCTTTAATTAGCCAGCAACAGGTAGTCTGTCTGAACTAGAAAGTATTTAAACCCTTTATTCACAGGGAAAGTCTGCCCTTTGTAATCTGACTGATATACACACGGTCCCGACTCTGTCACAGTAGAATATTTGAGAAAAATAAATGTAATAAATATATATAGTTTTATATTCTCTCTCTCTCTCTCTCTCTCTCTCTCTCTCTCTCTCTCTCTCTCTCTCTCTCTCTCTCTCTCGTTAGTTACATTATATGATCATACATTGCATAAGCCTGTCACGATGCAAATGTACCCCATTTTTGGTAAACTAATGCCTGCTCTTATGAGATTAATCCACTTACTTGGAAACGCCTTCTTCTTGGGGCTCTCTGCAGTACAAGGTTAAATAGGGCCCTTAAATGAGGTACGTGCAAAAGCAGCAACATAATAATTTATGATTGTTTGGGTGACTGTAGCCCTCTTGGTTTCATATATTTTTATATATAAAAAGTAAGAGAATGATTATATATCTTAAGATTTTTGCTTGTTACTCACAGATGAGTTGGAAACCTGCCCATCATCTTTAGCTTCTCTCAACCCAAACCCTCACGTGGTCTCATCGGGTGACTTTTACCTGCAACCAGACTTTCCTGCTCCTCTGAAATTATCCAGTGATGATAACAGTCCTCAGCAGTCATGTTTGTCCCATGTTAGCTCTACGGGCAAGGAGATAGATGTGACCACGTTAAATCCGGAAAAGAATGTAGCTGGCCTAGATCTTCTATCTTCTGTGGATGGAGGAATATCAAATGAAGATGCAGTGAGCGCGGGGAGGACTGGTGTTCCTGTTTGTGATCTTATTAGTGACACCGGCAGCTTAATACATGTGGGAAGTAACCGTGAGTCCTTTATGCCTGATTCCTCCCATTTGGTTGGAAATTTTGTTTCTGAACTTGAGTCACTTGATGAACCTGGACTTCCAACACTGCCAACTGTAGAACCGTACACGTCTTCAAACCTCTGTGAATTAAAGCAAGAGTGTGTAACTCTTGGAGATTCTGATTTGTTATCCGAGAATGATTTTGTATTTACAGGTGGACATCCAGAAGATGAAGGGATAAATAGTCAAGCAGTACTGTGTCTCAATGATGAGTGCTATCAAGATAAAGAAGCTTCCATTAGTTCATCAAGCACTGATACCTTAAGCAGTTCAAATACATCAAGTACTGATGGATATGTAAGTGAGGATCTCCCATATGATACATTGAATCAAGACATTGCATGCATGGTATCAAAAGAAGGTGAAAATATTGACAAGCCATCTTCTGAAAACACAGAAATGTTAGCAATGTCGTGTCCGGAATATACTGGTGGGGCTTCTACACTGGGTATAGGTGAAGAAGGAAAAGCTGTAGATGACAGTGATTCAGATTGTTGCAAAGAAGAATACTCTTTAGAAACTGAAAAGCCATTGTGTGAAAATTTTGACACCTCAGAGAATGCAAATGAGATGACAAATCTTTTTGCAGAATCTTCAAAATTTGAAGACCGTAAACAAACTGAATATTCCATGCCAAAGGATGATTTGACGTTCAATGCCATGGAATCTTCAGGTACTGAAGGATCTAGAATATATGTACAGGAAGTTGATAACATGAATGAAGATAGCCATAGAATAACTTTAGCACATGTTGAAAACTTGCCATTGACCGTAAGTAGCAATGAACAAGAGAAAGATGAATTTTTGCAAGATGTATTTCTGACCACTGTTGCGACTGAAAATTCTGAAGTGAGCCAAAATACGTCTGATTATGTAGAGAAAAATAATCCAGAACATCAGGCAACACACATATTGCCTGTTGTTGAAAAGTATAATGTTGATTCAAGTGACCCAACCCTTAAAAATATTAATAGCACTGACTTTGAAGAAGCTATTTTGCATGATGTCATTGACCAAAATCTACTGACTGACCCAAGTGACCTGCTGTTGGCCAGCTCCTACATCAGTGATGCTGAACTTGATGCTTTTCTTAGTGGAAAGACTGATGATCTTAGCAAGGATAGTACCTTGGAACCTGACTTAACAAGTAATGTTGGCAATATGGATGCTTCTGTTAGAACCTGCACTGACATTTACAGTAAAGGTCCGTCCTCTGAGAAATTTGGCATGATTGTGGCTAGCACAGAACTTCATCCTGAACACCAGCTTTACAGAGTAGAAGGTAACACTCTCGCAGCCCAATCACAAAGTACAGCCAGTTCAGACATGCCTCCTCATTTGTCTGGAACAGAAAGACATCTTCCAGATGCTAATGTGGTATTACCCGTAGGAGGTGCCAGACCCAAACAGCTCTTTCATCAACCACCTGAAAAGTTGACAAGCAAGGGCTCAGAGGAGGAAATGGCAGAGCAACCAATCACTGATTCAAGTCCCGTAAACTTGCCATATTTGCCAGAAGCAGAGACTGCAAATAGCAATAGTTCAGGCGTTTTGAAAAAGCCAACAAATCTGACTTTAAATGACAACTCAATATTAAACATCAACAGAAAAATGGGCAGGTTGGAAGAAGACACAAATCCATATCCTACCCTGGGACAGTGTGAGCCTACATGGATTCCTGATTCAGAGGCTCCTAGCTGCATGTATTGCAAAGTTAAATTCACATTTACAAAACGAAGACATCATTGTCGAGCTTGTGGAAAGGTAAGTTTGACTAAGCATGTTCTTTTTTTAGTCCTCTTACCACACATACAGAGTTAATTACTAAAGTGAGAATTACTGGAAAGTTAACATTTAAATTGGAAATGACATGCAAATTTCATTGCACAGAATTTAATTTATTGGCTGAGAGTGGTCAGGTGGAAGCCTCAAAGCCAGCGGGACCCATTACCAGAGAAACCTGGCTGAGGTACTCGTCACTTCATGACCTGTACAGCAGACTTGGAGTAATCATTTAAGGCCAAAATGTCCAAACTATAAACAGAATTGACTTGGATAATTGTCTAAATTTGCTATTTTGAAATTCATTTTTAATTCCTGGAATTCTCACTCTCGTAGACAACTCTGAAGGTTACCAATTAATCTAAACCAACACATTTATTTAATCTGTGCCTGCTCTGTACAAATTACAGGTAAAACTCTGAAAATAGGTATCCCGTCAACCCCCCCCTTTTTTTTTTTTTTTTTTCCCCCTCCAATTTTTAATTATTCATAGTAAATAAGGGTAGTTATATATTGGGGGGAAAAAAAGAAAAAAAAATATTAATTACATGCAATTCTCAAGTTGGATTGTGTCCTTGATTTCTCTAGGGTCTTAAACAAAAGTAAGAAGAAATATTTAAAAAAAAATAAAAAATCAGAGCATGTATTTTTTTTAACCAAATATGTGTTTTGGGTTGTATTCATTGGCATTTCCCCTGTCTTCCATTTCTGTCTAGGTTTTCTGTGCTGTGTGTTGCAGTCAGAGATGTAAATTGCAATACATGGAAAAAGAGGCAAGAGTGTGCGTGGTTTGCTATTACATTATAACAAAAGGTAGGATGCTCACTTCCTTTCAATATGTTGCATGAAGTCCACCATTCATAACTTTGAGCACTCTGTCCTATTGAGTAGAGCACAACTAAATAAACGGTAAACCATTGTTCACTCTCTCAGAGCAAGTACTGCGGCTGTCTGATGTGGCTATGGAATATGGGAATTTTCTGCCAACTGTTGCCAGTGCACTTATACTTCTTGAAAATTAAAGGGACACTCCAGACACCTGGACAACTTGTATGCACATTCAAACTTAATGTGAGATAAGTCGTATTGAGGCACTCTGAGCATCATAGCCACTATAGTTTTAGATTGTATGGAACAAAGTCTGTGAGGGACCTCTCCCCGTTTTGAGCAGTTTGTCAAAACGTGGGACTTAACTGTGCTCACAGCAGAGTCCCACTGCTGATTGAATAATGCAGAGGCAGGCTTCCACATTGGCATTCCTTCTAGTAGGTATCTCTGACTTACTGAAAGTGGGTTGGTTAGTGGGGGTTACCTGAAGGATGTGAAATGTAAGTAGAGGTTTTTTAATATTCATGCATTGTAGTGTTGAAAGGGCTGGCACTGAAGTCAGCACTGATCCTCCTGGCACTGCTCTGCATTCATAAATGCCTGTAGGAAATCACATGCAGTCACTATGTTACATGTTTTTGCTCTGTTGAGAACGATTGTCTGCCAGTTGATTTTCTGGATTCTTGTTGCTGCTAACAGAAAGAAGGAAGATAGTGAAATTCTGCAGGTTGGTATTTATTTTATTATTCATATGTTTTGTTATGAATTTTCTTCAGGAATCTTAAAGAATGGGGAGTCCATTCCAGCTTGGAGTGTCCCTTTAAGCGTACACCTCACACCAGTTATCTGATCTACATATTTTTATATCAACCTCTTTGGCTTTTCTAATGTTGAACTATCCCAATTTTAATCATTATCTTCTAATAGAGACAATTAAAGGGGGCAAGTTTCACAGAAAGGTTTGCATTCACATCTCAAAACATGGTGAATTCAGAATTGAAATTTGTAACCTAATGCCAGCCAAGCCAATCTAATCTCATGGCATCATAGAAACATTCCCATACACAAACTGTTAGTGATCCTTGGAATGTTTTATATATAGAGAGAGATTGCTATAATGCTCGCAATAACAGCATCATTTTCATAATATGACTTGCTTTAGACCACATGGAGGTGTATTCACTTACTGATTTCCTAACTAATCCGATTCAGTAAGGAAAGGTAATGGCCCTGGTACTATACCACTCTACAATACAATCAATCACTGATTATCAATGTTTTTGCCTTTATGTTTTTTTTTTTGTTTTTTTTTTAAACCATGTTTTCCTATACACACATTTTTAGATTTCTGTAGAACTTCCCCTTAAAGGGCACGAAACAAATCATCTGATTTTAATTGTAGTATGATTCCAATTTAATGTGATTTTAAGCTTGTATGTGTAGTATAATATTGCAGTCATAGTACTGAATTTAGCTGGTAACATCTAAGATTTCACATGGAAACTTAAGGGACTTATTCCCAGGACCCCATGTCAAACCTGTTTATCCATCAAAGCCCATTCCACAAACATTTATTAAAGAACAACTGACATGGAAAATAATTACACACTGAAATCTTTAAGTGTTTTATTTTGCATTGCTTTATGTGTATTTAAATATTTCAATATTTTCCCTGCCTACGAATCTCCCCACGTTCACCTTCCATCTTTCGTCTCGTACCACTAAGATCAGTTATATGAATGAGTCATTTGACCAAAGAAAACTGGAAGGTGGGAAGAGGGAGAGGCTTTCAGGAAGGCAGGGAAATTAACATATTTCAGTATACATCATTTAAATGAAATGGAACATAATAAAAATAGCACTTGAAAATTTCAATAGTTATTTTTTTATTTTTTTTTCACCACTGTCCTTTAAACCAGGTGTGCTGGTTTGTACATGTGGTTTCCTCCACCTCCCCCACCCCCATTAATCCTTTCCAAATTAATTGTCACAGATTGATTCTGTTTTCTTATTTCAAATTAAATGAGCATTCAAACGACCACCCAGCATTTGTAATTATGAGTCTCTTAAGTGAGCAGAAACACAGGTGACTGAGGTCACCGTGACACTGATTCTAAGAATACCAACGAAGTGTGACCTGCCGATAATTCAAAGCAAATTTCAAATTATAGGCCACACTGGAAGAAGTATTCATGTTGAGTAACTCACAATTTACTTATTAACTTACTAGTGTTGAAATGGTCCTGCAAACCATGTCCATAGAAATCTGCCTTTACTGTAATAGTAAGCACATACAAGTTATTAATATGAACCCATATACTCAATTCCATTGCGTCTGTGGTCTCTTTTTATTCCACTTTGCTTCCTCCATTCCCCTTTTTTCTGTAATTACACTAGTGTAAAAGCTATGTGTCGCTTTGCCAGTATATTTTTTTCTCCTTTTATTTTGTTCTCCTTCCTTTAGTACAGGCTTTTCAAAGGATGATGAGTCCAACTGCACTTATCCCAATTCCCAATGCCCCCTCTGTATCCTGTCCTACCATCCCTCCTTTGATGCAGGCACAGGGGGCAGATTTAATTAATTCTTCTCCACCTAGTGTTTTGGTGTCTGGCTCAATACTTAAACAACCAAGAGCTGAAGGTAAATCCAGCGAACATTCTAAGTGGCTAGAACATACAATTTTGGATTCAGAAATGTCTGATTATTCGTGCTACTTCAGTTGTTTAAGTATTACTGTATTTTCTGGCGTATAAGATGACTTTTTAACCCTGGAAAATCTTCTCCAAAGTCGGGGGTCGTCTTATACGCCGGGTATAGGGTCTATATGGCTTCCGTGGGCGCCCTGCGCCCCCATCGCCGACCCTTCTAATGCTGCTATAGAGAGTGCTCAGACGGCTGCCGCACTGCCTCTCTTCTCACCTCCCCTTCCCTGTGCAGAGTGGGTGGCCGAGCTCCTCTTCGTCCTGTCAGTCCGGCCGGGTACCGCGCGGTACAGGAGATTCAGTTACCTGTTCGTCTGAGTGACTGAACAGGTAACTGAAGTGCACACTGACAGGACGAAGAGGAGCTCGGCCACCCACTCTGCACAGGGAAGGGGAGGTGAGAAGAAGTAGGGAGGGGGGGGAGTAAAAAGAATGGGGGGGGGGAGTAAAAAGAATATATCGCAATTAGCCTCCTGTGTGCTAGACCAGCAGGCATGGATTATATGCCCAAACAGCCTGGCACATACCTGGGCTTTAAATGCTATTTCAGATTATGATTATTTAATGTCTTGCTGTGTAGCTCTGTCTGCTCACTGTACATCATGGCTAATTTTTATTTGGTGTGCATTGGAAGAGGGATATTCTTATACGGCGAGTATATCCCAAACTCTATATTTTAACTGGAAAAGTTGGGGGTCGTCTTATACGCCGGAAAATACGGTAATTTTTCCCAAGTATATCTAAAGGAACACACAATCGTTTTTTTTGTCTTTGTGTTTACAGTTATTTGTCCATCATTTTTAAATGGGGGGGAAAACTGCAATTAATGCAGATGCCACAATCCATTTGTCCAATGCATTTCAATGGTAAACATTTCACACACCCCCAGCGTCTAGCATTTGCATACATTGCATGCTGATGCCTGATGTAAAATATTGAATTCAGGCGTCAGACTAGAATACACTCAATTGATATCCGTTTTAGTCTGATGCCTCTTGTGGTTTGATTCACAACCACTACAGATATTAGAATTGGAAAATTTAAACTGTGGCATTTCTCAGAATCTCAAGGGTTTCAAAGATGCAGGGGTAACGTCAAGGTAAAGTGATTTTTGTGCTTATATTGTCCTTTTTAAGCTTGAAAAGGAATAAACTTCTGACGTGTTAAATAGGTTGTTCCTGCCCCCATAAGATAGAATAATAGAGTCCAAAAAAGTGTAGATTATTCTGAAAATTTCAATATTACACTTTATAGTAAAGCTCCAAATGTTGTCATGAGCTGTGCCACACAGTGCTGCAGTGTAAGAGTATGTGATGAAAATCTGAAATTGTTTTATTGTCTTGATGCATTTAGTCTATCAAGTTACTTTAAAAAAATTTAATGGAATACTATAGGGTCAGGAACACAAACATGTATTCCTGACCCTATAGTGTTAAAACCATATGGCCCCCCTTTGCCTCCATAAATATAGTAAAATCTTACTTATAATAGTCTGCAGCTGCTGCCTCTGCCCCTGTCTGCCTCTGACCTGTCTGCTGACATCATCAGAAATGGTGGTCTGAGCCAATCACAGTGCTTCCCCATAGGCAGATCAGGGGCAGAGCCCGCACAATTCAAACACAGCCCTGGCCAATCAGCATCTCCTCATAGAGATTAATTGAATCAATGCATCTCTATGAGTAAAGTTCAGTGTCTCCATGCAGCGGGTGGAGACAATGAATGGCAGTGCTGCTCACTGTGCAGCACTGCCTCGGGAAGCACCTAATTTGAGGAGTGGCCAGTGGAGTTATCATTAGGCTGTAATGTAAACACTGCATGCATTTTTCTCTGAAATGACAGTGTTCACAGCAAAAAGCCTGAAGCTAATGATTCTACTCATCAGAACAAATGCAATAAGCTGTAGTTGTTCTGGTGACTATAGTGTCCCTTTAAATTCTGTACAGACCTTAATATGTCTTAAAACCTCTGCTGGGGTTGATCAGCTGGAAATGACAACATGTTGACTAATATATACACTTTTTTACCTCTCCTTCTTGACTTTATCTAGGTTCTCTTAAAGTGTATAGCTTTATCCAACATTATCTGTAAGGTCAACATACCTGGTTCAATCTAGGCAGTGTATACAGCAATATGGGGCAAACCTTAGCTGTGCTCCTACAACACAAATTACACCATATGCATTATATTATACTATACTACAATCCGTTGGCAAGCAATGTAAGAAAAGTGCCTTTAACAATACAAAAAAGTATCAGTCTCCCTGTGTAGGTATGTTTTATTTATTTATTTTATAATTGGTCACTAATGGTTGCTCACTTTTAATGTGAAAACATTTCCCACAACCTACCACCTTCCTAAGGTTTCAATAATTTGTGTTTGTTATTACTCTTACAGGCTTATACCCGACTGGCAAGGATGTAGCATATTGTACAGTTTATTTTATCAAGTAGCATTTCTGGTGCTTAATCTATTCACACACTGGTGGGTGTTATGGAAACAGCTGGAGTCCTGCTGAACATCTGATCCTGCTATAAGACCAAACTAGAACTACTTTACATATTAATATATCATCATTTTTTTTTTTTTTTAACTAGCCCTGAATGCTGTGTTCAGGATTCTGGGTAATCAAGGTGTAGTTTGAGCCCAAAAATGTGGATCTAATAAAATGTTGCATTTTTGCTAAAAATGCTAGTGCTTGCGTAAGCAGTCAAAATTAATTACAGTTTCTCAATCCCTACAGGAACTGGCCAGAAAGAGCAAAAAAGAGTTTGGTTTGCAGATGGTCTCCTCCCCAATGGTGAAGTTGCGGACACGAGTAAGCTTGCCAGTATTGGCAAACGGCACTCACTAGATGCCAGTCCAGTTACTCCTATCTCACCTTACACACCGACGGTGAGCGTCGTGCCTTGAATATTATCATATACCGATGGGTTGAACCATTTCAGACAGGGCCGGTACAAAGATTTTTAGCTACACAGGCAAAGTAGCATTTTGCTGTCTGTCTCCCTCCCCCCCTCCAAAAAAAAGAGACCACCTCATTCCTGGTGGAAAGGAGCTGTAGATGGGGACACAAGGGGTCTAGAAGGGGGTCATGGACTGTTGTGGGGGATAGGGTAGGTACAAGGGGGGACAAGTTCTGGGGGGAGGCTGTAGGGTGGGACACATACAGGAACTGTAGTAGACTGGGGAAACAAGGGCTGCAGAGGGGGACGGACACAAGGGCTGCGGGGGGACGGACACAAGGCCTGCAGAGTGGGGGACACAAGGGCTGCAGGGGTGGGGGACACAAATGCTGAGACAGGGCAAGGGCTGTAAAGAGGGGAACAGGCTATAGAAGTGGGGTAGGGGCGTAAAAGGGGGAGCATGGGCTGTGGTGGGGGACACAGGCTGTAGAAGGGAGGGCATAGGGGCTGTAAAAGGGGCACAGGGGCTACAGAAGGGGCTATTGAAAGGGGAAAATGTGCTTGAGAGGGGTATAGAAGTGTTGGGCAGGGGCTGTAGATGGGAGCATGGGCTAAGAAATAAAATCCCCCACCCCTGAGCCTGGAGCAGAAGCCTGCAGCCAGCACGAGCAGCCAGGGAAGTCGGACGGCCTCTCCTGATGATGTCAGGAGTGCAGTGGGGGGCGTGACTTTCACCGCTCTTCTCCCAGGACCGCTGGGAGTCTGTAGAAGAGCAGTGGATGTCACGCCCCCTCCTCCTGACATCATCAGGAGAGGCCAGCCGACTTCCCATCTGCTGTGTGATAGCTGCAGGGAGAGTTAGGTAAAGTGAAAAATCAGAGTCCCCAGCCACAGGCAGGGGTTCAGATTTTTGCGCCCCTCTGCTCTGGCAGCCGCCTGTGCCGCCTTATGGACGCTCCAGCCCCGATAATAGACCTAGAGTGATGTGATGCATTTAGTTATTTCAAGAAGTAACCATTTGCATCAAAGCTGCACAGCTGGGCACAACGTTTTAACTGTGGTGAATTCAATGACCCGACTTTGATTGTTATAAAATAGGATGGAGCCTTAAAGCCTTTCAACAGAACAGAAGGGTTAAAACTTACTTGGATGGAAAAGAGACTGGAGACAGTCATGAAATCAACTTAGGTCAGGGCAGCAGATGTCCACAGTGTCAGAAGATTAATTCTTTATTTAAAATTTGATTTTTGCCTACAGACTGCCTCACCATCACTGGAGAAAGTAAAAGTATCTGATGTACCTGCAACAGAGGCATCTGCAGAAATTGCGTCCGTGCAGGTGCCTTTGAATATAGCAGCATCTACTGCCTTCCAAGTGTCCTCTGCTGCAGATTACGCAATGCTCTGCGGGATCGAGAAGTGCGTGAGCAGAGAGGTGAACCTCCTGCCAGACGATGACCATGGTCTGCCACCTCTCCTGTTGGCATCTGGAGAGGGTGGAGGTAATTTTTCTAATTAGAATTTATTGTGCAGGGTTAAGCATGTAACAAACATTGCCCAAACTGAAACAAGCAATGAGTATCAAACTGTTGTGCAATACAACACCACAAAAATAAACATAATTTTGGCTGAGGTCTTATTCAGCAATTCTTGCATTTCTGCTTTGAAATTTCTTTACATTTTTCTAGTTTCAGATCCTCTAGTGAATGAAAATTCCACTAATACTGAGGTCATGTTCCTTCTGGCAGACAGTGTACCTAATCCTCTAACATTCATCCTCAATGCAAACCTACTTGTGAATGTTACGATCACGTCTTGTAAGTATCTTTAAACTACTCCCTCATTCCTTTCTGTAATGCTTCAAGGTATTCCATTCCTTAGAAGCACACATTTAGATACTTTATATTTTTTACATTTTCTTGCACTGTTTTAACTCGCATTTCAAGAAGGACCACCGCAAAGCACACTCTGGGCACCTGGACACCATCAACGCACAGTACCTGTAAAGTGCTTGGTAAAATAAACTTGCTTGAATTTAATGTATTTGCTCAAAGATGCTTCACTGATCAACTGTAATACCTCTAAACTCCAACAGTGAATCTGTGTGTCTGGGTTGCAACTCATTTACTGGTTGCATCATTCTAGCTGGGAAAAATAATCTAATAAACGGATCTGAAAATGCTCGAAGCAGCAGTCTGCTAATTTGCTCAAATGGTTTTTTCATTTTTCCCCCTAATAAATTAGAGAATGCTTGCCACTAATGGTGCATGCTATCAATTATATGGCTCCTCATACAAACTTAGCTTGTATGATGGAATTTTCTGTTTTCATTTAGATGTAGATAGATCAAATCTGTAAAGAAGCATCTGTGTCTCTTTCCCAATTATGTTTTAACACATGGAAATGAGAAACTATTTACGAAGCAGTGGTATTGATCACTCTGGCTAACCCGCTAATGCTGTTTCTTTGTGCATCTTTCACTATCACACCATCCCGGTCACAAACTCCTTGGTACAATATTTTTTTTTAATAGTATTGTATCTAATTGGTTGTGAAACCCACTTTTCTGGTGCTGGTTACCTATCTTGATGTGTGAAGAAAGGAAAAAAAAATGAATCTGCAACATAAGTTTTGACTAATCTAGACATATGTAAATGCATATTTGATTCCACATTGATTTTTATTTTGTATTTGTCCAGTCTGTAAATACATTGTGAACGCAGATCATTTAATAACTGACATGATAGTGTACAGTGCTACAAGACCGCTTTAAATATGAAGTGCATGCTGTTTTTACCTGTCAGGCTTTGTATACTTTGTTATATCATGAGAAGTCGTTCCTGTGCCTTAATGCTTGCTTAAAGGTTTTCTTGTGTATGGTTTTAAGTGGCTTTTTAAACAAAAAAAAAATTGTTTATCGATTAGATTCATCAGAAAAATGCTGGTTCTTTGCATCCAATGGATTGCACAGCGTAGGACAGGCAGAAATCATTGTCCTATTGACCTGCTTAGCTAATGAAGACACTGTGCCAAAGGACATCTTCAAACTTTATATAAACATCTACAAGGATGCACTGAAAGGTAAAGAGAAACCTATTAATGTTAAAAGAAAATGCAAAGATGAGCATTTATTATCTCTTACAATGAAATAAAGTATTTTAGTACACCCTTTGTCCATCTGCATTAGTTTAGTTTTTGTTGGTTCCGTGTTTAGACAAGGATAGGGCCCCTGCACTCAGACCTCTTCATTGAGATGAGGTGGATTGAGTAAATGTAGTGTCCTTGGAATAATAATGAACACAAGTACCCCGGGGTGTCACGGCTGCTAGTGTGTTCCAACACGGAGAAACTATGTAAACATATACATACAAAAGAAAAGCAAAATAAAAGGACAGAGTGTAAACCGGACCTTAGAATGGCCGGACTAATACGCTAGAGATAGAGAATGGTCAAAGGGAAAGCCGAGGTCAAGGAAGCCAGAAATACTCAAATAATGTTTAAACAAGCCAAGTCAGGGGAACCAGAATTCGGAATAACCAGGGAAAAGCCAAAATCAGGATACCAAGTCAGATTCACAAAGATAAACGCACTCTCTGGATCAAGGAACAGGAATCCACGACAAGGCAAGGAACTAGAGTGAATTAGGGATTTAAATATCCCTCTCTGGGTTCTGATTGGTCAGAGGGTGACCTCTGACCCCAGAACGTGCGTTGACGTTGTGACGTCACCCGCACGTTTGTATTACTGTGAGGGGCGGAGCTTAAGATGGACGCGACCACGTGGTCCACGCCATCTTTGATTTGGGCGCGACGCCCAGAGAAAGCAGAGGAGCGGCTCCCGGCTCGCCGACGAGCAGGTAAGCTTGTGGTGTCAGCAAGACCGTGCCAGTCGGGCGCGGCATGCGGCAGGTCGGGAGCCGCAACACGGGGTAATGTTGAAAACTTGTGGCGACTAAAATAATTACAAATACTAATAAACATAACTTGACCTTATTTCAGTTTAGCTGAGTGTATTTCTGTGTATATCTCAAATTCACGAACTACAAATAGACATGTTTTAACCTCTTTTGTTTGTTTTTTTTGTTTTTGTTTTTCAGGAAAGTATGTGGGCAATCTGGAAAACATGACATTTACTGAAAGCTTTCTGGGTAGCAAAGATCATGGAGGATTCCTGTTTTTCACGCCTACATTTCAGGATCTCAGTGGACTCCCTTTACCAAATAACCCCTTCCTGTGTGGAGTTATTATACTGAAAACAGAGGTTCCTTGGGCCAAAGTGTTTCCTATTCGTCTGATGTTAAGGCTGGGAGCAGAATCTGGTGGTGAGCCTCTCTCACTTCCTATCTTCATGCATATATTTTTATTTTAATAATTTGTTTGTGGATCAAGTAATATTTGCTATACTTTATGCATTTTTTTTGAATTTATTTTCTATTACATATTTTTTATAAAATTGTAATTTTAGATCACGTTTACACAGCTATTTTCACTTATTTCGGTCCATACTCTAGATATGATTTGGAATTATTATGAGCATCATTTTAGTTATTATTTTTTTTTGTAATTCTTTATTTTAGTTGTGCAAGTAATGACATTCCATTAAAAAAAAAAGCTAAACCGACATGTCTATAACTGTATTAGTAGTGAATGATTAAGTGATTGGAGGTTAATAGACGTGTGGATGTGGTTCAGGCGTAAAGTAGTGAAAAGTAAACAGCATCCAGCCTGGCTGATCGCTGATTGATGTAAGAATATAGCTAGTGAGGAAACAGGTTGACCTGCCTGGAAGTATATGGTATGTTCTGCAGGGCTGCTAAGTGCCCCTTGTTAGATTACCCCCACCCTGGTGAATGTAGCTTGTGAATACTTTTAGTGAATATGGGATCGGATGGTGGGGGGTGGGAGGGAGGAGATTGATGAAACTCACTAGTGTCTGCATGTGGGGGCCTGTTAAAGTCTGCAATTGTATGGGGATTCTGCACATAAAAAGAACATTTCAAATCAACAGTGTAAATAAAAATGAATAACTGTATATAGCATAGGGAACGACAGTCACGCTGCAAGAATTGTTATAGGTCAATCAGGTGACCGCTATGTTGGACGAGTGTCCTGGGGGTGGTCGAGGCTTGAATACAGGGATCGTTGAGGGATCCAGGTTAGATAGGTTCGTGCCCTTGACTCCAGCGAATGAGGAACATTTTTTTGAATGTACTTGTTACCATGTTTAGTATCTCTCCAGAGAAATTATATTAACAGGTGTCTTTTTATTCTCTTCCCTTTTATTGATTTATTTGTGTATATATTTTGTTTTCGTAACCCTATAGTATATCCTACTCCTGTGACAAGTCAAAGAAATCGGAAGGCTGTATTTGGCGAAATAGGACATACTATAATTAATTTACTGACGGTAATTATTCCAGTTTCTTTTTAAATCCATATCACTTTAGCACCTTGTGTATTGTGTGTAATTATTCTTCTCTTTCTAAAAAAAATTTTTTTTGTTAAATTACTTTAAAACACTTGTAAAACACTTGGTGTTATATCGTGTGTAAATTAAGGAAAAGGGAAATACGTTATCTTGTAATGTATGCATGTAAGTAAATACTTTTCATTGAACTCCTGGTTTGTACTTGCTCCATTGGAGCAGCTATTTTTATGTAATATTTGATAAGAAGCAACATGTATCTGATTGAAAACCAGCCGTTTGTGAATGCTGAGAGAATGGTTTTTCGATACCTTGATGTCTGCGAACAACTTCAGGATCATTGAATCCGCACTAGCTCTCGATTAGTTGCATGGTCTTTGGTTAGATACACGAAGCTTCCAAAAAGACGTTCTGGGAAAATGTGTTTATATGTAAGCATTACCCAATGATTTGCATAGAGGCTAAATTAAATGTAGTGTTTTAAAAAAAATAAAAATAAAATTACTTCATCACTATACTGAACTTGCGTGTTTTTCGTTGGAAATGTTTATAGCATTAAGTAGACATAAAGGTGCATTATCCTGGTATAAGAATCATCACAATTAGTGTGGAAACCAGTAAAATCCAAAGGATCAGTTATAATTCTACATTTTGCGAACTTTGCAACGCTTTTTAAAAATCTCTTCACCCCCCCATATCTCAAATAACCCTATTATAGTTTATTATTTGACTTTTGTTCAGAAAGGTTTTTGCTTCGAATGATCACATTTTGTATTTTACCATTATTTTCTACCCTTCTCCTACTTACAGTAGTTAAGCCAGAAAACTTTTATTAACCTCAAAATAATGAATTACAAAATGCTTTCATCCACAAATATGTACTTTTAAGTGTATTGTAGGCCTTGTATTTAATTGAGCAATGTTCTTCCGCACTTTGCAGGACCTTAGGAATTACCAATACACCATACCACACGTTGATGGCCTAGTGATTCATATGGAAATGGGCAAGACTTGCATAAAGATCCCGTCAAAGAGACATAACGAAGTAAGACTATCGCATGTTAGATGTTAATTCAGCCTTTGAAACACAGTAGTGTTCTAATTACTGGAATAAATTACATCATAACTTTATTTTTTAACTAGGCTATGGCAAAATAGTCAACAATTTAAAGCACCACTGTAAATTTTTGATGTGTATAAAAATAAAAAAATTTTTTTAATGAAAAATGTTTTTGCTGCCTTCATATCTGTTAAATTCAAGTGCAATCAAAAGATTAGACAAAAGAATGGCCGTGTCTCAGATTGTTCTTGGCGGAATGATGTTCTGTCTGTTGTATCTTGCCATTTCCCATAAGCCAACACTTTCAATGATAAATTGCACCAGGCAAATTCTGAGTCGATTCACATTAGATACCTATGGCATTATTGCGCATGCATGTGAGCTATGGAAGGTTTTTTATGGGTTTTTTTTTGGGGGGGGGTGGGGTTCTGTTTTTCTCATTGAAAGATTTTTTTTTTTTATTATTATTATTATTATTAAAGTGATACATCAAGCTCACCTTACATTAGAGGCAATGCAGATACAATGCACTGGGCTACTTGATCATTCACATTCTGTGATGGACGAAAAATGCTGCTCAGTGCTGAGCCATATATCCCATAAGCGGCTGATCACATCCTATTGAGAATAATGAGCAGGCTAGACATGGCAGACAAGCTATCTCCCAATTCTTAGTATTTGGTCAGATATATTGTTGCACATGTCATAGCTGTTCTAATGTTGGACTTGACATTTTATATATTGAGGAAATATGTTTGTATTGAATCTATGGCATTTATCATACAGAGGTGCTTAGTTCATAATAGTAATTATTTAGGTCAAATAAAATTCTAAGTCATTCTTCATTACATGGAACCCATGAAAAAAAAAAAAAAAAACTTCAAACACAAAACCATTTTATTGTTATTCTATTTCTAGATACTTAAAGTTATCCATGCATCAAATGAACACGTCATAAGTATTGGTGCTAGCTTCAGTCTTGAAGCGGATTCTCACTTGGTCTGTGTGCAGAACAGTGATGGGGTATATCAAACGCAAGCAAACTGTGCCGCCGGGAAGACCAGGAAAGGTGAGTCACAGGACCTTGAAATGCTACGGTTAATGTATACATGTTCTCAATAATTCCATAAATCAGCAATTGGAGAAAATAATAAAATTTTATGTGCCTTAAATCGTTTTAGAAATCAGTTTATTCTCTAATGCCATACTTTGTGCTGGCTTACCCTTAAAATTAAAGTCCTCTGTGAATTTAGAGGTTCTGTGGAGCTCATGCAGCCAGTGCTGTTACTGAGAAGTTCCCATACTGCGCTAGTGTTCTCCAAGGTTGTAGAGAATGACCTACCTGTACCCAGAAAATGTGATTTTCTGTTTCATCCCCTAGTTACCGGAGCAAGCTTTGTTGTTTTCAATGGAGCCCTGAAGACTTCTTCTGGATTTCTTGCAAAATCCAGTATTGTTGAAGGTAAGACTGTTTAAACAATTGTATTTGTATGTGCACACTTTGTATAACTAACGGGAGTTGCAAGAAATTTTCATCTTAAAGAAAGAGAGAAAATATGTGTGTATGTATATGTGTGTGTATATATGTGTGTATGTATGTGTATATATATAATGCATGATTGCTCTGGCATTTTGCTTTTAATGTGATTTTAGTGCTGGAACAATAGACCATGGTGTGCCAAGCTTGTAGAATGTATCACCGTGTGAGGTACCAACCTTGTGCCACTATCTGTCCTACCATTGCCAGCTGAAGATCATTTTATGGGAATTGTAGCTCTGTTTATTGCCTGGTCTATACACTTTGCTGAAAGTTTGCTTTAGAACAAAATAAATGAAAAAATGTCTTGTTTTGTCCAACTTGAATTACAAAAAATGAAAAACTTAGAGCATTGCGCTTCAGTTGTGTTTTTTGTTTACATTTTTTGGGGAGGGGGGTCCAGGGTGTTGGATCACGATCAGGCAGGGCAAACCGTTCCAGTTAGAAGCTGGGCCCACAGGCTTTTACCGGCTGCTAGTGTGCTGCAGTCTTCCCATGGTACAAGTATCTGCTGATTGTAATGTTTCCAAGCAGCCACAGTGCACTGGGAACTATGGACAAATAGACATCTCTGGATTCATAATGAACATTGTAGACTATTTTAAAATCTACAGTGGGAATAGTAAGCGTGTTGTAAAATGTGCCAACTGAGCAAAAAGCTGCTGTATTACAATTACAATAGCTGTCACACCTAGCCATTTAAAGTGGCACTTTATGAAGAACTTATGTAGAAACTTCAATGCAATCAAACTGTAATGTAAAGTAGGGTAAAGTCTACATTATCTTTTGGAGAAGCCGATTTATTTTTTACTGTAATGAACGTTGGAACTTCAGACATTTTCTGCCTTTCGCATCCTACCATTTGCCATCAGTTGTCATTTGGGATGTCTGCTATCCCATTGTACATATAGGAGGATATCTATTGAGGACCATACAGATTAATCTACAGACATCCATTTAGCACTATAACTTCCAGTTCAAATACATCTTTAATTCCTGATAGATGATCATATTCCCATAACCCTTATATGTCCCCATGCGATTTTACATGACCATCTGAAGGGTCTGTTTAAAGACACATACACCCAACAAATGACTGTGCTACTTTAATTTTGCCTACCCAACATCTCCAGCTCTTTGTCAGGTTTCAGCAACATTCCCATTGCATAGGTCACCAGGTTTGCCCCCAGCTTTAACACATTTCCAGTAAGTTACAGGGGCCATGGTAGGAATAACATTAAGCACCTTCAGTTATCCAGTGCAGTTTGTATCAAGCGTGTCCTGGTAGATGGCAAGAACTGTGAGGAGTACGGATTGTAAACTGCAAGAAAAGGGCTGCAGACAAGCCTGGTCTGAGTTATCAATGTGTTTGTGGGATTGTCCTGTTCTGTTACTTCCCTGTCTCTACATATCTTTGCATAATTTGGTTGAAAACCGTAAGATCTGCCAGTGTTTCAGGATGGAGGCAGTGATTTTTGTTTTGTATCACAATGTGAAAGCCTTGGTAACAGTAACTGATTTCTGATTTAAAAAAAAAAAACAAAACAAAAAAAACTGCAGAGACCATGTGATGTTGACAGCCGTTCAGTCTGTGATTTGCAGATTAGCTCCCAGCATTCCACTGTACTGAAAATGTTGGTTTATAAATCACTTTAAAATGCATGTTTTTGGTTGGAGTATAAACTCTAATGACAGTACCCTTTTGCTGAGGAAAAATAGGAATGGATTTGGCTAATTTTCAAGTTTACATTTATTTTCTTACATGCTCAAAATTCAATGCATTTATTAGATGGATTGATGGTTCAAATAACGCAGGACACTATGGAAGCTTTGCGACAAGCTCTGAGAGACCAGAAGGATTTCCAAATAGCATGTGGAAAAATCGATTGTGGAGACTTGACAGAAGAGGTGGTTATTTGTTGGGCAGACACAGACGATAAACAAAACAAAGGGTAATAATGAACACTTATTGCATACCTCATGACGTAGCTAATCAGAAACTGTCTCTCTAAAGTTGCTATAACAGATCTGTGAAAAAAATGTATAGAAATCTTAACTTTAGATTACATAGTAGCAGCTATGTGTGCTCTGGCTTCCATTCTATGATCCTGCTTCGAGTATGTCTCCGTCTATATCTTTGCTAATGTCTCTTAATTAAATTTTCGTATATATTTAAATGTCTGTTAACTACTTGGCTTCTAATAACCGGTTTAGGGGAAACATCAGAATGTCGGTGATCAGCAATACAAAAGCTATCAGACATGCTAGCTCTGAAACGTTGGTTTCTAACAGACATTAAAGGCATAAATTGCCATGACATAAAAACAAAGCTGAAAACGTAAACACTTAACAGCAAGCAGAAGTAGAGTTTAATCGTTCATTACACAGCTCACTACATTGTTTTTTTTTTCTAAATTTGTAGAGTCATAAGTCCGATTGATGGACAACCAATGGAAGGCATTCCCAGTGAAAGGATATGTCAGGAAACAGACTTCGAAGCCCACAATAAAATTGTCAAATGCACAGAGGTAACATTTATCAATTTAAATTGATGCATAAGATTGTATTTGCATTGTTGGACTACAAGTATAAAAGTTAAAATATATATATACTGGCATAGTAGAAGTTGTGTTTAAACCAAGTTTTGCATAGTATTTGATAAGAAGTAACAGTATTTTTCATTTAAAGAGATCGTCTAAACTTTAAAACCACTTTGTCTTAATGAAATGATTGGGTTCATAGATGATTATTTTATATATTTATTTTTATTATGCTGCTTTTTATAATGTATTTTATATTCATTGCCTTAAGTAGAAAAGTATATTTTATGTTTGTGAATTGTATTTTATTGTTATCACTTTCTTTGTTAATCGTCTGAATGTCTCCTGTACCCACTTTTTTCTTCAATCTAGGTCTTCTATCTACTAAGGGAGCGTGAATCGACCAGTGTGGTGGCACATTCACAGTTTGCGAAGGAAGTAGCCACTGCGTGTGGTGCTGCCCTCTGCCCGCACATTAAGACCTTGAAGAACACTGGGATGTATAAGATAGGCCTGAGAGTTTCCATGGATATCGATATGGTAATTTATATGACCTGCAAAACAAACAGGCTTCCGTCTAGCAGTGACAGGAGGAAATAACTTTTTTTTTTTTTTATCTTAAACGGACACTATAGTCACCAGAACAACCACAGTTTAATATAGTTGTTCTGTTGTCTACAGCATGTCCCTGTAGCCTTTTTGCTGTAAACACAGCAGAGAAAATGCACTGTTTACATTGCTGCCCTGGGACACCTCCAGTGGCAGTCAATCAGACGGCCACTAGAGGTGCTTCATGGATCAGTGTGCACGACCATGAGCCACTGAACATTCTTCATAGAGATGCAGTGATTGAATGCATCTCTATGAGGAGATGTTGATTGTGCAGAGGTGGAAAGCATGGAGATTGAGATCATCAGAATTGACAGCCAAGGAGGCGAATTGGGGGCGAAGCAGCGCTGGAATAAAGGAGAGTAAACTACTTACTTAAGGGGGCAAAATAGTGTTTTTAACACGATAAGGTCAGGAATACATGTTTGTATTTCTAACCTATAGTGCTTATCTAAGCTTGTTTATGCAATGTTTAACTCCTCTTTACTCCTCCTCTCACTTGGAAAAGAGCAGGGATTTCTTTAAAAGTAGGTTTGTCATTTTGAAAAAAAGACCCATGGTGAAACGCTCCCTTGTTTGTACAGTGGCCCAGGAGAAAAGCAAACAGGCACTTTATCTCAAATTCTTCCTCGTGGGTGCTAGCATATTCTGTATGGAGACCTGCTGATGCTTCGTCCTTGTGACTGTTGTACTTTTGCACATTATATTTGTAGCCAGTGAGATGTCTTTTTCCTCAGACATCTACTGCAACGGCTGCTGGGAATTTACCAAAATTAGTGGTAGCAGCTTCTTGTTTTAACCTTGGCTCTGCCCATAAAACAGAGTTGTCCTTACTTTGTTTTATGATATATTTAAACTGTCAATCAATATGAGCATTTATTTTTCTGAAATACCAAAAACGGATAGTGTTACTGTATAGGTGTTCTAGAATGCAGTATTTTAGCAGAGGTTTAAAAGTAGAAGTAAAGTGGAGACTGCTATAGCTATATGTCTTCCTGGAACGAAGCAACTATATGAACGGGCCATACCATTGTACAGCGCTACGGAATCTGATGGCGCTATCTAAATAATAAAGTAATATATTATTGGTCTATATATGTACAGGTGTGGCCAAAAGGTTTTGTAGCACTACAGCTCCCATTAAAGGGATCATATAGGCACCAAACAACTTTAGCTTTATGAAGCAATTTTGGTGTATAGCAGTCTCTCTGCTCAATTCTCTGCCATTTAGGAGTTAAAACAATTTGTTTAAGCAGTCCTAGTCACACCTCCCTGCATGTGACTTGCACAGCTTTACTAAACACTTCCTGAAAAGGAACCTTGATAATGTAGGTTCATTTAAGCAATATTTATTTTTATTGTATTATTATGAGGACATATACGGTTAGAGAATCATATGTGATACATACATTTAAACACAATCTTTAGCATATGTGCGAGAGTATGATAAGCTAGCCATAATGCTTTTTACAACATACAGAATTAATAGCATGTTGTATTTTGTTATAAAATATAATCATCTCTCCTCAAAGCTCAGTCAAATGCAGGGTAGCGGGGGAGAGGGCTTGCTACTGTAGGAGAAGCAGAACAGGTAAGATTAGGCCATGACTGCCCATCGAATATAATGCATGCCCATTTGAACAACAATAATATAAATGAAAACCATTCTAACTAAAAAGTGAAAACAAACTTTGGGTAAGAAAAGCAGCTTAAAATAGGTTCTGGAGCCATCAAGCTCGGGTAACTGCTTAAGTTTGTTTCTCTGTTGAAGTAGGGTATTTTTTTGCAAGGTAGAATGGCTGGACATCCCGATGTGTCCTGCTGAGACTGCGGCTGCACAGTGAGGAGGCAGTAGTAAGACAAAAAAGTCCCAAGCAGTGACAAAGGCATTTGCTCCTGAAATAACAGAGATCTGGAGTTGTTTGCTGCAATGAGGGACATTTAGCCTGCATTCGGGTCCCCGTCTGTAGACAATGATGGTTTCCCTGAACCCCTTAAGGACCAAACTTCTGGAATAAAAGGGAATCATGACATGTCACACGTCATGTTTCCTTAAGGGGTTAAAAGCTTGGTAATGGGTCTCAGCGTTTGCCTCCAGACAATAGTAGATCGTGAGACGTTTCGATAGAAGGAAAGTCCTCAAATACAGAGGCCCAAGCTGCGGCCATCACAGTGGCCTTGTATGCCTCTGCATGGAACAGCATTAAGAGGTCTCGAGGAATATCCTTTGGTGCCCTGGGAGACCTGGCCACTTGGAAGTGGGTTTCCACTACTATTCCTTTGGCCCCAGCAGAGGTCAATAAGGAAGTCCAAAGCCAATGCGTTTGTGTTAATTTTTTATATGGGTACACCATGGTTTCAAAGCCTGTACTGCATAGTGAACCATGTTCCAATGCACACTGGATGTAATGTTAGTAAACCATTCACTCATGAGGATGTTCTGCGCTATAAGGAAATGCCAGTGGTTGTTCCCTATGCATGATTAAAGTGACATCCAACATTTGTTTTGAATGGTGAGTCTCCTCTACACTCCAATGAATTAGTCAGTTTTCACTGCCCTTGGTGTATAGCCTATATCTTTGTTTTGGTCTCCTGTAATTCACAGTTTGACTGACATTGTAGGAGTATAATCTCAGAGCAGCATAGGGATATACAAATTCTAGATTGCCTGAGATTAGTGGGAGATTTGGAGACCTAAAAGTACCATTCTTTGTCCCAGCTTCTCTACCCTCCCAATATTGATTGTGACCTTGCAGTGTAATTTTCAGGGGGTTTTGACAGATCTGGATAAGTATAACTTAAAGAGGAACATTACCTTTTGGACTTCTGAAGACATCATGATGAATCCTAATATAGAAGATTAATAGTTTTAAATGACTTAGTGAAGTAGTGAACCTTGTCATATTTACATTTGTACTTGATGGATCCATATAGTGGATGTATCCCATGACTGTTTTATAGAATACATATTTTTCTCTTGTGATTTCTTCCCTACCTAGGTGGAATATCGTGCTGGCTCAGGTGGTCAACTTCTCCCTCAGGTTTACTTGAACGACCTTGACAGTGCCCTCATCCCAGTCATTCACAACAGAACATCCGATACCAGTATTTTGCCTCTGGTGATGGAACTGATATTCTACTTGATTGAAAGTCTGAAATAGGCTTCATTCTTATAATAACAAGTGGTTAAGTCTGTAATGTTTGTATTCCAGTTACATCTTTATTACTGATAAACTCCTACAACAGCTAAACAATCAATGGGGCACCAATATCAGAACCAAATATTGCCTTATCTAAAAATAAAAACATGTAATGGATCAGTAAGTTAAGAAAAAAAAATTCGCAGTGGTGACTTTAGGAGAACTTAAAAAAAAAAAAAAAAAGCACCATTCTTGACTTTTAGATACATTTTAAAATAATATCCCCATTGCAATTTGTTAGTGACGTTTTTGATATAAACATCCAGAAATTGACTAGATGTGATATATAATTTGAATCCAATGCAACACTAATTTTATTACTGCATATAATACATTACAGTAGGACCTAAACGGCTGATAATCGCAATGATCATAGGAATGGCACACATTTAACAGCATAATATACCATCCCCCAGTCTATGTATATTTTCATAATGACAGTCTCCTGGTACCGTTATCGCTCTTAGTACCAGAGCTCTTCCCATTTCATTGCTTTGTAAATGCTGACCAGAACTAAGGCACGCAAAGAGTTTGAATAAAATCTTTATATTTAGGCAACTCCTTACAATGAAAGTGCAACTTAAAAGCCCTACTATTTAAAATGTTTAACCCATTTAAAGCAACTCTTACACACTCAAGTTGTAAGTGCTTCCTGTGATTTATAATTATTAAAGATATAAATACGGATATTTATTTATAGCTGCATCTGTACATGTATTGCGTTTTTTGATTTTTGGCTATAAGGATTTTCATTTGATTTGCAGTTCTGATCGCCACTTTATATATATATCGCTATTTATGTGCAATCTAACTGTACTATTATTCAAATCAAATGTCTGGACAGGATTATATATATTATATTCCTTCAAACCCACAGAAAAACAGATCTCTGAGCCAAAGGGTGCATTTTAATAACTTTATATGCAAAACACAATACATCTGTTTGTTTGGAATAGATGACTGTGTTACTTTATATTTATAATTGTGTAAGCAATAATTTAGAAAAGGGCATCTATTTTTGTATTAGATTTAAATATTATGTATTCTGCTCATCATGTCTAGGTTGGATATATCCATATGTAAAAATAAAATTAAAGTGATTGATTTCTGAGTACTTTTATATGCTTTTCTGAGACAGCTGTATGAATAGACTGTCATGTATATATTGTGCTTGATTTTTGGTTATGAAAATACTGAGTAGGACACACATTTTCACGTGTAATCATTTGTCAGAGGGGAACCTAGAAGAATTGTTTTAGTTCCAGATTGTCCAGTGTTCCGTGTCAAGCACAGTTGTAGCACACTTTGTTTATTCAAAAAGCTGTTTTTGAGATTTGTAGAATTTTATATATGTAATAATTGGTTTTCAAATGTATTTTCTCTGTAGCTGGAACAGTAAGTAACAGAACACTAAAGGGCCTATTCAGTAGGTCTGCAAGTTAGGTTATTTCAACTGTGCATGCACTTCCATTAGGTTAATTGTTCTAATCTGCCAAATCTATTTCATTATTGGCCACTAAGGTGAGAATTGTTATACGAGAGGCGCCAAACTTGAAGAAAATGTCCGTGTCAGCTATGCTTTAAAGGGATACTGCATGCACCCAGGCCACTTCTGCTCATTGGAGTGGTCTGGGTGCCAGCTCCCACTACCCTTAACCCTGTTTCATAAACTGCAATATTTACATTGTAGGGTTAGGTCCTTCTCTAGTGGCTGTCTACTAAACAGCCACTAGAGGAGATTTCTGTGTTCATAGAACACAAAAAGTGTTTTAAAACGACACTGGACGTCCTCACCCTATGTGAGGACCTCCAGCGTCGCTGAAATTCCCATAGGAAAGCATGCTTTCCTATGGGGAGGTCTAATGTGCGTGCACGGCCATTTCCTGACGGTGGGGGAGGCGCGTAGGCGGAGCCTGACCCAGCGCCGAGGGACATCGGCGCTGGACTACGTTAAGTCACTGAAGGGATTTAAACCCCTTCAGCAATTTGGGATGGGGGTGGGATGTAAAGGAGCACTAAAGAGTCCTGCAATGCCAGGAAAATTAATGTTTTCCTGGCACTGGAGAATCCCTTTAATTGTGCTATTTTGGCTTTACATTTGAATTCCCAGCAACTCTCACTTTTGTGAATAACCCTGTTTATAATCTGGCTATTCACAAACAGCCGAATTGCACCCTTATATCCTTCATTCATTTGATCTAATTCCCTTGACACTGACTGAGCGTATTCAACCCATAAAGCTAAGCCGATCCAACTCTAAGTACCCTAAAGCTGCACCTCACTGCATTATGATGATTACCCAACCTTAAATCCCTCTCACCTTACTTTTACACTAACACACACTCTTATTATAAAATAGCATTTTTATCACCATAGAGAAATTTGGCTGACGTTCAGTTCCTGTTCATTCATAGGTGAAGCAATTCTCAAAGAAATGTCACTGCTTTAGTGAGATCTATTTGAGATTAGCAGTGACACAGTCTGTTCAATGTGGCTTTAGTTCTATTAATGGTGAATAAAACAAACAGAAGAATTGAAGAGAAGTTAGTAAAAAAAAATAATAATTTTTTACAAAAATGACAATATACTAAAGCCAACATTGTATTTATTGAATAGCCAACATTATGGTAGCATGACTCTTACACCAGCAATAAAGCACTACCCTTTTAACCTTCCCCTCTTCTCATTAAGTTGTAATAGCTGAGCAAAGATGTGCAACCATTGATTCATTTAACCTGTTTGATAATTAACTTGTAGTGTTCTGCAAGGAGAGTTTTCCACTTGTATTTGGGTTTTGAATTCCAGCTGTTAAGTGCTTTTTTTTTTTTTTTTCTCATTTCACTGAGGAAGCCATTTTTGTATACTGATGTTATAAATATGAATGAATTGCCCAAATCCAGATTTGTCAGCCTCCATTTATGTGAGGTCAACAGTTTAACATTGCTGAGCTGTGGACAGCAACCTAATTCACATTATTCATGATGAAGATTTGTAAAAGTGATTGCGCATGTACTGCTTCCCATGAATACCCAGAATGGTGGGACTTTCATCTTCTTCCAATTTGATATATACCCCCCTGCTGTACATATTGATTGAATTTATGACTATGTGGTTGATCTTGAAAGTTCCTGTTTTCTTTTAGCTAGATAGCACTTTAATAATTAATAAATTTGAGTTAATAGTGTCACCTATAGACCAGGGCCAGATTCAGAGCCCAGTGCTGACAATAATGATGGACCCAATTACAGAATCTTATCGACCAAAAACACTAAAACAATCATAGCTTCCAAGCGTCATGTATCTGATGGAGATGGTGTTGGAGGGAAACTCAAAGGATGCAGCTATACAAAAACACATACCCTGTGCTAATCTTTCTAATTTATGCTTTCATGTAAAGCCATACCCCCTAACAGCAGTGTCCACTGAAGCAGAAAGTCAATGGGCTGTGTAAATGGGTGGGCAACTGGCGTGAATAACGTGACAAGACTTGCCAAAAGGGGTGAACGTGCCCAAAAAGGGAGCATGTTTGTCAAAAGAATTGGCTTTAAGGACTGTCCCCTCACTCACATGTCCACCTGTCTCCTTACCTTCTTACTAGCAGGCAGAAGTTCCTGGTACAGTTGCAAGAAAAAGTATTTGGAATGATATGGATTTCTGCAGAAATTGGTATGTAAAAGTATGTGAACCCTTGGATTTAATAACTGGTTGAACCTCCTTTGGCAGCAATAACTTAAACCAAACTTTTCCTGTAGTTGCAGATCAGATGTGCACAACGGTCAGGAGTAATTCTTGACCATTCCGCTTTACAGAACGGTTTCAGTTCAGCAATATTCTTGGGATGTCTGGTGTGAATCGCTTTCTTGAGGTCATGCCACAGCATCTCAATCGGGTTGAGGTCAGGACTCTGACTGGGCCACTTCAGAAGGCGTTTTTTCTTCTGTTTAAGCCATACTGTTGTTGATTACTTCTATGCTTTGGGTCATTGTCCCGTTGCAACACCCATCTTCTGTTGAGCTTCAGCTGGTAGACAGATGGCCTTAAGTTCTCCTGCAAAATGTCTTTAAACTTGGGAATGAATTTTCCTTCGATTATGGCCCTGACGCAGCAAAGCAGCCCCAAACCATGATGCCCCCACCACCATACTTCACAGTTGGGATGAGGTTTTGATGTTGGTGTGCTGTGCCTTTTTTTTTTTCTCGCCACACATAGTGTTGTGTGTTTCTTCCAAACAACTCAACTTTGGTTTCATCTGTCCACAGAATATTTTGCCAGTACTGCTGTGGAACATCCAGGTGCTCTTGTGCAAACTGTAAACGTGCAGCAATGTTTTGTTTGGACAGCAGTGGCTTTCTTTGTGGTATCCTCCCATGAAATCCATTCTTGTTTAGTGTTTTACGTATTCAGGCTTTTTGCAGTAAATACTTTTCAGAGAAAATAACTCCACTGGCCACTCCTTAGATGGCTGCTAGAGGTGCTTCTTGTGGCAGTACTGCCTAGTGTGCAGCACTGCCATTCAGCGTCTCCACCCTCTGCATGCACTGAACTTTCCTCATAGAGATGCATTGATTCAATTTATCTTTATGAGGAGATGCAGATTGGCCAGGGCTATGTTTGATTTGTTCTGGCTCTGCCCCTGATCTGCCTAGTTGACAGTCTCAGCCATCCTATGGGGAAGCATTGTAATTTTCTCAGACCACCACTTCTGATGATGTCAGCAGACAGTTCAGAGGCAGAGCCAGCAGCTGCAGACTTGAATGCAAGTAAAGTTTTACTATACTTAGGGAGGCAAGAGGGGCCAGGGGGGCTAGATGGTGGTTTTAACATAATAGGGTCAGAAATACATGATTGTTCCTTTAACCCCTTAAGGACACATGACATGTGTGACATGTCATGATTCCCTTTTATTCCAGAAGTTTGGTCCTTAAGGGGTTAAGCAAGAGTATGTAAAGAGTAGTTAGGGTTGCCACCTTTCTTGGGGAAAAAAATACCAGCCTTAAATAATTTGCATAATTAATTATGTATGTGTGACATCACATGATGTAAATCACAAGGAGTGACAGAAAATTCTGTAACATCACCAACAAACTACACAGTTTGATTCTGCTGTATAGATGGATTGCTCCCAGTGTCTGTGTCCCTATGTATCACAGTGTCTGTTTCCCAATGTCACCTAGTCTCCCTTTGTCTCAGTGTGTCCATTTCTCCCAGTGTCCCCATGTCTGTGTCTCCCCATGTATCTAGGATACTGGGGGACACTGAGACACTTGTGGATACAGACATGGGGACACTGAGACATTTAGGGACATTGGGAGAAATGGGGACACTGAGACATTGGAACACAGACACTGAGACATGGGGACACTGGCTGGGAGACAGACACTGGGAGACATGGCGACACTGAGGACACTGGCTGGGAGATATGGGGACATTGGGAGACATGGGACACTGAGGACACTGGCTGGGAGATATGGGGACACTGGGAGACATGGGGGCACTGTGTCCCTAGTTTCCCCGTGTCCCAATGTCTCAGTGTCTCCCAATGTCCCCATGTGTCTCAGTGTCCCTATGTCTCCCTGCTGCCTCCCCCCCCGGCCCTTCTATAGACTGTAAGCTCAATTTGAGCAGGGTCCTCTTCAACCCATCGTTCCTGTAAGTTTTCTTGTGATTGTCCTGTTTATAGTTAAATCCCCCTCCCATAAAATTGTAAAGCGCTACGGAATCTGTTGGCGCTATATAAATGGCAATAATAATCATAATTACCCCAGTTCGCATAAGTGCACCAAATATGTGCGCTTTATGGCATCAAACCCGTCTTCTAAAAAATTCATAGCTCGTAATTTTTAAAATGCAGCTATTTATCTAATATTCTATCTTGGGGAAAAAATAAGAATGAAATATGACAACTGGCAACATCTGTAAATGCTGGCAAAAAATAATAATCTGGTGCCTGGAAGTGAATTTAGGCAGCTCTACAAAGTCAAAAATACATAATTGGAGTCCGGAGAGATCAACTGCATTCTCTAGAAACTTCCTAAGTCAAAAGACTAACTAAAATTAAAATTAAGTGTTAGGAAGAACTTTGGGCAAATTGATGCACTACACATTTTCCAAGTTTTCTCTGCTAAAGTTCTAATAGTTATATAAATATATTGAAAATGATGCACAATGTTGTATAACCCAGGGCTTCCCTAAGATCAAAAAACCTTTAAAGCAGGGCTTAAATCTAGGAGCCAGGATTTTTTTTTAACAAACAAAGCTGTTTTAAACAATAAAAATACCATTCTTAAATTGATGCTATAGTCATCAGAACCACTACAGTTTAATGTACTGGTTCTGGTGTCTGTAACTTTTAAGAGAAAAGACAGAGTTTACATTGGTTCCTAGAAATACCTCTAGTGGCTGTTACTCAGATGGCCACTAGAGATGGTTCCTATTCCAGGCGCTGAATGTTCCTCATGGAGATGCATTGATTCAATGTATCTCTAGGAGGAGATGCTGATTGACGCAGTACGGCGTTTAGCTGCGCATTCTTAACCTCCCAGTGCTTTCCTATGGGAATAGATTGGATTGGCTGAGATTATCAAGATTGATCTCTGTCAATGGAGGTGGGGCCAGCCTCGGCAGACCGGCATTGTGGAGGGGGGGACTAGCCACCTAAACACACACACTTAATTAGAATTATTTGGTTTTATTTTAATTTAAGTCCACCCAGCCTCTAGAATGGATCCTTTCCCTGGGGTCTAGTGTAGCTGCGGTCACCTTCCTGTGATATTCTTGCCGTGCTCCCTCGCACACCGTTTAGTGATGCTGAGGCTGAAGTGACATCATATTCCTGCTCCCACCATCACAGTAGGATACGCAAGGGAGCAGAGCAAGATCACAGCTCCCTCCCTTGCCACCTGCCTTAGCTCTCCTCTGGACGCCTTCCCATCCATCTTTATTCTACCTCAGCCAGCCACCTTGGGGGGCTGAACTGGATGACAAACCGCCGGGAACCTGCAAAAAATTCCTAGCTACATGCCGCCTGGGGTTTGTCAAATTCTGCGTCAAAGGTACACTATAAGCACTAGAACTATTGTAACTTTATTTAGTGGTTTTTGTGCAAAGAGCCCGTCCCTACGCCATCTTGTTTGTAAACACTGCCTTTTCATGTTTGTATATCTAAGTCTCCTAACACTAGTTAAAGGGACACTATAGTCACCCAGACCACTTCAGCTCAATGAAGTGGTCTGGGTGTCAGGTCCCTCTAGGGTTAACCCTGCTTGATGTAAACATAGCAGTTTCTGTGAAACTGTTATGTTTACATCTGGTGTTAAGCCAGCCTCTAGTGGCTGTCTTCCGGACAGCCACTAGAGGCGCATCGGCAATGATTGAGGCATACTATGCCTCAATCACGCAGAGCGTCCGTAGGAAAGCATTGAAAAATGCTTTCCTACGGACTCTTTGAATGCGTGCGCAGCAATGCCGCACATGCGCATTCGGCACCGGTGACATCAGACAACCCTCCAGCGCCACGCGAGGGGGACCCGAGGGTGGGGGCAACCTCAGGGTACTATAGTGTCAGGAACACCAAGCGGTTTTTCTGACACTAGTGTCCCTTTTAAAAAGAAATTAATTATACACAATGCTAAGGTGCATTATCAGCGGAAAATAAGGCCATCATCATTAACCTTTTTCTGTAAAACATGCTTTGCAAACAGGAAGAAATCCTTGCGAACGGCACAGGTTTTACCCATGGCTTCAGGTTTGAAAACAGAAATTTGTACTTACCGTAAATAATTTTTCCTTAATATGGTGGCAGTAACTGAAGGGTTTTGCTCCTCCCTGTGGACAAGACCTCTTAGCAATTAATCTTAAAAAAAGGACCCTCCCCCTTTAACCTATAAAGCGCTGTACTGCCAAACCTACCCCAGTACGTGACAAGAAAGACAACACAGACCAATATCTACTTCAAAAAATTCTTTAATAACAAAAGGGAGGGGAGTAGCACTGCCACCATTTTATGAAAAAAATAATTTTACGGTAAGTACAGATTTTTGTTTTTTCTGTCATATGGTGGCAGTAACTGAAGGGATATAGCAAGATCCTCATCTGGGCGGGACTTAGGCCACTACTGCTTGCAACACCTTACGCCCAAAGGCTGCTTCAGAGGCAGAGTATATGTCTAGCCGATAGTGCTTGATAAAGGTGTTAAGATGACCAGCATGCTGCTTTGCAGATGACCTCTGGAGATGCAAGTGCCTTCTCTGCCCATAAGGTAGCCATTGCTCGAGTTGAATGGGCCTTAAGTGTAGCTGGAGACTGAAGACCTGCTGTAGAATATTCCAATTCTATAGCCTGAATGAGCCTACGGGACAAGGTACCGCGGGAAGCTACGGTGCCCCTGAAAATTAATGAATAGATGATCCGAATTTCTGAATTCTTTTGTTCTTGCTAGATATACAAATAACGTTCTTCTGACGTCCAATTTCTGCCATTTGAGCTCTTGAGGAGATGAAGCATCGCTATAAAATGAAGGTAATATGATTGGCTGATTAACCGTCTTAGAAGACAACACTTTGTGTAGAAAAGACGGTCTTGGATAAAGAACAACCTTGTCTTTGTGAAAAATGGTGAATTCATCCGAGGAAGATAGAGCGTGAAGTTCTCCCACTCTATTAGCTAATGTGATGGCTATCAGAAATAAAACCTTGAGAGACAAAATCTTTAATGGAACTTCCTCCAAAGGTTCAAAGGGATGAACACTAAGAGCTTGTAGGACCAGGGTTAAATCCCACATTGGAAACACAGATCGCCTAGGCGGTCGTTTGAGACTGATGGACCTGAAAAATAGTCTGATGAAGACATTGGCAGCCAGATCCTTAATTAGAAAAAAACGTAAGGCCGATATTTGAACTTTGAGTGTGGAGACACCCAGCCGTAAACCCATCTTGTAAAAAATGGAGAATGTTATCTATAGATGGATGCAATACTGGGCACTGGTGTTCCTTACCCCAGTGTAGAAACTTAGACCAAATCCTAAAGTATATCTTAGATGTAGATTTTCTAGTAGCATGGAGTAAGATTGCTATTCTGTCTTCCTGTAAACCTTGGTTTTGAAGGATTAGTCTTGCAGTAGCCAAGCTGTCAACCTGAAAATTTCTAGAACTTTCAAGGGCAGGTCCCTGTTCACAATGAGGAGATTTGATCTGGGAAGTTCCCAATGATTGATGGCCATCTCCTTTATAGCTGCAAACCAGACTCTGTTTGGCCAATATGGGATTATCGCCAATACTCTCGCTCTGTCTGTTCGTATCTTGAGAAGGACCTTTGGGATTAAAGGAAGAGGTGGAAAGACATAAGACAGTCGGAAGTTCCACTCTATCGATAAAACGTCTATCCAATTGGGTTGATCTGTTCTGCATAGGGAGGCAAAATTGTGAACCTTTTTGTTTGAGGCTCTTGCCATCAAGTCTACTTCTGGTCAGGATTCTGAAGATTTCCGGGTTCAAAGACCATTCTTTTTGCTCCCACTTCCCTCTGCGTAGATCGTCGGCTATTATATTGTCGCTGCCTCTTATGTACACTGCCGTGATGTCGTCCAGATTTTTTTGTGACCATTCCATAATTTCTGCACAAAGACGGTAAAGCTTCCTTACTTTGGTTCCTCCTTGGCGATTGATATATCAGACTACCGTCCGACTGTCTGATTGGATCTTCACTGCTCTTTGTAGTATCCAAGGCCTGAGGTGATGTAGGACGTAAAGTACTGCTAATAATTCTCTGAAATTTGCGGATTCTTTCGCCTCCCCTAATGACCATCTTCCTTGGAACATGGTGGAGCCTAAGTGAGCACCCTAACCTGTCCTTGAAGCGTCTGTAGTGACTATCATCCAATCTTTTGGTCGAAAAGATTATCCTCCTGAAAGGCATTCTGACGTTTTCCACCAAGTAAGCGGAGTTTTTACTTGAGGGGCTAACAAGAAAATTTTGTCTTCTTCCTTTTTTGACCAGGTAGTGAGGATATTCCATTGTAATAGCCTGACCTCTGACCTTGCCTATTTGACAGCTGGAAAGGTGGCAATTAGAAGGCCCAAAACACCCATGGCCTGTCTGAAGGAACAAGTTTCCATCCTTTGGAGATTGGAAATCTCTTCTCGGATTTTCCTCCTTTTTCGTTTGGGAAGAAAAATTGACATGTAGACTGAATTGATCGTGAATCCGAGAAACTCTCTCTCTCGTGGGAATGAGCACTGAATTCTTTCGGTTTAGGATCCAGCCATGGTTTTGAAGAAACGTTATAGTGACCTGCAGATCCTTGCGCAGCTGTTCTTCTGTATGTGCAATGAGGAGCCAGTCATCCAAATAAGGGATGATTGAAATACCTAATTCCCTCAAATGAGCTGTTAGAGGAGCAAGGATCTTTGTAAATATCCTTGGGGCGGAAGTCAGACCAAACGGCAGAGCCCTGAACTGGAAATGAACGGTGGATCTTCCTTTTTTTTTTTTATAGCAAATCTTAGAAATTTTCTTGAAGTGGTAGCAATCCTTTAAGTCTATTTTTACCATAAAGTCACCTCTTTGTAAAAAGGGAAAAATCAAAGTGATTGACTCCAAACGAAAGCTGTGATAGGGGATAAATTGGTTTATGTACTTTAGGTCCAGAATGGGTCGAAATGAGTGGTCTGGTTTTGGCACCAGAAATAATCTTGAATAGACTCCCCGAAATGTTTGTTTTACTGGTACTCTTTCTATCACTCTTTTTTTGTAACAGCAGCATGGTTTGACAATATAGGGCTTGTGATCTCTTTGCAGACTGGTATGTGGATACCAGAAACTTTGTTCTTGGTTTTTCTGTAAATACCATCTTGTATCCTTGTTGGATCAGATTTAGAACCCAAGGATTTCTTGTGGTCTTTTCCCATACTGGAAAACATTGTTGGAGCCTTCCTCCCACACTTCTGGCGTCAGAAACGTCTCTCTTTATCTCTGAAGGTTCTTTTAACGTCACCCCTTTGTTCGAATCTTCGATTTTTTTTTATCCCTTCTTTGAAAAAATTGCGGTCTCTCTTGATAAGATCTCCTATTTTTATACTGATAATTTCTGTAGCCTGATCTCCAGGAGAACTTCTTATCCTGAGGAAGCGCCTTCTTGGTTTCTGACATTTGCCTAATGATTTCTTCTAAAGGAGCCCCAAATAATTTTGTTTTTTCTAGTGGAAGCTCACAAAGGGCTGATTTGGACACTGAATCCGCTGTCCAAGAACTTAACCATAAGGCCCGTCTTGCTACCGAAGACAGTCCCATAATTCTGGATGCCAATTTTAGAACTTCTACTGACATATCCAAAAGGTATTCATTTGCCAAGTGCATTTTCTGAAACAAGTGGTTAAGTTCTTTAACCTGGTCAGAAGATAAAACATCTTGTATCGTATTTAGTCAGATATCATTTGCTCTGGCAACCGCTGCTCCTGCCAGTAAAGCCCTGCATTGGAAACCGGCTGTCTGGTAAGCTCGCCTACCTGAGGTTTCGGCTCTTTTATCCACTGGATTCTTTAAAGCTGAAGTTTCCCCTATGGGGATAGTGGTCCTTTTAGCAATCTGTGCGACCTGAACATCTACTTTTGGGAGATCTTCCCAGATAACTTCGCCAGCGAGTCTGAAGATATCCTTGAAGTGTCTGGAAATAAAGGCACGTTTTTCAGGGTTTCTCCATTCCCTAAAAATGAGATCGACCAGGCTTTGCTGAACAAAAAAAACTTTTTTAGGATTCTCAGAACCCTGACGTAGGATTGTTAGGTTTACTTCCTTTATAAATTTTCGAATTTCATCTGAAGGAAACCCCACCGGTTCACTTGAAGAAGATCCTGAATCATCTGACTCAATTGAGAAAATATATTCCCCAGATGAACTTTCAGATGTAGACGATGACCTTCTTTTCTTGATCCTTTGTTGTATCGGGGATTCCACCTTTTTAGACTCCTTAATCGTCTCCAAGGTCTGGGCCAGATTTTCTTGGAACCAAGTTAGGAAAGATTGCATATCTTTTTGCTTATCTCTTTCCAAAGAATTTGCGGTACACTGACTGCACATCTTCCTTGATCCCTCTGGGAGAGGTGTTGCACATTCACTGCAAACTAGATTCTTAGATTTTACCGTAGCCTTTCTAGGCATGGAGGCAGCCAGCTTTTCTTTGTCCATGTCAGGATAAGCTGGGCTAGACATATCTGTGGAGAATATATAAATGGAGGTTTTTAGCTTGATTTAAATTTTTTTTTTTTTTCCAGAGAATATTTTAAAGTAAAGATTCTTTTTAATCTCACCTCAAAATACCTCTGAGCCGTGTGGGGGGCAGGTGACACAGTGTACTTCTTCTGACCTGCATCCATGCAGTCAGTAGGTACTGCACAGCTTCTTATATTCGCCGGATTTTCAAATTTTCGCGGTCTTTTTGTTTTTTTTAATGATATGCCTTTAAGGTTCCGGTATGCACATGTGTGTTAGCGCACCCAGAAGCTTAGGTGGATCGCAACACCACCCGGGCGTGCGTTCCACCGCTGTACGCATGCTCAGAACGAGCTCCACCTCCAGGAACCTAGTGCCGGAAACATTCTCGGCATAAGAAGATCAAACTCCACTTGCTCCGTAACGATTTAGGAGCATGGATCTCTCAGCATACTGCCCGGGCAGCTCTCGGACCGGGATCCCCCAGACAGACAACCTGTGTGTCTCACCTTATGGATGTCCTGTCCTTCCCTCTCTGGACAAGAAAGGAAAACTGGGGTAGGTTTGGCGGTACAGTGCTTTATAGGTTAAAGGGGGAGGGTCCTTTTTTTAAGATTAATTGCTAAGATGTCTTGTCCACAGGGAGGAGCAAAACCCTTCAGTTACTGCCACCATATGACAGAAAAATAGGGATACAATGTTGATTTCAAGCTTGAACTGTAATTCTTGGCTAATTAAATGGTAGCTCACCAGTTTAAGTGAGATTGTAAGTTCAACAATGTTTAGCAGTCCTACTTCAAGAAAATGGTCTCTGTGACCTGCTGAGCTTCATAGCACAACTGGCAGGCTATCCCTGACCTATATAGTATTCTGCCAAGCTTTTAATCTAGCCATGCTGTCGATCTACTATTTTTTTTGCAGCGTTTAGAGTATTCTCTGATCTTACAAGGGCACAACCTCTCTATGGGCTGTTTCCTGGCACTCTGTCTATAGCTTCCTCCTGTCGTTGGAGAGTGCCACAGAATTATGTCTAGATATGATGGAGAATGGTGCACTGTGTAAAACTACCAAGCATATCCAGCTATATCTAATATTCTATAAAGTCTCCTTATACTCTCACTAATTTAAACACACTTACTAGCAATACTAAGGGAAAATGGAACAATATCTACAAAGCCATTCCCGGGGTACGGTTCTGCAGGAACATTGCGCTAATGTCATAGGTGACTGCTCAGCATTATGTAGTGTTAAAATTGCCTCCTTGTATAAGACGACACTATCATATATTATTTAATATAATTATGTAGCCATAGTTGTTTCAGAAACCAGTATAGCACATTAATGTAAAAACAAAAAAAAAGAAGGGGGGGGACACACCTAAAAACATAAGAAATGATTGGAAAGTATGTGTACATTTAGTAGCTTGCAATCACGGGTCCAAAAACAATATTTCTTTTTCCAGAAGACATATTAACCCCTTAACACCGGAGGGCGTACTATTACATCCTATTTTAAACGGCTCTAAACGCCGCCGGGCGTAATAGTACGCCCTCCGTTTTTTTTGTACTTACCCAGTCGCCAGCGATCCCACGCCGGCGATCGCGGTTGGGGGGACTGCCAGGGAGCACCCCGCGGCACATCCGACGTCCTGAAGCCCCCCCGGCCATGTGAGAGTGAGGTCCTTGCGAGGATCTTACAATCACATGGCCGGGTTAGCTGGCTTCTGTATTGCCAGCAGGGGGACTGCCTGTAATGACAGGTAGTCCCCCTGCTGGCTGGGAATAAAATAAAATTAAAAGTGTAAAAAAAAAAAATTATATACTAGACACATACACTGTCTAGGTGTATTTTACTATTAATATATATATATATATATATATATATATATATATATATTCAAATTACACGTAGACTGATACTGATTAAATATAAAATAATTAAATATATAGAAGTGTGTTATTTCGTTCTAACTGTATTGTGATATTAATATATATATATCAAAATACACGTAGAATGAAATAATAGATCTATATACATAAATATATACGTATATATACCTATATATAAATAAAAATATTTAAAAAAAATTATATATACACATATATTAATTCTACATATATATTTATGTAATATTTTTACATAATTAGGTATCTTAATTAATTACAATTAGCGGGACCTGCCGGACAACCCATACCGAAAGTAAAGGGAATTTAATTTGCTAGCACTATATTTAACCCTATAACTTTCCAAGACACCATAAAACCTGTACATGGGTGGTACTGTTCTACTCGGGAGACTTCGCTGAACACAAATATTAGTGTTTCAAAACAGTAAAATGTATTACAACTATGATATCGCCAGTAAAAGTGAAGTTTTTTGCATTTTTCACGCACAAACAGCACTTACACGGACGATATTATTGCTGCGATACTTTTTACTGTTTTGAAACACAAATATTTGTGTTCAGCGAAGTCTCCCTAGTACAACAGTACCCCTCACCTTTTATGGTGTTTTCAAAAGTTACAGCGTCAAATATAAGGCTTATGTTTCATTTTTTTCACATTAAAATTCACCAGATTGGTTATGTTGCCTTTGAGACCCTATGGTATCCCAAGAATAAAAATTACCCCTATGATGGCATACCATTTGCAATAGTAGACAACCCAAGGTATTGCAAACGGGGTATGTCCAGTCTTTTTTAGTAGCCACTTAGTCACAAACACTGGCCAAAATTGGCGTTTTTTGCATTTTTCACACAAACAAATACTAACGCTAACTTTGGCTAGTGTTTGTGACTAAATGGCTACTACAAAAGACTGGACGTACCCCATTTGCAATACCTTGGTTTGTCTACTATTGCGAATGGTATGCCATTATGGGTGTAAATTTCATTCCTGGGCTACTATAAAGTCTCAAAGGCAACGTAACCAATCTGGCGAATTTCAATTTCAAATGTAACGTGTTATATTTGACCCTGTAACTTCCCAAAACGCCATGAAGCCTGTACATAGGGGGTACTGTTTTACACGTGAGATTTTGCTGAATACAAATATGTGTATTTTATTGCAGTAAAAGCAAACAGTATTATGACATTGACAGTTAAAATGTCATGTAGAACTAAAACAATATAAAAAAATATTTTCTCCCATTTTTTTCATATTAAATTATGTTTCATAGCTAAATATTTGATATTAAATGAAAGCCCTGTTTCCCCTGAATACATTGATATATGACTGTGAGGTACAGGGTCAAAGTTTACTCAATGATGAGTCCGTGGCGAACCGTTCGGGACATCACTACTGCCCACCTTTATATCCTGAACAGTTGTGTTAGCCTACATTGAGACTGCAAACCAAGATTGTCCTCTACATAAATTATCAAAATCCATAGAACACAAAAAATTGTTATATTACCCCAGCTCAGTATAATTGCAACAATGATGACAGTATACTAACAAATATTATAAATACAAAATTATAATTTCTTATAACAAAACACCAACCAGCAATATTTATATGTTTATGTAGAAAAATGTCAAAATGCAAGTTTGAGGTTTTCACAAGCCTCAACCAGATACCATTAAATATGCTATAGCCAACAATTCAAAGTACACACAGATTTCTTGTTTCAAATCACACATTGACATAACTATGGCAAAACAATATTCCAAACACTAAATCTAGTATCAGTTATGCCACATGATAATTGTGACATGATGCATTTTATTAATTTGAGACATAAGTATCAAACATTGATCATATGTACTTTTTAAAATTAGTTTCTCATATATCACATGTATTAGTCTATTATAGTCCAACCAGTTGAGAAATTAATATTCTACTTAAGGGAAAATAGAGGAATTCCGTATAACCTCATTCTTGGTTCCTCTTCGGAACTTAAAGGAACCCTTCAAACACCTTTAAATATTTTAGCTTTTTTTTCTTAATTTTTACTAAAAAATAAATACAGATTTTAATAGAAAATGTCTCTTTCATAAATTCAACTTGTTACACCCCAATGGCTGTAAAAAGACAACTGGTCTTGTGCTTTCCTGATTACTAAGCTTAGTGGAGCTAAACTCAGACAAGCAAATGACTGCTAACTGGGAAGTGTGTGACTGGACAGCCACAGAAACCATGGGCTGGGGAAGTAGGGTAGTGCTTGCAAAGCCTGCAGATCTTCAACCTTTTAGGCTGTTTTTATATATACTCCCAATAAAAAATGCATGTTTTCATTAGGTTGGAAGTGTTGGGTTTTTTTTTTTTTTTTAGCGTGTTCACCATTTTTTATCTAGATTTCCCCAATTGTTCAGAAATGTGTATTGGGTGTGTCTGGATATTGCTTCCCTACTCTGTTGTTCCAACAAACTAGTTATAAACTGTATCTAAGCAAAATAGTTGCAAGGCAGTTGCTCTACCTGTCCACTAGGTGATGCTGTGGGATTAGTATTTCTTGCAATGGGTTTCACCAAGATCTTTGCTTATTATGGTACTTTATTGAATGTATTAATATGATTATACTTTGCATTCAAATGTAAGCTTAAAATAATGTTTTTGGTTGTCATACCTCTACACTATTAACACATACACACACACAATTTAAAAGGCATATACCCATAGGTACCACATAATATTATGTGTATATCCCTTTTCTGTGGAATCGATATGTTAGCAATAGACAAGCATTAGCAAGTCGGTTTTGTACCTTTTTTATTTTCTGAAAACATGACTGATGTTTAAATTCCTCTTGTATCACAGTAAATGCAAGATATTCACTGAATTTAACCCCTTAAGGACAGAGTCAATTGTCTGTTCTGAACCCAAACAAAACCTAGAATGTGAGCTATATGTCTGTTAAACCATAATTTACCTCCTTCATAAGTGCACCCACACTTATTATATATCATTTTGTTCAGGACAAACAGGCATTTCATATCACATCAAATATTTTTTATTTGGAACGCAATTTAATATGAAATACTAGATTGACTGCAGGGGGACAACCCCTAAAAAAAAAAAAAAAAGTGTGAGAAATTAAGAAATGTTAATTTCCAGGTTCTGCATGGCATTTTAACTGTGAATGTCAAAATACTGTAAGTTTTTACTGTAGTAAAATAGACAGATTTGTGTTTAAAGGATAATATAGTGCCAGGAATACCATAGCTCCCTCTGAGGACCCACTCCCTTGCACCCCCTGCCACGGAGAGTAAAGGGTTAAAACCCTATTACTTACCTGATCCCAGCACCGATGTATCTCTGCACTGGGTTGTGGCTCTACCTTCTCTGACATCACTTGACAAGGGGATGCTAATGCGCATGCGTGGCAGGAGCTGCACGCGCATTAGGCCCCCCATAGGAAGGCATTAATCAATACTTCCCTATAGGGAAATAGCTGACACTGGGTGTCCTCATGCAGAGTGTGAGGACGTTCAGTGTCAGCGGACCAAAAGTCCGGTAACATTTCAGAAGCTCTGTGGTTTCCCTAAAACTGCAATGTTTTACATTGCAGCACTGAGTGCAATAGTGACACTGTACCCAGGACACTTCAATGAGCTGAAGTGGTCTAGGTGCCTATAGTGTCCCTTGAAGCACTGATTCACAAGTACAACAGTATCCCCCATGTACAGGTTTTATAGGATTTTGGAAAGTTACAGGGTCCAATATAGTACATTCCCCTTTTCAGTTTATACACATTGAAATTTGCCAGATTGGTTTTCTGGGCCTATGCTGCCTTTGAGATCGTACCCCCCATCATGGCATACTATTTGCAAAAGTAGGAAACCCAGGGTAGTCACAAACCCTGGCCAAAGTAAGTGTTCATATTTTATGGTGTTTTTTTTTTTCTTTGCATTTTTCACACACAAACTGCAGTTTCACTGATGATATCATTGTTACTATACATTTTACTGCTCTGAAACACTAGTATTTGAGTTCAGCGTTGTCTTGTGTACAATAGATGCCCCTCCCACCCCATGTACAGGATGTATGGAGTCAAATATACAGGGCATGCAAATTAAATTCTCTCTGCTTTTTGTCTGGGTTATCAAGCAGGTTCCCGAATACATAAGTAATAAAATCACAAACTTATGTAAAAATAATAAAACAAAATATACACTTGGTAATTATATATATATTCTAAGTGTAAACTTAATTATGTATAAATCATAAAAAAAAAAAATTTCATTAATTTTATGTTGGTGATCTGCCTGACAACCCAGTTGGATCTGACTGGGATGGTAAGTATGTCCTTACAGCGTTAAAGCCCTCCTTTTGTAAGACGGCATAGCACGCCATAACATCAGGAAAAGGTTAATACTATACATCATATAGCTCATTTATATGTGCATTGTAGTCTAATATGTCATGTATACATTGTATCTGTTTTTAAGTTGTTTCACAAACTCTAAAGGATACCAGGCTTTAGTAATGAATGCCTTAGTGGCTCTGAAATAGAACGGCCATACTAAGTTTGAAATCTTTCTCCTGTCTAAACACGTTTGAGGTCTATTCACTAAACACTAAGCAGCAACCAAAAGGTGTTTGGTTGACACAGTTTGACTGTTTTAAAACATTTTAGTTATTTACACAAGACAAACACGGCTTCATCCAAGTTTGCTCTTCCATGTCACAGCAGTTCCGTTGTCTGTTTAAATTGGACAAATCGTTATGTGATGTCACAGATTAGACTATTCACACACAAAAACAACAAATTGCCTTCATTCAGATGTTCCAATCCCCCCTGATACAGACCAAGATATTTGTACATGAAATAGGGTGATTAGCTAAAGTGGGAATGGTTGGAAATTTAAAGTGAATTCATGTTACATTTCAAATTTAAGGTAAAATAAGACAAATTTCTAGGCAATTATGCTTGTAGTTTGCCTGGTTTTACGTTCCATTTTAAACTGAATTTTAATTGTTGACAATTCTCACTTCAGTGAATATCCCTGTAAACCTTTGTAATCTCAAGTCACCCTAATGTTTCCCCAATGTCCCCTCATCCTCTTAACCCTATAAGAATAATTCAACCCTAACAACTCCCACAAATAAAAAAAATCCTTTACTTACATAAGTGTTCTTTTTGTATCAAGGAAATTCTAATTCAGCTGCAATTTGGTTTGAGTTCTGTGTTGAGAACAGCGATTTTGAAATACATCTCACCACAGCAATGAGATCCATTTAATAATAGAATTGATCTATTACTGTGACCCAATACATTGGGCCAAAGAGGATGTTTCACAATTGAATGCAGGAGAATGCATTAAATTGTAATAGACCCTACGTGTGTATTTCCCAAGACCTGTTCCATTGTTTTCTTAGTTAACAGTGTTACACAATTCTTAATTGTCATTGTAAGTCATTACATTTCTTTGTATTCTTGATTAGAATTGGTCATTGGTTTGAACAATTTAATATGTTGAAAAGTTCTGACAGATTATGGTTTCTTTAAATGCTGCTTTTTTTTTTTTTTGGTCTGAAAAACCATGAAATAAGTAGATGGCTTCATTATCTGCATGTCTGATAAAAGGCAGCACAGTATGATCGCGATAGGTGACCAAGTATACATATTCATCATTGGCTAAAGGAATGTTCTAACTACCAATATTGCCACTGCTCGTTGTAGATTTTGGTGCTGTTAAGATTCTGTTTTGGAATTATTTCAAATTTACTTCGTCTTGCCCCTCATCACAGGTATTGCAAAAGTGGAAGATCTGCGATTTAGGAATTTTAGGTTTGTGCAAACTTAGAGTTCATTGTCCATCCTTCTCTAATATAGATAAAGTGGACATTCTCCCTCCACAATAGATATATAAATTTAATCGTGTTTTGGACTTAACTCATTGGTTGTAAGCATCAGCTAACGCGCTCAGCCAGTTCATGCTATCTAAACACAGCTGGAATTGTTATCACGAAAGCAAACTAATCCGCTTTAGTGCTATAGGAGCGAAATGATGGACCATGGGGACCGGAGGTGTCAAACTGTTCTCTACCTTGGGATGGTGTCAGGTGACTCCTACCACCATAAACCCTAAAGGCTTTCCTGCTTATGGTGTTAAAAGTGCCTCTTTAAACGCTGCATAGAAATGCACTTTGAGTCCTGTGTTAAATACTCCATAATTGTCAATATTTGAGTAGAGTACTTTAAATGGATCCAATGGAATGTATTCACAGCTTGTGAAGAATTGACAAAAGTATTGCATATTTCGACCTAAATTAATGATAAAATTATCCTGCTGCTATTAAAAAAAAATAAAATATATATATATATATATATATATATATATTTTAGAAGTGAATTCTGTTGTCGGCACTCTATGAGTATTACTTTCTTTTGTTTTCGTTTACTACTAGTGGTATGACACGTTCTTGCTACCCTATCGCCAAGGCTATTTCAAACAGCCTTGTTTCTCTTCCTCTGTGTCCTGTCCATTTCTTTTTGGCAATGGTTCGCTGAGAGCGCTAGGACAGATTACAAATTAAAACATATCTCCATCGTCCTAAATGTATTCACTCAAATGGAAACAAACCAACTTTTACCATGTTGGACATCCTATATTCTTCTGTCTCTGGTTACGTCCTTTGCCTTAAAGATAAGGGCTAACTGCAGTGTGAATAGTTATTTAGCTTAATATCTTTGGGGGGGGGGGGAAAGGACGGGTTCAGACATTTTTGTAAAATGTCATCATTGTATAATAAAATCATTTTATATGTAATAAAGGTCATATTTCTCATCCAAAATGTTTTAATTTGTTGCTATTTTCTGCAGTATGTATTCAATGTAAAATTCATTGGCAAGATCCATAGTTGCCAACTGTCCTGAATTTACTTGGACAGTACCAAGATTTTAGGCTCCTATCCCTGCAAAAATACAGAACTACCAGTGACGTAGCCAGTATAGCTGCCTATGGGCCCGTAGGAAGATAGCTAGATATAGGTTTTGCCTATTTCTTTGTGTGTGTACATATCTATGTGTCGCAGGCCCGGACTGGCCATCGGGCAAACCAGGCAAATGCCCAGTGGGTCGCGATGGCCATGGGCTGACAGGGAAGATCACAGGATCTCCCCTGCTGTCCCATGCAGAGCTGCACTGGCCCTAGGAGGGTTCACTGTCCCTTCACGGGCCGGAGGAAAGATTTATGAATCCGTGTAGCCTACCGGTCTGTCTCTCGCAAGCTCCGATATTATCAGAGCGTTGTCATGGTAAACTGTGTCAGATATTATCAGAACGTTGCCATGGTAACCCGTGGCAACGCTCAGTAATAGCAGCGCTCGCGAGAGGGAGAAGCATGCTCTGTACCCTGCGTAGATACAGACCGAATAACCTTCTGGCTGGACCATCAGGGATTGTCATCAGCATCCACTTGACACACTACACCCCCTGCACTTACACACAACACACTCTCTATACCCCTTATATATACCCCCTGCACTCACAAACACACTACGCACACTCGGTCCCCCTTTAAATACACACACTAAACCCCTGCACTTACACACAAATACATTACACATACTCCATAGCCCTTATACACACACACCACACACACTTCACTCACATACACAAAGTGCACAAACTCTATATCTCCTAAACATACACTACACACCCTGCACTCACACACTATACACTATATCCCTTATACACGCCACACCTCTATACACAAACTACTCTATACACGCATACACACACTATTAACGTTTTGGCCCTGCCCCTCACTGTGGGCTGCTCTGCCATTAACTGCCCGGGCTGAATTTTCATCCCAGCCCAGCCCTGTATGTGTGTGTCACTGTGCATGTATCTACCTGGAATAAGCATATGTATGTATGTGTGTGTAAGTGGGGGATGAAATGTATCAGTGCTTGTAATATGGTTGCTAGAACTTCCCTGGAACCAGAGTCCCTTCTTTTCTGGCGGAATGGTCAGTATAGAAGGTAGTGTCAGTCACGATGACTGTCTGGAGGAGAATGGCGTTGCACGAGGACATGGCCCCGGAGCTATCACCTCATATCACATAACCTACGATTTCCCCCAGTGACGGACCCCCGCTACGCCGTAGCCCTGGGATTACCATCCCCCTGTAGGCTGAAGGACGTGTACAAACAGGGCCTGATCACGCCTCTGGGAGAACTAGTCCCGAATACCCCACACACCTGGCTACTCCGCTTCAGATACCACCAATTGACAAGATTTCTGAAGAACATACCTGGCCTAGACTCCGCATCACGAGCGCTCTATACTTTCGAGGCCATCTGCACGAACCCTCAGCCCCACTGCACGCAATTTTGTTCCTCTAACGCTTGCAAACCACACCTCACACTGATGCACCTCTGCCTTACTTCACTAGATACTGGGAAAGGGACCTAGGACACACACTCTCAGCAGAACAATGGACAACAGTGTTTACACACACACACAGCCTCCATATCCACTAAATTCAAGGAAACAGGGTACAAAATGATCTCACACTGGTACAGGACACCAGAGAAACTAACCGTAATGAAGACAAGCTGCGACCCGGAATGCTGGAGATGCGGGAGGGAACTAGGATCCCTCTTCCATATCTGGTGGTCATGCCCACTCAGATTTTATCCTTCTGGGCAGCAATCCACGCAGTACTAGCAACCATAACGGACGCAAACCTACAACTCACATCTGAAACCTACCTGCTCCAACTAACCACAATTCCCATAAACAGATTTTAAAAAATCAGTGATTCCGCACCTACTAAACGCGTAGCCTTATCCCGGGACACTGGAAACGACCCACGGCCCCGACACTACGAGAATGGAGGACCCGAGTGGAGGACATCAGACGCATTGAGGAGCTAATCCTCTCAGCGGCAGGGCGCATACAGCGCTATCATGACACTTGGTACCACTGGCTCCAGTGGCTCGCCTCCCCTTCTGCGAGTATGGGAGACACACAACCCACAGTAGAAGCCAGGAGGCTCTTGGCCCCGACGGGAACCGACAACCGAGACCACGATGGAAAGGACCCAGGATGACCCCACGGACACCACGCCTGGGGGTGTGGGGAGCTAGGATGGGGACCTGGGCTCGGACCCCCTTCACCTACCCCTAACCGTTCACACCTCACCCCGCCTGACCCAACGTCTAACCCCCCTCCTCCACCTTTCACACCCCTGTCCTTCACTACCCCCCACACACCTTCTCCCCGGCAATTCCAACCACCCATAACCCACTACTGACACAACAGTAATGGGACATGAAGCCACAAAGAACAACCCAGGCACGATATCCCTCCTCCCCCCTGTCCCAGGAACACAACCACACAACCTATGCGTGCCCATGAAACAAGACCATAACACAACCTCCCTTCTTGGAACACCCTGCACCACAACATAAAAGCCAGACCTGCCAGACAAGCAACCACCGCCCTGAGACCAAGACCCACCTGGGATGCATATCCGATACCCCAGACTGCATCACCGGTCCCACCACACGGCCTCCCCCGAAGACACACCAAAGCTTCCGGATGCTGTATCATCCTTCCACCCCTCACACTTTCCCCCGACTCGAGGTGCTAACCACCCGAATGCAATTCCTATATCATTGAACCCCCAACAACAATAAAACCAAGGACAAAACGAGGCAAAATAGCATCATCCCAAAGGACAAGCACACCTGCCAGCAACCAATCGGGCCCCGCAGGTGGCGGGACGACTTCACTGACAAGACCCACGCGGCAAACGCACACACATGACAGCACCCCAGTGACAGCCCCCTGTTACACCACACACCGACTCACTTTGACCCCCAACTCATTCCCCTTAAACACCAAACGGACCTGGCCGCAGCGGAACCCCCGACCTGCATCTCCCTGCTGCCCACAAAATCCTTCCCCTCATATCTGAGCATTAAGTTTTATGTTTCATGTTCCACATCTCAGTGTAATACCTTTTCAACTATACACCCCACTGGTATTGCTAACCATAGCAAACCCCTACCACACAATGTAACCTCACACATACCTCACTAAATGGGAATGCAACTCATAGCAGACAATGTTAGGTATCTGATTTGTCATACATGTACTATATATTCACAAACCGAAATTCGAACTGTATACTCTGCTGACCTGCCCAGCACTGTAATCTGTCTTGAAAATGCTCATATTCATCTGTGACTATTGAATGACTTAAATAAAAACTTTGAATGACCCAAAAAAAAAGAAGGTAGTGTCAAGAAGCAGCGCCTATAGTAGTCTTCTCAGGCTCGGTGAAATACAGGGGAGAGAGGAGAAGACACGGATATAGTGTAGTATGTTGAATTGCTTGATAGTGATAAATAAAGAAAAATATTGCACTTACAATTTTCTCGAGCTTATATTCAGCTCCAGATATATGCGCCTGGACGGTACAATCCCTGTCAAAGGATATGATGATGGTCCTGGTGTACTCTCAGAGGCTTCTTTGGGATCAGGGTGTTCTGGTGTCAGTGCCACAAACCGGTATCCTCAGTGTATAGGAGAAGTAATAAAAACACAATATAGTGCTCTCTGTATAGTCTGGAATAAAACTAGGATAAAAAAGGTATACTCACAAGCGGGGAGCAAAGGGAATATTGCTCAGTATAGGAAGCGTAGGTGGAATAATCCCCACCAAGGATATCACTTGCGAGTCCTTAGGTTCTTAAAGGGACACTATAGTCACCTAAATTACTTTAGCTAAATAAAGCAGTTTTAGTGTATAGATCATTCCCCTGCAATTTCACTGCTCAATTCACTGCCATTTAGGAGTTAAATCACTTTGTTTCTGTTTATGTAGCCCTAGCCACACCTCCCCTGGCTTTGATTGACAGAGCCTACATGAAAAAAAAAAACTGGTTTCACTTTCAAACAGATGTAATTTACCTTAAATAATTGTATCTCAATCTCTAAATTGAACTTTAATCACATACAGGAGGCTCTTGTAGGGTCTAGCAAGCTATTAACATAGCATGGGATAAGAAAATCTTAATTAAACAGAACTTGCAATAAAGAAAGCCTAAATAGGGCTCTCTTTACAGGAAGTGTTTATGGAAGGCTGTGCAAGTCACATGCAGGGAGGTGTGACTAGGGTTCATAAACAAAGGGATTTAACTCCTAAATGGCAGAGGATTGAGGCTGCAGAGGCATGTTCTATACACCAAAACTGCTTCATTAAGCTAAAGTTGTTCAGGTGACTATAGTGTCCCTTTAATGATGAAATTGTGATGTTAAAAAGGATATGCTGGAAGGCTCCAAAATAGCTAAAATTCGCTATCTTTATTGGAGATTAATAAATATAGCAAAAAAAAGACTGTATAAAAAAAAAAGACTGTATAAAACACTAATGTGTTTCACCTGTTAGAGGTTTGAAAAAGCCTTGCTAACAGGTGAAACGCGTTAGTGTTTTATACAGTTTTTTTTTTTTTTCAGTCTTCTCCTCTCTCCCCTCTATTTCACCGAGCCTGAGAAGACTACTATAGGGGCTGCTTCCTGACACTACCTTCTATATACCTCCGATCCAGTACCAACACTTTACTTAGTCTACCTCAATACAAAAAGAAAACAGCCCGATCCTCCTTCTCCTACAGAGCACCGCAATTGTGGAATGACCTCCTGCACAATTTAAAATCATCCCTAAGCCTAAAGTCCTTTAAGAGATCCCTCTCTACATACCTCAAAACAGACTGCACCTGTCATGGTTGATTATATATTTCCTACCTGTTCTATGCTAAATTTTGTATTTATTGTGTATTAATATTGTTTTTGTATTTTATTGTACCCTAATGTAACAATGCAATGATTTGTGGACCCAGGACATACTTGAAAACGAGAGAAATCTCAATGTAGCTTTCCTGGTAAAATATTTTATAAATAAATAAATAATATGTATGTGTGTACAAAAATGCTGCCAAAGTGTTTCAAGAATTTTTTTCCCTTATTGGCAAGTGAGGTCATCTTCCTAACGTAGGTCAGCGTCTGTGCTCCCATAAGGCGCTAATTGTCTGGTAATATTTATTTGAATTAACCAGAGTGAATTGACATTACATGGTCAATAGCAACCACACTGATCACTACAATAAACAGTTGCATTAAGAAGAGGTCTATGCAACTTGATTTTATTTATTTTTTTACCTGTTCGGATAAGGTTATTTACTAAAGTAAGAAATTCAAAGTGAATTTCAAAATTTTTGCCATCTTAGGTGCCTTGGCTTGAGTCCGGAATATGATGCATGAAGAACGGCCCGCGGAGGAAGACTTAATAGCAGCAGCCTTACTAAACGCGGATGAGTTCATATCTAAAGTGAGGAGTATGCTGCAAGATCTCCTTAAAGATTATCCGAGCAGATGTATCAAGCCTCACCTCGGAAATGTTGCAGTCTGGATGATAGAATTAATGCACTCGAAAACAATATGGATGACAAGGCTGACTCAGGACAGAATCTTATAAGGGAGAAATAAAAGGAACCATGGAACAAAAAATGCTGATTTAGAAGACAGAACACAGCAGAATAACATAAGAAGAAGGGGGATCCCGGATAAAATACCATCTGTGGAACTAGGGGTCTACTTGAAATGGTATCTAAAGTCTTTATTACCAGCCTTTTATGTGGCAGACACGGTGATTGATCATATTCACAGACACCACATATTCACTTCCTCACACAAAAAGATCTCATTATATAAGCTGCCAGAACAGCAAGGAATTTACCAGAGCAATATGACAACATACACATTTCTCCAGATTTATTCAATAAACCATGCAATGATGCAGAGGCCTCAGAGCTGTCACTACAATCCTCTGTGAACACAAGATACTGTACAGATGGGATTCCCCCAACAAACTTATAAGACAAGAATGGATCTACCAAAACAATAACTTCACTGGATGAAGGTAAGAAGCTACTGTCACTATGGGTCATTCTCCCACAATCAAAAACATCTTGTCCCGCCGTTATCTGCACAGTTTGTCACACTACCCAAACCTGGGAAACTAACAAATAAATGAGCACACCTATATCTCTATTGAACAGTCTACAAGATTTATACAAAAACATTGGATTCCCGTCTCTTGACAGTGTTGCCGGACCTGATTTTTATGATCAGATGGGATTTGTGCAGTGTCTTCTTCTGTCCTTAGATGAGGAGAATAAATACCATTATTCGAAAAAGGGTCCAGGCACTCCAATTCCCATTGGTAGTTGAAACGTTGCAGTGTTCCACATGTTCCCATAAAGGTGCCTGAAGACATTGGAGTGCCTGGACCCTTTTTCCAATACTGGTATTTATGATCTTCTGGGCTTGTGCTGGCCCTTTGTTCAGTTAAGTACCCTGTCTTAAATGAATTGTGTGCGGTTTCTTTTTCTATTTTTGCAACTTTGAGAAGAAGGCATTTGGCCGACTAAATTGGAAATTCATGAAAAAAACCTTTATGCTTATGTCTTCCCACCCAGGTATAGCAATAATGGGATTGTAAACCAGTCTGTTAACATGGGTTCTGATATTTGGACGCTTATCATCCCCAATAAAAAATCTTGAATGGCACACAACAGTGATGTCCTCTATCTCCTAGCTTTATGTGTCGTCATTGGAACCACTGGCGATTGTAATTTGCAAGTTGGATAATTTAAAAAGTGTAATGAACCTTAAGACTATATTATTTGAGACGATTTATTATTGGCAATAACTGACCCAGACCAGTCACGGGAGGGCCTCCAGTAAAAAAAAATTAATATATGGACAGGGATCATATCCCAAAGTAAATACAATGAAATCTCTAGTAATGGATATAAAAAGATTTTAAAGAATAAAGAGGAGAGAAGGACATTGATTTGTATTTCACAGCACCTGAGCAGAGCATGCAGCCAGCAGCCCCCTCTCACTGCAGAGTCCATTTTGTGACAGTGACACATATTTCATGCCTAGAAACTGCACATGATTTTCTTTGTACTTTGCATACCTATAGTGTCAGATTGTGGGAGCAGAATATATTGAGTTTTCAATTTAAACCTATACACACTTCCATCCCACGTCCCCATTACACACAGTCTGCCGCCCCATGCCTCCCCTCACATACACTCTGTCGCCCCATACACACAGTCTGACGCCCCATGCCTCCCCTCACACACATTCTGCTGCCTCATGCCTCCCCTCACACACACTCTGCCGCCCCATGCCTCCCCTCACAC